CACAATAAATGCCAAATGGGAACCTTTGTCAGGTAATCTAAGTGGTGCTGCCACTAATTGTACCTGTAATAAATTCATTAACTGAGCATCAAGTGAATGACGACAAATAAACAAGTGTAGGGTTATACGAGAAAACGTGGATGGTCTCTGATGACAACAAGGGAGTAGTAATCGTATTATCGACGCAATCGGAAATCCGAAAATGCTTTCACTGCAAGGATACTTTTGTTAGTATTAAACTATAACCATCTCGGGTATTTCCAAATGACGACATCCGATGAGCTCCGTCGTTCTTTTTGTCTGTTTGTTTAGGCTGGAGAAATTAATTAACATGCGCCCTTTGTCGAAATTTTTATAGATCACAGTTAACCAATCAGTGTTTATGCAAAAATGCGTAAAACAAATATTGCCTCCAGCCTCCAAGTTTATTTAGCTGTCCTTGCAGACGGTAGCCCAGTCTCTGGTCACGCTCAGTTGCGTTGCGTATCATCCGGGTACTCACGGGGGAAAAAACAATAACAAAGGCAACAACCAATCCGGGGAAATGCGTTAGATCAGTGCCCCTTTAACACATCATCCGTATAACCTAAAGATGTTTACGACAAAGTGCTTATCATTGTATATTATCCTAATAATCTAATCACGTTTACAAAAATGCACAAGTTAAATTTTGTTTATAGATCTGTATGTGTGAGGTAAATTCTTTGTAAGAGCGTTCTGAGGATTCAACGTTGTTGTTGTATCGTTGTGAAAACCCAAGTAGTTACTTCCCTTCCGGAAGTGATGTAATCCGAGTAGTTACTTCCCTCCCTTAAGTGACGCACGGACGTATATACGTCTTTGAGTGACGCCATCAAATGACAACTTAATATTTAAATAAGTCGGCCAATTTGCAATCTGAAAATAAACCAAAAGTGTAAATTCTCTTAAGGCCATTATAGTGTGAGTAAATCCTTTTATGGCCATTATAGTGTTCGTGAGATTCATGGGACTTTCTTTTCAAATTTCAATATATGTTCTGATACTTCTATTTACTTACATCTATATTACACACTGTAATGAAATTACATTAATCATTTTATGGAATGTATAATTGTGCAGCTATATTGCACAACACATGCATAGCTTTTGAGTAGTCATTATCAGCAGAATCTATTATCATGCCTCCACATCAGAATGATATCTGATTGGTCCACGCGATCTTAATCAAATACTGTGTAGCCCGCCTTGTAGGGGAATAAATCTCTTATACCCCGCCTAGTGCAAATCAGGCTGCATGTGGATTTCTGAGAGACAGAATAAATCCATTTTACCCTGCTTCAAAGCAGAAGACACACTCCCAACCACCCACCCCTTCCCCCCGAGTCAATGGAAGTTGCCTGACATAGCTCAAGCTAACCTCAGCTCAATTGAACAGCTGTTTTATCAATTTTGAATATGTTTGAATTTACTGACAATGTCATATTAAAACATGTCAAGATAAATTCGCAGGGGGCAAGTGGTATAAAACATCGAGGGACACATATAACCCCATGTACCCTCGTGATCCTGCTACAACTTATAGTATATTAAAAACCTATATTAAAAATATATAGCATTTATCAGCATGATATGATTTTGGGGTTAAATTGGCAAAATCATGTTATGATAAAATGTTTCGTTATAGACACTTTTTAAAATTGAAATGTTATCATGAACACTTTTTAAAATCATTTTTTCTATACGATGTCTACTGAATTGACTTAATACTATTGTCCTCTTGCTGTATTGTTCAATGACGACCAGGATAGCAGTATAATGGATACTGCATGGGTCTTTCGGAAAGATATGCAGTCAACTTGTCTCAAAATAAGAATGTACACAAATAATTAATCTTACCTCCAATGTGAGAATGTTAAGATCCGATTGGTTCACATGATCTTGATAAAATACCATGTCCCACTCCTGGTTGGGAAACAAATCTCTTTGTCGTATAATAAATGCCTTATTACCCGCCATGAAGAACACAGGCTGCACGTGGATTACTGAGCAGGAGAATAAATCCCTTATACCCCACTTCGAAGCAAAAAGCAGAGTCAATGAACGTCCCATGACACAGTACAAGCTCAATCGAACACTTAACGAGAGACCCATAAAATCACATGTTCCAAGAATGATACTGCGACAATGAATTTATCTTACCAACATATTTTAATCCGAGAAGCATTAAAACAAATTAAAAAGTGATTTAGGTCTTCGACGGGTATGGTGCTGACAAACCTAGAAACCTAAACGGGGCGAACACATCAAAGGTTTCTGGCGTTCCAAGAGAACACAACACAGAGAGAATTACGAATAATTGTGACCGCTCCCTGTACCCCCGGTCAGCTTAATGTGGGAGGAAAGCCCGAAGTCATGCAGGTCTCAGACGTTTACCACTGCTTTGAAACCCACGAGCACGGGTATGGTGCTGACAAACATAGAAACATAATTGGGGCGAACAGGGATTTTAACCCACAATCATAGGTTCCTTGCATGCCCAAGGGACGCAACTCTGCACAACAAATCGCAGCGCCTTAGATGACTGGGCCGCCCGTGCTCCCTCACAGTGAGAGCTGCGTCCTATAGGTCCCAGGAACTTGGGTTGCGGTCCAGCTCTCCCTAATTATGTTTCTAGCTTTGCCAGCACAAAGCAGTGTGGGTTTTTCATCACTTTGGGTTTTCCTCCCACACGTCATATCACGGAAAATAGTGTCAAGTCAGAGTTAAACCAAACTGATTCACTCACTCTGATCTCATCTGTAGTTCACAGAGTCCAACTTTCAATTATTCAGGATTATATATACAGTCAAGTCCCGTTAATCCGACATTGATGGTTACATATGATTGTGTCGGATTAACGAGTATGTCGGATAAACGAAATTTAGTAGTACTGAACAAACAAAGTTAAGGATCATCAATATTCTTAGGGATACTTTCATGAAATGATCAGTCTTCACTACCAAACATATCCCCAAAAATATTAATTCCCAACTCTTTTGTTCAATAAACATACATCTCCAAAAAGAACAAAAGAACCCCAAATGTATATCAGCATAAAGGTTTTATAACAAAATAGGTGATTGAAAACAAGAATGAATTGTGAAATAACAAATCACTTAACAACTCTCTTTTAATCATTCCAGTGAAATACCGTATTCGACGTATTAAGCGCCCCGCTCTAATAAGCGCCCACGGCTATAATTGCTGATATATTGGTTAGTGAACAATCCCAATTAGCACCCCTTTTGATTGATCAATGTACACAAGACTTATTTATTCGCGTATTTGTGTGTTATATGCACCCTTAATTATGGGCAATTAAATTCTGGAAAAATATATCTGTCGTACATAAACATTTCAGGCTGTCAGCATAAACCACGAAATTTATCTTTCAACTCATCTTTTTTCACCAAAATAATATTCTAATGAGAGCCCCCCTATTTCTAATTTTGAGAGCGCCCTGGGCGCTTATTACGTCGAATACGGTACCCAGATTGCTCAGTACACAGATTCATTACCATACACAGGTTATATTTTCCACGTTTTAGTATGAGGATCATCTAGGGAAAGACTGCTGAAACAAGGATTTTGTTACAATCTTACACTATAGCACATCATTTTTAAAATACAAGGTGTTACCACAAATCTTTGTAGGATAGTATTTTCTCACACCAAAATATGCATGTCCAGTGATATCTGATCTATATCAGGTCAGGTCAGTATAATCCGGGGGCAAAACAAAACATACTAGGATAAATTTAAATTTAAATACATCCCATTGAAATAAACGTTCAAACTTAAAAAATTTGGAGGGTTCATCCAAGAACAGCAGTTTTTAATTAATTTTCTTACAAATAAATAAATTTAAGGATCCGATGATAAAACAAAACATATAAGAATAAACATACATTTAGATACACCCCCTTGAAATAAATGTTCAAACTTAAAAAAGAAATAGTGAAATGTTTGTCTTTGTTCATCCAATTACAGCAGTTTTTAATTAATTTTCTAACACATAAATAGATTTAAGGTGTACTCCTCAGTAAAAGAAGAAACAAACTGGTCTAGCCTGACCATGAATGATGCATTCGAACCTGACCTTGACCTTGACAATAAAACACACAGCAGTATCTTATTTTAATATAGGTTCCTGTCAGATCCTCCAATGACCCCTTCATGCCATGTACAAGACATATGGTGATACAGTGGTGTATTACAAAGCAGAACCTGACTAAACTGGACACATAATGAAAGACCTTCTTCCCCCGGGTAACCTCGTTGGCAAGATGCTGAGTGAAACAGTGGGACAACCCAGGGTCAGGTGGTTCAACTATTAAACTACCACCGAGCTGGCTTTAGCTGCCGTTACCATATCTCTTTGCTTCTCCCTATAAAAAATTTTGATTTTGACTTCACAGAGCCACGGGCTGTCCCATACAAAGTGTTTTCCTACTAGATTCCCGATTCGGAAATACTCTCTAACAACCCTGCCATAATTCGTAATCCAACGAAAACTGCAACACCATTTGCTTCATAAAACACTTGCCTTGAAATATGCATCTTCCCGTGGCAAGAGAGTTAACTGACTTTAAAAGACCAGTTTCCACCCTTGCCGAACAAGATCGTAGCGCCACTAAGTGGCTATTACCAGTTATGTCCCTTCTAAGCCTCTCATATGGACCAATCCGATTCCACCTCTTGTGTCTCATGCGTTTGCTTCACACAAAATGGTGGCGCCCAGTCAGGACGATCTGATCGATAATCAAGATCTATATTGTGATAAAATGGGTCTTACATTGCGAAATGCATCAAATCACGTGAGCACCTTGATTAAAAACATGAAAATATTTGGAAAATATCTGCTGACAAAGAGTTGTCGTTGCAGATGCTTTGCAAATCCTGCAATCGACCGAAATCTGCACGACAGTTTACGAACCGGATTTTGATTTCGGTGCGCGATTTTGATTGGACTATGAATAGACTCGTTAGTCCAGCCAAAATGTAACTCCATAATACCAGCCGAGTTCGGCAAGGGTGGAAACTGGACTTTTATAGTCAGTTAACACTGTTGCCTCGGGAAGATGTGAAATATGTGTAGCTTTCAATGTACTTGTCGGCTTGGAGTCATCGAGGGTACAGAGCTTTGGCCACCATTGCTGTGCGCAATGGCGGCTAAAAAATCTTCACTGATCCAGTTTCCAACACATTAAGTAAAGATATTGTTTGACGATTTAAAATATGAGTACTTGTATTTGGAGGTAAGTCTTAGGAAGATAATCCTGTTGCATTTGTTGTTAGATCACGATGCATGCACTTTACAGAAGCATATATCGTGTGATGCCGACTTGTGTCGGGAAAGTATTAGGGAAACACTGTGGGGCAGCTGTAGGTCTGTGCAGCAGCAAGTCAATATCAAAATCGTTTACAGGAATCAGCACGGAGATATTGTTACTGCAGCTGGAATTCAAATCTGCAGAATTCCTCCCAACCACCAAGTTTTGCAAATGGTTGTCATCTGTGCCTTTCTGTTCAAAACTACTAAGTTACTAAGTACTATTAAGAACTATCACTGAACTGATTGAGTCACTTACTTTAGTCATATTACCCCATTTTTAAGTCTACAGATACATGATTGATGTGATGAGAAGTTTTGAGCTCTGTACACAGGCTGAGTGTGACCAGATGACAAGTACCGTCCTGCAGGTTGTCATGGAGATGATGATGACCCAACATACAACGTCTATAGATACCATGGTTGATGCGACACAAGGTGTGTGCTCTATACACGTCGTCTGAGAGAGACTGTGTTGATGGTGGATACGGCTCGTGTCACATGTTTCTTGTCTGGGTGGAGCAGCACAGCCCTATCTTGTCTTAACCTCGATGTAGATTCTCTACCTTTGACTTTGTGATGCAGGAATACCCTCTGAAATACAACCAGGTTTGTTATCCAATCTCATTAAAATCAGATCTTAGTTCTTGCTACAGCTAAACAAAGATCTGAGGACATCCGATCCCATTGCGGGTCATGTCAGAACAACCTTTTTCATCTGACCAATCAGAGAATCGCTTATCAGATCATGAAAGTGACAGCTGGAATGTGATTTTTTAGTGTGCAACCTCGAAAAAACACACAGAGTGTACTCTGAACGACAGTTATGGGTTTTATGTCTGTATTCATACAATCTAGACCAGCTATTAGACATTCCAGAATGTTCTTTTGTTCAGTTTTTAATCGAGTCAAAATATGTTTCGAACCGTAGTTGCCAGTTTGAAACTCGTGCCGTAAAGCTTGATTAAGCTGCCTTCTGATTGGCTATTGTTGATTTCTTGTTAGTCATTCCATTGGTCGGTCAAAGTTCGAGAAAGGTCGGTCTGATGTGACCCGTAATGGGATGTCCTCAGATCTTTGTTTAGTGGTAGCGAGAACTACGATCTGATTATAATGAGATTAGTTTGTTATCTTACTATGCTGGGATCTGGAGATTATAATTAACTGTGCTATGTTTGGAAAACACAATTCCTGTGATGTGTTTGTGAGACAATTCAGTGCTTATGAGACAATTCAGTGCTTATGAGAAAATTCAGTGTTTGTGAGACAATTCAGTGCTTATGAAACAATTCAGTGTCCCTGAGACAATGCAATGTTTGTAAGACAATGCAGTGTTGGTGAAACAATGGAATGTTTGAGAAAATGCAATGTTTGTGAGACAATGTGTTTGTATGACAATGCAGTGTTTGTGAGACAATGCAGTTTTTGTGAGACAATGCAGTGTTTGTGAGATAATGCAATGTTTGTGAGACAATGAGGTGTCTGAGACAATTGCAGTGTTTGTGACACAATGCGGATGTTGGGTTGTGTTTCGCCTGAACTTTGTTTTGCACTATATATTGTCAGAAACAGACTTCTGTATTTTCTTCATTTAGATCACATTACACATATTGGTGAAGGTACATATCACATTTACTGGTGAAACGGTGCAGTGTTGTTTTATACAATGTTGCTGTCATTGTGAGACAAACTTTGTGTCTGTGATACAATGTTGCTGTTGATGTGAGACTGCTGTTTATCATCCCAAACTGGCTCCCACAGGAGATATCGCTTGGGTGAGATCAAGCAATATCTACACTGTAGATATTGCTGCAATGAAATTGCATCACAATGCTTTGCAGACCATTGTGACGTCATTGGTTATTATGACATCACAATCAAATGACATCACTAATGGCTCTGCTACTGAAGCTGTTAGCAGTACTTTTTACACTTAAGACACTGCTTATTACTGTCTACAAACTGAAAAAGTTGGAAGAATGATGTTGGATGATAAATAAAATCTCACCCTCGTGTCTTTTGATATAAAATATATCAACACTCGTTGATAAAAGAGGAAAAAATCCTCGGCAATCGTCGGAGTTTGATATCGAAAGACACGAGGGTGAGATTCTCTATTTGTAACACAATGCTGCTGTTTTGTGAGACAAACTTTGTGTCTGTGATATACTGTTGCTGTGACTGTGACTGCTGTTTGTATCACAATGTTGCTGTTTTGTGAAACAACTTCGCGTCTATGAAACAATGTTGCTGTGGATGTGAGACTGACAATTTTACATCTGTGAAACAATGTTGCTAGTATGTGAGACAACTTCGTCTATGAAACAATGTTGCTGTGGATGTGAGACTGCTGTTTGTAACACAATGTTGCTGTTTTGTGAGACAATTTTACATCTGTGAAACAATGTTGCTAGTATGTGAGACAACTTCATCTATGAAACAATGTTGCCGTGGATGTGAGACTGCTGTTTTTAACACAATGTTGCTATGCTTTCTGAGACAATGATGTGTTTGAGAGGGAAACATTGCTTGTGAGACAAAGTTGCTTTGCTGTGGATGTGAGGCAATGTTTTTGTGAGATAATATTAAATGCAGTGTTTGTTAGACAAAGATGCTTTGCTGTGTCAGTTCAAGAGGACAGATATTACGTACGACTCATCTTTGCTGATCCTATAAAAGTCTTCCACATACTCTGACCGCCCAAGGAGTTCCACAAAGTCTTCGTCATGGGTGATCAGCACTAGCTGAAAGTTGCTCTGGCAGGACCGAGCCTTGATTATCCTGACATAGATAAAACAGTGTGAATACAGGAATGAAACACACACAGGGAAACAGTATGACAACTTCATGATACACTATATGGATGCTCATATAGTGAGTGAATAAGCGAGTATGGTTTTACGCCGCTTTTAGCAATATTCCTGCAATATCACGGCAGGGGGGACACCAGAAATAGGCTTCACACATTGTACCCATGTGAGGGTCTTTGGTGTGACAAGCGAACGCTTTAACCCCTAGGCTACCTGACTGCCCCGGATGCTCATATAGATCTACATTCACCTACTCAAGAGACTAGAGCATAAGCGAGATGTTCCACATCCTCCTACTCACGAGACAAGAGCGTAAGCCAGACTTTCTATGTTCTCCCTATCCAGGTTGGTCGTAGGTTCATCCAGGGCCAGAATTCCACAGTTGACACAAAACGTTTCCGCCAACGCCAGACGGATGATCAGGGACGCCAACACCTGCACATAGATGTTGTTGAATATGTTGCATGCAAGAAAATAATGATCCACCAGATGGGAAACATGAATTTCAGAGATAAATACTTCACATACCAGAAAATTGGATTAACTATCATCACTTTTCCTTCATAATACTTTCTTGGCAAGGTATGTTATAAAAGAAACACCTTCAGTGAACTTTTCAAAATTGGAAAAATAGGATGAGAAGATTCCTAAGAACACATCATGTACTCATTGTGGCACAATAAACAACAAGTTTTTCGGTTATTCCTCTTCAAGATTTGATAGATGTTAAAAGTGGGTGGAGGGTGGGGGTGGGGGTGGGTGGGGGTGTTGCGGAGGGTGGAGTTCGTGGTGGTGGTAGGTCTGTGGTTGTGACATGGTACAAGCTACAAGTGGGTGGAGGGGGGGTGCTGACCTTCTGTCCGGCGCTGCATCGGCCTCTCATGTCTAAAGCAGTGTCACCCTTGATCATCACCACACGGTAGTGGTAGACACGACGGGACTTCAGGGCACCACTGTCCTCATCATCAGAACGAATCTCAATTGTTTCAATATCTGAAATGAAAGTTTTAGAATAATTTGCTATTGTACTTCAAACCAACTAATTTTTTCAACAGACACTGCTTGATTATGGGTCCCCAAACTCTCAAAGAGTCATTCTGCCGCAGTAACTTTATACCTACTTGATGGTCAACATTACTGCTTTTCAGATCACACTGCCTTTATGATGGATTGTAGGCTTAGGGACTGGTCATTTATTAGGGGATATGGGAAGAGGAACACTGCAGGCTTTTCTCCCCAGGTCCCCACCCCCTAACCGTTGCCGCAGACGGTGTTCCTCCCCAGTTCCCCACCCCCTCACCGTTGCCGCAGACAGTGTTCCTCCCCAGTTCCCCACCCCCTCACCGTTGCCGCAGACGGTGTTCCTCCCCAGTTCCCCACCCCCTCACCGTTCCAACGGAAGGTGTTCCCCCCCAGTTCCCCACCCCCTCACCGTTCCAACGGAAGGTGTTCTCCCCCAGTTCCCCACCCCCTCACCGTTGCCACAGACGGTGTTCCTCCCCAGTTCCCCACCCCCTCACCGTTCCAACGGAAGGTGTTCCCCCCCAGTTCCCCACCCCCTCACCATTCCTCGGTAGGTGGTCCTCCCCAGTTCCTCACCCCCTCACCATTCCGCGGTAGGTGGTCCTCCCCAGTTTCTCACCGTTGCAGCGGTAGGTGTTCCTCCCCAGTTCCACACTGTTCCCGCGGTAGGTGTTCCTCCCCAGTTCCCCATCTTTCTTGCGGACGGTGTTCCTCCCCACTCCCTCACAGTGCCCGCGGTAGGTGTTCCTCCCCATCCCCTCACCGTGCCCGCAGTAGGTGTTCCTCCCTACTTCCCCTGCCGACCGCCTCCGTGGTCTAGTGGTAGAGCGTCCGCCCGGAGAGCTGAAGGTCCGGGGTTTGATCCCCGGCCGCGTCATACCAAAAGACGTTAGAAGATGGGACTTGTTGTTACCCTGTCTGGCGCTTGGCATTAACAGGTTAAAGCAAGGACTAGTCGGCTCGGAGTCAGTATACTGTGTCTGAGTGGGGTATACATGTTAAACTGCGGCATGGTATCTCAGTGAGCTAGTATTATAAATCGGCATCAGTCCAGTCTTGCACACACACACACACACACACACACACACACACACACACACACACACACACACACACACACACACACACACACACACACACACACACACACACACACACACACACACACACATACACATGCACGCACGTCGCTATATAAGTGCAATAATCTTGGACGCAACATTAAACCACATTTCACCTCACCTCACCTCACTTCCCCTGCCCCTCACCGTTCCCGCAGAAGGTGTTCCTCCCCACCCCCTCACCATTCCGCGGTAGGTGTTCCTCCCCAGTTCCCCACCCCTTCACCGTTCCCGTGGTTGGTGTTCCTCCCCAGTTCCCCACCCCCTCACCGTTCCCGTGGTTGGTGTTCCTCCCCACCCCCTCACCGTTCCCGCGGTAGGTGTTCCTCCCCAGTTCCCCACCCCCTCACCGTTCCTGCGGTAGGTGTTCCTCCCCAGTTCCCCACCCCCTCACCGTTCCCGCGGTAGGTGTTCCTCCCCACCCCCTCACCGTTCCCGCGGTAGGTGGTCCTCCCCAGTTCCCCACCCCCTCACCGTTCCCGCAGTAGGTGTTCCTCCCCACCCTCTCACCGTTCCCGCAGTAGGTGTTCCTCCCCACCCCCTCATCGTTCCCGCAGTAGGTGTTCCTCCCCACCCCCTCATCGTTCCCGCAGTAGGTGTTCCTCCCCACCCCCTCACCGTTCCCGCAGTAGGTGTTCCTCCACAGTTCCCCACCCCCTCACTGTTCCTGCGGTAGGTGTTCCTCCCCAGTTCCCCACCCCCTCACCGTTCCCGCGGTAGGTGTTCCTCCCCACCCCCTCACCGTTCCCGCAGTAGGTGTTCCTCCCCACCCCCTCACCGTTCCCGCAGTAGGTGTTCCTCCACAGTTCCCCACCCCCTCACTGTTCCTGCGGTAGGTGTTCCTCCCCACCCCCTCACTGTTCCCGCGGTAGGTGTTCCTCCCCAGTTCCCCACCCCCTCACCGTTCCCGCAGTAGGTGTTCCTCCCCACCCCCTCACCGTTCCCGCAGTAGGTGTTCCTCCCCACCCCCTCACCGTTCCCGCAGTAGGTGTTCCTCCCCACCCCCTCACCGTTCCCGCAGTAGGTGTTCCTCCACAGTTCCCCACCCCCTCACTGTTCCTGCGGTAGGTGTTCCTCCCCAGTTCCCCACCCCCTCACCGTTCCCGCGGTAGGTGTTCCTCCACAGTTCCCGGATGATCTTGTTGATCTCCTCCATCTTCTGGACATGGTAGTTCATGATAGCCCTGGAACACCATCGTAAAGGAAGATAACTTGGAGATCAGACCTCATACACTCGGGAAAGCACAAAGAGAACTTCTATCAAATATATCAACACTTGATGGTTGCCATAGGAACACTGGTAGTCAGCAATACTGCAGCCGTACCACTGTCATCACACCGAGTAAGAGGGGTTGCTAGGGTAACACTTGATTGACATCCTTAACACACAAGACAGGTCACAGTTTAGAGTTATCTCCCCGGCTAACATGTCAAAACAAGTTACAGAACATCCACGATTGGAAGACTGTGTGTTGCAATACCTAGCCATGACAGTTAAACTAAAGTCACATGAAAAAATCAGGTGTAGTCTACATGGAAGCAGGCATTGCAAACTGTTTTAGCAGTTCTACATCAACTTACTTGTCCATAGCTCTGTAGTATTTCTCCAAGTCACTATTGGCCAACTCAGTTGTCTGTAAAACACAACTTGACGAATCAGCAACTAATGATTTAACAGTGAACAGACAAATGTAAAGGGAGCTACCATTTGATTATTCCTGTGTGTGAAGATTTGTGTTTGAAATCAGGATTTCTTAAAATGTTTAAGTGCCCAGTTCTTTTTCCAACATGAACAGGTGCATATTTATGTTTTATATTTATTTATATTCTGCAACAAAAAGGCACATAACTTTATTCCTACAATGCAAGGCATATGTACCATATTCGACGTAATAAGCACCCAGGGCGTTCTCAAAATTAGAAATAGGGGGCTCTTATTGGAATATTATTTTGGTGAAAAAAACAGTTGAAAAGATAAATTTCGTGGTTTATGCTGACAGCCTGAAATGTTTATGTACGACAGATATATTTTTCCAGAATTTAATTGCCCATAATTAAGGGTGCATATAACACACGAGTGCATATTATTCGTGAAAAAATAAGTCTTGTGTACATTGATCAATCGGAAGGGGTGCCAATTGGGATTGTTCACTAGCCAATATATTAGCAAATATCACCGTGGGCGCTTATTATGTCGACTACGGTAAATGTTTTTCAGTACAACAGCATCATAATGTTTTGAAAATCAAACGGCTGGTCCCTGAAGTCATATTTTTGTAAAATTGCGAAGCATAACAAGGAAACATTACCATCGTAGCTACTTTCAGCAACATTTATGTTTGAGGTCACACTCGCTGTAAGTACTTAGTGCTTGGGAGATTCCTGTTAGCTAGTGTTCTCACCCTCATCTGGATCATCATGTCTCGGTACTTGGAGCCAGCATCCTTGAACATGTCTGTCTGGAGCTCCCTCTTCGTGTTGCGGATCATGTCGTCGAGACCCTGCTGGCGACCTTGGCAGATGTTGCGCTGACAACAACAATAGTAAAGCATATCCAGTTGTAGATATTAACTTTTCCAGAGGACTAGCTTGAAGTTAGTCCTGCTTGAACAAAAACAATGTTTTCTGTCAGTTTTGTTCAGTTCTTGCAACATTGAAAACTGGTTCAGTATTTTAGCCCTCAAATGCAATACCCATCATTGAATTTTTACTTGTCCTCAGCATAATTTAGAAGTCAAGGACCAGCAGACTAGCATGGATTTCGAGGGCTGATTATTGCCAAAGTGGTGGCCATTTTGAAAATCAGGGGGGGGGGGGGAGTATGTTAAGTTTCAGCTTCATTGCTCCAGTGGGTTCTGAGGAAAAGATGTTCAGTCAGGTGAGCTAAAAACTGAACTCCACAGAAGGATGTGTATTAAACAAATCTGTTTTATGTTTGTTGTTGTTTGTTTGTCTATTGTTTAATGCCGCACTCAGAAATATTCCAGTTATATGACGGCGGTCTGTAAATAATCAAATCTGGACCAGACAATCCAGTGATTCACATCATGAGCATCAATCCATGCAATTGGGATACGATGACATGCATCAACCAAGTCAGCGAGCCTGACCACCCGATCCCGTTAGACAAGCATAGCTGCTTATTACGGCAAGCATGGGTTGCTGAAAACCTATTCTACCCCGGATCTTTACGGGTCAGTGTGCGCTATAAGGATAGAAGTACATCACTTGTGTCCAACCTCTTTCTGCATCTCATCCGCTTTCTGCAGCAGCTTCCTCCTTTCCCTCTCCAGATTGGCGGTGTCAAAGTCCCCCATCTGGCCTTGCAGGACACCGATCTCACGCTCCTGGCGACCGACCTCCTTCTGTTTCTGCCGTAGCTGGAGGTTGTCCATTAACTCGCGCTCTCGGATCTGACCAGAAGGGACCAGGTATTAATTCGGCTCTAGTTTTGGCTTATATTCTTTTACCCAAATAAATTCATTTCACCAAATCAGGACTTTCTTAAGAGCCTTTAAAGATTTTTCCAGAGTACCTGCGCTGTGTTGTTGTTTAATGTCGCACTCAGCAATATTCCAGCTATATGACGGCGGTCTGCAAAAATAATCCAGTCTGGACCAGACAATCCAGTGAGTGACAATTGGGAAACATTGACATGCATCAACCAAGTCAGCGAGCCTGTCCACACAATCTTGTTAGTCGCCTCTTACGACAAGCATAGTTGTTTTTACGGCAAGCATGGGTTGCTGAAGACCTAATATACCCCGGATCTTCATGGGTCTGGACTAGGCTAAGGCTAACCAGTGGTAGATACGAGCACCGTCCCACTCTGTCGTGAACTCACCTGATGAGAGAAGGCTGTATGATTTCTCCTGTGAACTCACCTGATGAGAGAAGGCTGTATGATTTCTCCTGTGAACTCACCTGCTGAGAGAAGGCTGTAGGATGTCTCCTGTGAACTCACCTGCTGAGAGAAGGCTGTAGGATGTCTCCTGTGAACTCACCTGCTGAGAGAAGGCTGTAGGATGTCTCCTGTGAACTCACCTGATGAGAGAAGGCTGTAGGATGTCTCCTGTGAACTCACCTGCTGAGAGAAGGCTGTAGGATGTCTCCTGTGAACTCACCTGCTGAGAGAAGGCTGTAGGATGTCTCCTGTGAACTCACCTGATGAGAGAAGGCTGTATGATGTCTCCTGTGAACTCACCTGCTGAGAGAAGGCTGTAGGATGTCTCCTGTGAACTCACCTGCTGAGAGAAGGCTGTATGATGTCTCCTGTGAACTCACCTGCTGAGAGAAGGCTGTATGATTTCTCCTGTGAACTCACCTGCTGAGAGAAGGCTGTATGATTTCTCCTGTGAACTCACCTGCTGAGAGAATGCTGTAGGATGTCTCCTGTGAACTCACCTGCTGAGAGAAGGCTGTAGGATGTCTCCTGTGAACTCACCCGCTGAGAGAAGGCCGTATGATGTCTCCTGTGAACTCACCTGCTGAGTGGCCAGGTCCTTACTGAGCTTGTTGACGTTCTCGGTGATCTCCTCCCGTTCCTGGTTCACACCTGTCTCCTTGGCCGCGATGTCCGTCATCCGCTCTCGACTCTTCTCAAGTCTGTCTGCCTTCATGGACTGGTTGTACCTGAAGACACACAGCAAACAATGACACTCATTTTCCTGACTGTACTCACTAAATCCTGTGTACCAACACTCTGTCCTTGACGTCTAGCATATATGTTTCTGCCCTACAATAAACCATCCTTGATCTATGAATTCTAAAAACAAATGAATCGGGACTGTGATTTACCTGCAAAAAGGAAGAATATCAACTTATGAAATGAAAGCACAGTATCGGGAAGTGAAACCTATCACATCCATACTATCAGGATACATTTTGTATCGCGACACCCATACTATCGGGATACATTTCGTATCATGACACCCATACTATCGTGATACATTTTGTATCGTGACACCCATACTATCGGGATACATTTCGTATCGTGACCCCATCGCATTGTTACACCTCTGGTAGTTACAACAGAATTCCTACATGCCTTTTAAACTGTCAGTACTTACTGCTAAATCACAAAGAACAGATGTAGCTGGGCTACGCAGCTAAACGCAGTGGCTGAACAATCGCATCCAAAAGTGGGAGAGATATGACAAACGGTACTAGGAGAAAAGGTATAGATAATCGATTTGATGATTGTGAGAATATGCGGAAATATCAAACTTAACCCACCTGTTCTTAAAATGGACTTGTCCGACATTTCTGAGGTCAGTTTCTATTTAGGGAGTCATAATTAGTAAAATTTGGGTAAATATTTTTAAAGCTTGTACATTTTATCAACGTCCTTAAAGAGGCTGTACATAATGTTGATATCTCATATAAGAAATAAACGACGCGCCCCTCATGGCTTATTCTCCCTGCAGTTTTATTGTACGATAAACAACTCCCAATCGTCGTTCATTTCTTAAATAATTGTCCACCGAAGTGGTAAACGTCTGAGACCTGCATCACTTCTGGCTTTCCTCCCAGATTAAGCTGACACGCCGTGATATAACTGGAATAATGTTAAAAGCGGCGTTAAACCCAACTCACTCACTCACTCACTTAAATAATTGTCAATACTCACTGCTTGATGTCACTGTTGATGTCCTTCACCTGTTTCGCCTCGGACCGCACACACTCAATCTGTAAAACACAACAACATTCACAGACAGCTAATATTACAAACACCATCCCTCCCTGTCCATCTGCCTCGGACCGCACACACTCAATCTGTAAAACACAACAACATTCACAGACAGCTAATATTACAAACACCATCCCTCCCTGTCCATCTGCCTCGGACCGCACACACTCAATCTGTAAAACACAACAACATTCACAGACAGCTAATATTACAAACACCATCCCTCCCTGTCCATCTGCCTCGGACCGCACACACTCAATCTGTAAAACACAACAACATTCACAGACAGCTAATATTACAAACACCATCCCTCCCTGTCCATCTGTCAAAGGACTAGTTCTCTCTTTACTTGTCTTTCAGGGAGTTTGGTTTACGGCTGCTTGGAAAAGTATTCAAGTTATTTCACAGTATGTCTGCTGGATGCGAAAGAAAGCCCAAGTATTGCATGTCTATGAGCATGGGTGTCGTGTCGACAAGCCTAGAAGCAAAACAAAGCAAATCAGGGATTCATCCATCTATCAGAGGTTCCCTGCATATCTAAGGGAGGCTACTCTGCATGGTGAATTATTTGATCATGCAACTCTAATGTTGGAATTGGGTTGGAATCATTGAGCGGGTACAGACTATAGGCTGCCATCGCTGAGTGCAAGTAAACAATCTTTACCAGTCTGTTTTCCAACTTGGTAAGTAAATATATTGTGGTACAATCTAAAACATAAGTATTGTATTTGAAGGCAAGTGTCATAGGAAGTTAATAATGTTGCATTTGTTGTTATGATCATGACATATAAAGTGTGACACAATTATGGGGCAGTCCGAAGCTCTGTGTAGCAAAAGGTCAATATCAAAAACATTTATATGGAGCATCACAGGGATAAGGTCACCCCAGCTATACCACAGCAGGCTGTAAATGAACAAAGCAAGGCATGATCAACGTTCCTGGTTGGCAATGACAAACAATCCATCAAGGGCCAGACCTTGACAACCCGATTCTCATTCAAGTTGCCTCCATCAACGAGCACAGAGCTAGGGACCTAAGGGACCAGTCATTTCAGGGTTAGAAATTGGCACTAGTCCTATAGTCCTTGCCAAACTGCCCAATAGTAAAGGTATCCTAAGGACCAGTAGAATTTTGACATTTTTAAAGGTTTTGCTATATGCTATCATTATAAGGACTAGTGGACTGAAACTGTTAGTTTCTACCGCTGCATTTATTACAGGGGCGGGTGGTGAGAGGTAATTGATGCACTAATGTACAAAAGCTGGTCATATTTTCAGCTGACCCTCCCTATGTATTTGTAAAAAAAATTCACGACCCTCACCGAAAAGACAAAATCACTTTATATTTTACCATAGTGGTCCATCTTTTAATGACCATGTCCGAATATGTGTATTATTTTTTATAACCCTCCATGAAGTTTGTCACATTTTGTGGTGACCCTATCCTGATTCCCTAAAATAAATGACCGGTCCCCAATCTGACCTGGAATCTCAAAGAGGACTGAGGAAGGAAATGGTGTTAAGCTGATCTTACCTCCGCCTTGGCTCCGTCAATCTTGTCGTCCTTGGTAGCCACCAGCTTTATCTTCTCCTGGCGCTGACGCTCGATCTGCTCCTGTATCGGTACCAGTGATTGTGGGCAGGGTTTGATGACGTTTTCAACAGCAATTCAGTTACAGTGAGTGGAAGGAAATGTTCTTCATGGGCCTACTGCCCTGTGTTTAAGTATCGACTGATAATTGCAATGGACCAGAGATTCAAAATAACTTAAAAAAACAAACATATATATACGTTGAATAAAACATTTTATCCTACATAATCTCAATCTTGAACCATGTCTTTTCACCAACAAATATCACTGTGCCAACTTACAAACTAAACTACAGTAATCCCTCATAATAACACACTTCATGATTCCACAGACTCGTTAATCAATGCGCTGCGTAATCAATGGCTCAGATATATTTCATTACTGAATGACGGGAGTTGATCCTTTTGTTCCTCATCAGGTAAAAGTGTTCGCTTGTATACCTGGACCTATGTTTGTAATCTGTTTATTAAATTCATTCAAAATTGTTCAGGCTTAAAAAAATAAAAGAATTGATTCTCAGGCAATGTCTTTTGAAAATACAGCGCTGGCGGGCAGTGTTTTTTGGTTGCTTTTTTGGGGTGGGGTGGGGTGGGGGCTTGTTCAAAGTAGTATGTAACCAAATAATCAGTTGTGTACCATCAACCTGGGAAAGGGCCTCTCTACATATACACGCATACAAACTCCTATTGCTGCCATGACCATAACACGAGATGTGCAGTAAAGCAGTGCGCATGTAAAGGGAAGTAACTGCATGCTATTTTGGATCGCATTGTTTTTAAGTGCCAGGACTTTATGATAATGCGGGCGGTGCCTAAGAACCAAAACCATTATTTTTTGTAGCCTTACATTCATCATTGTGTGTGTCAACTACTTTACAGATCGCACAAACCCACCGTTAATTACAGCAACCATGATCAGACTTAATATTAGGGATAGCGCCGAGCTAATGCAATTCACATCATGGGTAAGTGGGCGTGATTATTACTTACCTCCAGTGGTCTTATCTGGGTTCTGGCTTCCTGCAAAACAGAAAGATGAACATGTACCTCCAGCATTACATCAATATCGACTTGTTGAAAAACAAAGATAAAAAAACAGCAAGCTTTGTTGTTTTTCCAGATGCAGTTTTACGAAACATCTGCTGTGGTTCATGACAGTAACTTATAAGGATAGTACATGTCATCACTGAATGTGAACTATCCAAAACATGAATAATTTAAATCATTCATTTTCATTTTTTCAATCAAATAATGGCTGTAAATCTAAAAAAGAAGGATATGACTACAATGCTGATATGTTTTAAGGACACCGATTGGATGAAATTTGTGGAATGACCAATCAAAACAGGTGTCTCTGTTGAGCTTGTGTCAAACTAGCAGGAATCTGGGACCCTCTTTTGGTGGGAGGTCAAGTGTAATAGTGTAAATTTAAGGTGAGGTGAGGTGAAATGGGGTTTAACCTCGTGTCCAAGATTATTGCACTTATATAGCGACGTGCATGTATGTGTGTGTGTTTGTGTGGCTGCTTGTACTAGCCCGGACTGATGCCGATTTATAGTGCTAGCTCACTGAGATACCATGCCGCAGTTTAACATGAATACCCCACTCAAACACAGTATACTGACTCCGAGCCGACCAGTCCTTGTTTTAGCCCCTTAATGCCGAGGGCCAGACAGGGTAACAACAAGTACCAGCTTTTAACGTCTTATGGTATGACGCGGCCGGGGATCGAACCCCGGACCTTCAGCTCTCCGGGCGGACGCTCTACCACTAGACCACGGAGGCGGTCCGTAAATTTAAGCCCAAATCTTAACTATTGCATCAAAATTGTAATGGTTGGCATCTATGGGTTTCCTATTAATATCTAAGTATCAGTGACAGATTGTAGCATCAGCCGCCTGTGTAGATCCCAGCCAATACACATCCATGGCTGAGGGGGACCTACCTGGATGTCTTGTTCATGCATCTTGTTGTCGGTGCTGAGTCCGGCCTTCGTCTCCTCCAACTTGGTCTGCTGCTGCAACTCGCTGTCGATCTTCAGCTTCTCTTCCTTCAGCGTGTTCACCTTTGACCTCAGCTTCTGCACATGCTCAGAGTGGTCACTCATCTTCTGTCGCTTATGATCCAGCTTGCGATTGATGGTATCTCTGTAAGCCATGGAAGCATAGTTTAGTGTGAGTGAGTGTGATAGGTTTTATGCCACTGAATTTACAAGGTGCACATCAGAAATGGCTTCACACATTGTACGCATGTGGAGAATCGAAACCCAGCCCTTCATCGTGGTGAGCCAGTTTGGAGCCTGGACACAGTCCTGGCAGGTTCATAGTACAGGGGCCTATGTCAGATTCACTAGCCAAGTGTTCCAACGTGGGGTCTCACCAGCAAATGATTTATATCTGTTGTCATGGTAATAAACAAATAGCATCACAACACTCTGAACCTCACCTGAATGTTCTGGAATATCATATCATTTTATTTCCATACAACTAAAAGAAGATTATAACTGGCATCCCCATCTACATCTGGCATCTACTGCCTATAACAGCCATAACAGCCAACATGCGGCATCCCCAGCCTACAACTGGCATCCCAGCCTACAACAGACATCCCAGCCTACAACTGACATCCCAACCTACAACTGACATCCCAACCTACAACTGGCATCCCAACCTACAACTTACATCCCAACCTACAACTGACATCCCAACCTACAACAGACATCCCAGCCTACAACTGACATCCCAACCTACAACTGGCATCCCTGCCTACAACTGGCATCCCAACCTACAACTGACATCCCAGCCTACAACTGACATCCCAACCTACAACTGGCATCCCTGCCTACAACTGACATCCCAGCCTACAACTGACATCCCAACCTACAACTGGCATCCCTGCCTACAACTGGCATCCCAGCCTACAACTTACATCCCAACCTACAACTGACATCCCAACCTACAACTGACATCCCAACCTACAACTGACATCCCAACCTACAACTGGCATCCCTGCCTACAACTGGCATCCCAGCCTACAACTGGCATCCCTGCCTACAACTGGCATCCCAGCCTACAACTGACATCCCAGCCTACAACTGACATCCCAACCTACAACTGGCATCCCAGCCTACAACTTACATCCCAACCTACAACTGACATCCCAACCTACAACTGACATCCCAACCTACAACTGGCATCCCTGCCTACAACTGGCATCCCAGCCTACAACTAGCATCCCTGCCTACAACTGGCATCCCAGCCTACAACTGACATCCCAACCTACAACTGACATCCCAACCTACAACTGACATCCCAACCTACAACAGACATCCCAGCCTACAACAGACATCCCAGCCTACAACTGACATCCCAACCTACAACTGGCATCCCTGCCTACAACTGGCATCCCAGCCTACAACTGGCATCCCAGCCTACAACTGGCATCCCAGCCTACAACAGACATTCCAGCCTACAACTGACATCCCAACCTACAACGGACATCCCAATTCACAACTGACATCCCAACCTACAACTTACATCCCAACCTACAACTGACATCCCAACCTACAACAGACATCCCAGCCTACAACGGACATCCCAGCCTACAACAGACATTCCAGCCTACAACTGACATCCCAACCTACAACGGACATCCCAATTCACAACTGACATCCCAACCTACAACTTACATCCCAACCTACAACTGACATCCCAACCTACAACAGACATCCCAGCCTACAACTGGCATCCCAGCCTACAACTGGCATCCCTGCCTACAACTGACATCCCAGCCTACAACTGACATCCCAACCTACAACTGACATCCCAACCTACAACTGGCATCCCAACCTACAACTTACATCCCAACCTACAACTGACATCCCAACCTACAACAGACATCCCAGCCTACAACTGACATCCCAACCTACAACTGGCATCCCTGCCTACAACTGACATCCCAGCCTACAACTGGCATCCCTGCCTACAACTGACATCCCAGCCTACAACTGACATCCCAACCTACAACTGACATCCCAACCTACAACTGGCATCCCAACCTACAACTTACATCCCAACCTACAACTGACATCCCAACCTACAACAGACATCCCAGCCTACAACTGACATCCCAACCTACAACTGGCATCCCTGCCTACAACTGGCATCCCAACCTACAACTGACATCCCAGCCTACAACTGACATCCCAACCTACAACTGGCATCCCTGCCTACAACTGACATCCCAGCCTACAACTGACATCCCAACCTACAACTGGCATCCCTGCCTACAACTGGCATCCCAGCCTACAACTTACATCCCAACCTACAACTGACATCCCAACCTACAACTGACATCCCAACCTACAACTGACATCCCAACCTACAACTGGCATCCCTGCCTACAACTGGCATCCCAGCCTACAACTGGCATCCCTGCCTACAACTGGCATCCCTGCCTACAACTGACATCCCAGCCTACAACTGACATCCCAACCTACAACTGGCATCCCAGCCTACAACTTACATCCCAACCTACAACTGACATCCCAACCTACAACTGACATCCCAACCTACAACTGGCATCCCAACCTACAACTGGCATCCCAGCCTACAACTAGCATCCCTGCCTACAACTGGCATCCCAGCCTACAACTTACATCCCAACCTACAACTGACATCCCAACCTACAACTGACATCCCAACCTACAACAGACATCCCAGCCTACAACAGACATCCCAGCCTACAACTGACATCCCAACCTACAACTGGCATCCCTGCCTACAACTGGCATCCCAGCCTACAACTGGCATCCCAGCCTACAACTGGCATCCCAGCCTACAACAGACATTCCAGCCTACAACTGACATCCCAGCCTACAACGGACATCCCAGCCTACAACTGGCATCCCAACCTACAACTGACATCCCTGCCTACAACTGGCATCCCAGCCTACAACTGGCATCCCAGCCTACAACTGGCATCCCAGCCTACAACAGACATCCCAGCCTACAACGGACATCCCAGCCTACAACGGACATCCCAGCCTACAACTGGCATCCCAACCTACAACTGACATCCCAGCCTACAACTGACATCCCAGCCTACAACTGGCATCCCAAACCTACAACTGGCATCCCAGCCTACAACTGGCATCCCAACCTACAACTGACATCCCAGCCTACAACTGGCATCCAAACCTACAACTGACATCCCAGCCTACAACTGGCATCCCAACCTACAACTGGCATCCCAGCCTACAACGGACATCCCAGCCTACAACTGACATCCCAGCCTACAACTGGCATCCCAACCTACAACTGGCATCCCAGCCTACAACTGGCATCCCAACCTACAGCTGACATCCCAGCCTACAACTGGCATCCCAACCTACAACTGGCATCCTTGGTCTACAACTGGCATCCCAAACCTACAACTGGCATCCCCAGCCTACAACTGGCATCCCAACCTACAACTGGCATCCCAGCCTACAACTGGCATCCCAACCTACAACTGGCATCCCAAACCTACAACTGACATCCCAAACCTACAACTGGCATCCCAAACCTACAACTGGCATCCCAAACCTACAACCGGCATCCCAAACCTACAACTGGCATCCCAACCTACAACTGGCATCCCAGCCTACAACTGGCATCCCACCCTACAACTGGCATCCCTGCCTACAACTGGAATCCCAGCCTACAACTGGCATCCCAGCCTACAACTGGCATCCCAACCTACAACTGACATCCCAGCCTACAACTGGCATCCCAACCTACAGCTGACATCCCAGCCTACAACTGGCATCCCAACCTACAACTGGCATCCTTGGTCTACAACTGATATCTCCTGCCTACAACTGGCATCCCAGCCTACAACTGGCATCCCAAACCTACAACTGGCATCCCAGCCTACAACTGGCGTCCCAACCTACAACTGGCATCCCAGCCTACAACTGGCATCCCAACCTACAACTGGCATCCCAAACCTACAACTGACATCCCAAACCTACAACTGGCATCCCAACCTACAACTGGCATCCCAAACCTACAACTGGCATCCCAACCTACAACTGGCATCCCAAACCTACAACTGGCATCCCAGCCTACAACTGGCATCCCAACCTACAACTGGCATCCCTGCCTACAACTGGCATCCCAGCCTACAACTGGCATCCCAGCCTACAACTGGCATCCCAACCTACAACTGGCATCCCAAACCTACAACTGACATCCCAGCCTACAACTAGCATCCCAGCCTACAACTGACATCCCAACCTACAACTGACATCCCAGCCTACAACTGACATCCCAACCTACAACTGACATCCCAGCCTACAACTGGCATCCCAACCTACAACTGACATCCCAACCTACAACTGACATCCCCAGCCTACAACTGACATCCCAGCCTACAACTGACATCCCAACCTACAACTGACATCCCAGCCTACAACTGGCATCCCAACCTACAACTGACATCCCAACCTACAACTGACATCCCAACCTACAACTGACATCCCAACCTACAACTGACATCCCAACCTACAACTGGCATCCCAACCTACAACTGACATCCCAACCTACAACTGACATCCCCAGCCTACAACTGACATCCCAACCTACAACTGACATCCCCAGCCTACAACTGACATCCCAGCCTACAGCTAGCATCCGTGGTATACAACTGATATCTCCTGCCTACATCAATACCTACAACTGACATCTCCTGCCTACATCCATATCTACAACTGATATCTCCTGCCTACATTCATACCTACAACTGATATCTCCTGCCTACATCAATACCTACAACTGGCAATACTCACAACTGCATCTGCTTGTCTTCTTTCTCCCCAATCACAGTCTCCAGGGTCCGTCCAGAATCTGAAAACCAAATAATTTCCTCTTTCAATGTTTGAAAGACAAAAACCACTGACAATATCCTGTTGCTTACAGAGGGTATAGGCTGCTTCCGTGATGTACATGCATCGCATCATTTTAAAAGAACAAATATGTTCTAAATAAATATTAAGGATAGACATATTTAAAGAATAACCAAGGAACTACAGGGAATAAGGGATTAATTGACAAGTCTGGATCAAAGCCTCTACTGATGAACCTGACTACCTCGTTGGCCATGCTACAAACCCAACTAAACCTGAGCCATGCTACAGCCCCTACTAAACCAGTGCCTTGCTACAGCCCCTACTACACCTGTGCCATGCTACAGCCCCTACTAAACCTGTGCCATGCTACAGCCCCTACTACACCTGTGCCATGCTACAGCCCCTACTACACCTGTGCCATGCTACAGCCCCTACTAAACCAGTGACATGCTACAGCCCCTACTAAAACCTGTGCCATGCTACAGCCCCCACTAAACCCGTGCCATGCTACAGCCCCTACTACACCTGTGCCATGCTACAGCCCCTACTACACCTGTGCCATGCTACAGACCCTACTAAACCTGTGCCATGCTACAGCCCCTACTAAACCTGTGCCATGCTACAGCCCCTACTACACCTGTGTTATGCTACAGCCCCTACTACACCTGTGTTATGCTACAGCCCCTACTACACCTGTGCCATGCTACAGTCCCTACTACACCTGTGCCATGCTACAGCCCCTACTAAAACCTGTGCCATGCTACAGCCCCTACTACACCTGTGCCATGCTACAGCCCCTACTAAACCTGTGCCATGCTACAGCCCCTACTAAACCTGTGCCATGCTACAGCCCCCACTAAACCTGTGCCATGCTACAGCCCCTACCAACCTCCTCCAGACAGCATGGAACTGTGTGTGGCGATCTTCTTGTCCAGTTCTCGAATCTCGCCATAGTAGCGATCCATCATGACGATGTCTGGCTGCATGCTTTTCCCGGTGACCTCGTCTGTTTCCTTGGCCTGTAGCTCATCTTCCTTCTGTTAACACACCAGGACAAACACACCACAGGTCAGACACCAACTTTCAGAAACAAGAGATGAGCAACACTTCAGGCAGCACATGTGAAACACATGTTAGACACATGTAAAACAGGTGTGAAATGCAATTCGGTTTTAAAGACAGGTATCAACCAAGTCAGTGAGCCAAACCACCTGATCAACCTTCATTGAAATACTGGTACTTGTTCAAGGTCACACTAGGTGACAGTGTCTACACCAAACATTGAATATTCATTGAACTGTCTGGCTAAGTTGGGCAGCATCTTGTAAACTTAACTTCTTTGGTCACTAACAAGAAAAGGATCTCCAGATGAATTAACAATTTCATATAATCATTTGTCAACGAATAGGTCAGCAAAGAAATTAAACTACACTGATCTGACAGAAATGGTTTAAACTTTCCATCAATTTGAAACAAGCCAATTTATAACTAATCAATCTGGCCAGGATTTGTGTCTCCCCGATATCTCCGGCAGACATGTTGGTTGACTCACATTCTGCACAAGATCCCGGAGTTTCTGTATCTCCTCGTTCAGGCGGCGCTGTTTGTTCTTCAGTTGTGGAATCTCTGCATCCCTCAGGGTCACGATCTACACAGCAACAATACCACATACTGACTCACTGCCCTCTCAGGGTCACGATCTACAGCAACAATACCACACACTGACTTACTGTCCACTCAGGGTCAAGATCTACAGCAACAATACCACACACTGACTCACTGCCCTCTCTGGGTCACGATCTACACAGCAACAACACCACACACTGACTCACTGCCCTCTCAGGGTCACGATCTACAGCAACAATACCACACACTGACTTACTGTCCTCTCAGGGTCACAATCTACACAGCAACAATACCACACACTGACTTACTGCCCTCTCAGGGTCACGATCTACACAGCAACAATACCACACACTGACTTACTGTCCTCTCAGGGTCACGATCTACACAGCAACAATACCACACACTGCCCTCTCTGGGTCACGATCAACACAGCAACAATACCACACACTGACTTACTGCCCTCTCAGGGTCCACATCTACACAGCAACAATACCACACACTGACTTACTGTCCTCTCCTGGTCACGATCTACACAGCAACAATACCCATACTGTCTTACAGCCCTCTCAGGGTCACGATCTACACAGCAACAATACCACACACTGACTCACTGCCCTCTCAGGGTCCACATCTACACAGCAACAATACCACACACTGACTTACTGTCCTCTCCTGGTCACGATCTACACAGCAACAATACCACACACTGACTCACTGCCCTCTCAGGGTCACGATCTACACAGCAACAATACCACACACTGACTCACTGCCCTCTCAGGGTCCACATCTACACAGCAACAATACCACACACTGACTTACTGTCCTCTCCTGGTCACGATCTACACAGCAACAATACCACACACAGACTCACTGCCCTCTCAGGGTCACGATCTACACAGCAACAATACCACACACTGACTCACTGCCCTCTCAGGGTCCACATCTACACAGCAACAATACCACACACTGACTTACTGTCCTCTCCTGGTCACGATCTACACAGCAACAATACCACACACTGACTTACTGTCCTCTCCTGGTCACGATCTACACAGCATCAATACCACACACTGACTCACTGCCCTCTCAGGGTCCACATCTACACAGCAACAATACCACACACTGACTTACTGTCCTCTCCTGGTCACAATCTACACAGCAACAATACCACACACTGACTTACTGTCCTCTCAGGGTCACGATCTACACAGCAACAATACCACACACTGACTTACTGTCCTCTCCTGGTCACGATCTACACAGCAACAATACCACACACTGACTTACTGTCCTCTCCTGGTCACGATCTACACAGCAACAATACCACACACTGACTTACTGTCCTCTCAGGGTCACGATCTACACAGCAACAATACCCATACTGTCTTACAGCCCTCTCAGGGTCACGATCTAAACAGCAACAATACCACACACTGACTCACTACCCTCTCAGGGTCATGATCTACACAGCAACAATACCACACACTGACTTACTGTCCTCTCCTGGTCACGATCTACACAGCAACAATACCACACACTGACTTACTGTCCTCTCCTGGTCACGATCTACACAGCAACAATACCCATACTGTCTTACAGCCCTCTCAGGGTCATGATCTACACAGCAACAATACCACACACTGACTCACTACCCTCTCAGGGTCATGATCTACACAGCAACAATACCACACACTGACTTACTGTCCTCTCCTGGTCACGATCTACAGCAACAATACCACACACTGACTTACTGTCCTCTCCTGGTCACAATCTACACAGCAACAATACCACACACTGACTTACTGTCCTCTCCTGGTCACGATCTACACAGCAACAATACCACACACTGACTTACTGTCCTCTCCTGGTCACGATCTACACAGCAACAATACCACACACTGACTTACTACCCTCTCTGGGTCACGATCTACACAGCAACAATACCACACACTGCCCTCTCTGGGTCACGATCAACACAGCAACAATACCACACACTGACTTACTGCCCTCTCAGGGTCCACATCTACACAGCAACAATACCACACACTGACTTACTGTCCTCTCCTGGTCACGATCTACACAGCTACAATACCACACTCTGACTCACTACCCTCTCAGGGTCACGATCTACACAGCAACAATACCACACTCTGACTCACTACCCTCTCAGGGTCACGATCTACACAGCAACAATACCACACTCTGACTCACTACCCTCTCAGGGTCACGATCTACACAGCAACAATACCCCACACTGCCCTCTCTGGGTCACGATCAACACAGCAACAATACCACACTCTGACTCACTACCCTCTCAGGCAACAATACCCCACACTGCCCTCTCAGGGTCACGATCTACACAGCAACAATACCACACTCTGACTCACTACCCTCTCAGGCAACAATACCCCACACTGCCCTCTCTGGGTCACGATCAACACAGCAACAATACCACACTCTGACTCACTACCCTCTCAGGCAACAATACCCCACACTGCCCTCTCAGGGTCACAATTAACACAGCACTAGTAACAGACACTTAGTTACTGTCCCACTGAAAATGGGGTGACGATCAATCCATATCATGGAGTGAGTGAGTGAGTGAGAGTGAGTGAGTGAGCGAGCGAGTGAGTGAGTGAGAGAGAGAGTATAATCCTCATATTTTTTTGTCTTTGATTCTTTATTGTTTTAATGAAATAATTATCTGACACAATGTACCTGAAGTATGTTGTATGAGAGATGAGTTTGGAACAAGTAGTCATCATAGTGAGTGAGTGAGTGAGTGAGTGAGTGAGTGAGTGAGTGAGTGAGTGAGTGAGTGAGTGAGTGAGTGAGTGAGTGAGTGAGTTGGGTTTAACACCGCTCGCTTTGAACAGTAGTCCAGTTATATCATAATGCGTCAGCTTACATTTGGAGGAAAGCCCAAAGTGATGCAGGTCTCAGATGATTGCACAATCAAAGGTTTCTGGCATACCAAAGGGACATTCATCTTAAAGAAAACCTGTTTTCCTTGGTAGCAATTAGTGAATGTTGTTAAATACTGCAGTCAGCAATATTTCAGCACTAAACCTACCTAGCCAAATCTGTCCCTATTGTACAAGGTGAGGTGAAATGGGGATTAACATCGCATTTAAGATTATTGCACTTATATAGTAAAGTGCAATGAATCAATGTGTAAAATCAACATAGCTGAACATGTGCAAATAAACAATAACTAGATCTCCTCTACTGACATTTTCCCGGAGGGGCTTTAGCTGTGTCATGTTGTCGTACTTGAGCTGGAAGTCGTCAAGGTCTTTCTCTGCCTTCGTCAGGTGGGTCGGCACGAGGCGGAGCTTGTCTTGGAGCTGCAGGGAGCAACAGGGTTTGTGTTACAGCATTTCTGTGTCCTAATAATGTAACATCAACTTATCATATGTACATAGGTTCCCTTATCACCTGAACTCTGTGAATCTGTGAGCTCACACACTTGACAGTACCCACCTCTAGGATCAGTTCCAAGACCTCCTGATCCATGGCAGCTCTCCGACTGTGACCTCACACTTGACAGTACCCACCTCTAGGATCAGTTCCCGGACCTCCTGATCGGTGGCTACTCTCTGACTGTGACCTCACACTTGACAGTACCCACCTCTAGGATCAGTTCCCGGACCTCCTGATCGGTGGCTACTCTCTGACTGTGACCTCACACTTGACAGTACCCACCTCTAGGATCAGTTCCAAGACCTCCTGATCCATGGCAGCTCTCCGACTGTGACCTCACACTTGACAGTACCCACCTCTAGGATCAGTTCCCGGACCTCCTGATCGGTAGCAGCTCTCCGACTGTGACCTCACACTTGACAGTACCGACCTCTAGGATCAGTTCCCGGACCTCCTGATCAGTAGCAGCTCTCCGACTGTGACCTCACACTTGACAGTACCCACCTCTAGGATCAGTTCCCGGACCTCCTGATCGGTGGCAAACTCTCGGTGACACAGGGGACAACAGGGACTGTCTTTCTTCAGGTCATCCTGATACTTCTTAAAGAAATGTTCCGCACCGAGAAGGGAGCCACGTTTACTGCAGAGGCAGATAATGGAAATCATTTGAAGATAAGATAAATCATGTTGAGGGAAGTAGGTCATTATATTATGAATTGAAATCCCAATACAACAAAAGCTATTTAAGGCATTGCCTTGTCAAAAACATGGGGGCAGTCAAACAAAGATACATTGATATTTTTTCTCCTGATTTATATGGTTTTTCGGTGTGGTTTTTGTGGTTTGTTGTTTAATGCCGCACTCAGCAACATTCCACCAATATGAAGGCAGTCTGTAAACAATCAAGTGATTGACATCATGAGCATCGATCTACGGAGTGGGAAACGATGACATGCTTCAACCCAGTCATTGAGCTGGACCACCCAATCCCATCAGTCGCCTCTTGTGACAAGCATGTGTGGCTGAAGACCAATTCTAACCCAGATATTCACTGAACTTAGTTAGTTGTATGATATACATCCATGTACCTTGTTATATAATCATGCCATATGTGTATATATCCTGTTCTCTGTTACCAGTGATTAAGCACTAACATTCACTGTAAGGTTGATTTTGTTAACACATTCTTTATGTATGCATCAAACCTGAAATACTGCACGTCAGAGAGGAACGAAATAAGTCTGTACTTGTCAGCCGATCCATTAAAAAGAAAAGAAAAAAGAAGTAATGTGTACACCTCCCCAATTCCCTGACCCAGGGACTCACTCTTGCGCCTGTGCCATCTTGGACTGTACGGACTTGAGTCCATCATCGAAGTCCTGGCTGCCGCACACATCAAATATCTTCTCTTCAAGCCCTGGGAACAGAAGAGCATTCAGTGTTCAATTATTGTCTGTTATGCTCATAGGGTTCTGTCACGCCCAAGGGACGTAACTCTTCTACACTTTGCAATGATGCAGTGGTTGAGTTACTTATTTCTGGTTTTACCTGTCAGCTTTTGTTCACTATCCTTGATCTGCCTCCTACAAGAAAAAGACAAAACACATTTATGAAAATCAATGCTTGAAAAGTCTCCATTACCATGTAAATGATAAAAGACACCAGGCCTTTACATATCAACATATATAACATAGCTACGCAATAAATCGCAAAGAACAATGAAGAATGAAGCTTGGTTTATTTCACGATAAAACAGTGTTCTATCATGATGTCATTTCTGGAGATTTGAACGTGCGCTTGCAAATTGATGACATCGTAAATTTTCAAGAGGGAAGTGTCTAGCGAGTTGTTCCCCCATAGATGTAGCTGGACAGCACAGATAAACACAATGGCCGAACGATCACACTCGCAAGTGGGAGAGATGTGACAATCGGCATTGAGAGAGAGACACAGATAAACACAATGGCCGAACGATCACACTCGCAAGTGGGAGAGATGTGACAATTGGCATTGAGAGAGAGATACAGATAAACACAATGGCCGAACGATCACACTCGCAAGTGGGAGAGATGTGACAATTGGCATTGAGAGAGAGATACAGATAAACACAATGGCCGAACGATCACACTCGCAAGTGGGAGAGATGTGACAATCGGCATTGAGAGAGTGATACAGATAAACACAATGGCCGAACGATCACACTCGCAAGAGGGAGAGATGTGACAATCGGCATTGAGAGAGAGATACAGATAAACACAATGGCCGAACGATCACACTGGCAAGAGGGAGAGATGTGACAATCGGCATTGAGAACCCAGAATTACAGGTTTTGGTGTGACCATGGGACGCTACTCTGCTCAGAGAATGGCAGCGCATTAGATGACTGGCCACCCACTTGACTAGAGCACTGAGGCAGCCATATTTACCCCAGCATGTTCTTCTCGGCCTCCTTGGAGGAGAGATCGGTCTTGGCCTTCTGCATCTCAGCGGAACACTGCTTCACCTGCTCCGTCTGCTGCCTGCAATCAAACAGAACAACATGGTGGACAACAATACTATATTCCTACAACAATTCAACATAAAGATCAACTTCTTTCACGTAGTACGCAGAAACCGTTTGATATTCCCCATATCTCACGATCTACAATTCTCTACATATTCAGATTGGCCTTACTTGACAACAAACAGTATGTTCACCACCTCTCACTGAAAACTCATCTTCTTACTAGCTTTGTTCAACACAAAAACCTTCAGTATATTTCAAATCAGTGATCATAAACAGTTCTTAATTTTGAAGCATGTTAACTACCTACAACTGAATAAATACTGATAATTATTTGCATAAGCTGCCAGATGACAAATATAACATAACTTGATGTTTTTTTCTTTCAGAAAATGATTTAACCATAGGCTTAAAACAATAAAAGAATTGGTTCTCAGGCCATGGCAATGAAAATTTGGGGGTTTGCAGTGTTTTATTTTATTTATTTTTTGGTTGGGTGGGGGTGTGTTATTCATAGAAGTATTTAACCACATAAACAGTTGTGTAAGCAAATAAACAGTTGCAATCAACCTTGGAAAGGGCCTCCCTAGATAAATGTGTTCCTTGATGAATACAAGAGGCCCATAGGGCCTGTATCACTCACCTGGATATTTATGCAATCATGACAAAATATACGTCTAAATATTACTGAAAATATTTCGTAATTTTGACCCTGTCAGCATTTAAAATGGGTGGATGGCAAATCTGACAGCATGAACGTGTGTTTCTCTAGATACAAATGTAGCTTAAAGATCTGAACCGTTACCATGTAATGATCCAGGACAATTCATATTAAAGGTATTCTTCTCTTCATAAAAACAGATGTATCTGTTTATTATAGGTTGGGGATAATATTGGTTTGCATGTTATGGTCAAGGTTCTAACTCCTTTGGGAGTGCTGGACAGATGAACAGAAGGGCCAGTCCTGGTAGCATATGTACATTCCTCTCATAATACTCTCAATTGTACATATGGTTATACGGTGGGGATCTTAACTGTGTCCAAGTTATGAACTCTTTTTAGCCCCTCCAGTTCTCCAATTTGAATCCCCACCATTGGAGAATGCTTCCAACCAAATATGGTTGATATCTTTCTCTTAGTTCCAGAGAGGAAGTCACTTAGAGCAATATAGCCAAATCACTCCTATTTGGCCCCGCCCCTCAACCCCTTGGGGGGGATCGATCCCTCCATTTGTACAATTTTTAATCTTCATCACCGGAGAGTGCTTCCAACCAAATATGGTTGATATTTATCTTAGTACCAGAGAAGAAGTCGCTTAAAGCAATATAGCCAAATTACCCCTATTTGGCCCCGCCCCTCAGCTCCTTGGGGGGGTCGAGCCCTCCATTTGTACATTTTTTAAACTTCACCACTGGAGAATGCTTCCAACCAAATATGGTTGATATTTATCTTAGTACCAGAGAAGAAGTCGCTTAAAGCAATATAGCCAAATTACCCCTATTTGGCCCCGCCCCTCAGCCCCTTGGGGGGGTCGAGCCCTCCATTTGTACATTTTTTAAACTTCACCACTGGAGAATGCTTCCAACCAAATATGGTTGATATTTATCTTAGTACCAGAGAAGAAGTCGCTTAAAGCAATATAGCCAAATTACCCCTATTTGGCCCCGCCACTCAGCTCCTTGGGGGGTCAGCCTCCTCCATTTGTACAATTTTTAATACCCACTACCTAGGGACGATTCCAGTCAAATTTCGTTAATTTCCAATTAGGGGTTCAGGAGAAGAAGTCGTTTGAATACATTGTTGACATACTGACATTGGAGGGACGATGGTTGGTGAGTGAGTGAGTGAGTGAGTGAGTGAGTGAGTGAGTGAGTGAGAGTGAGTGAGTGAGTGAGAGTGAGTGAGTGAGTGAGTGAGTGAGTGAGTGAGTGAGTGAGTGAGTGAGTGAGTGAGTGAGTGAGTGAGTGAGTGAGTGAGTGAGTTGGGTTTAATGCCACTTTTAACAAACAGTATTCCAGTTATATCACGGCGTGTCAGCTTAATGTAGGAGGAAAGCCTGAAGTGATGCAGGTCTCAGGCTTTTACCACTTCGGTGAAACCCACGAGCATGGGAATGGTGCTGACAAACCTAGAAACCGGCATTTGAACCCACAATCACAGGATTCTGGCATGCCTTAGGGACACAACTCTGCACAGCGAATAGCAGCGCCTTTGACGACTGGGCTACCTGTGCATCATTCAGACCCGTTGAGCTTAAAATACTGGAATACAGCATTTGACTACCGTTGAGCTTGGAATATTTATGGAATTTTTAGTTTTTTTCAAAAATGGAAATAAAAACGAAACATGCAGCGAACTTTATGATGATGCAAGCAGTGCCTGGGAACCAAGACTATTGTTTATTTTTAGCCTTAACATAGTATTTTCTGAGGAAGCCTTATTCTAAAACTGTGAAGGAGAGGCACTTTTGATGTTAGAGGTGAGTACAGTGGTGCTGACCCTATAAAGTCCTCGAGCTGTCCACGGATGTTGGTCGTCGGCATGTGGCCCAAAAGGTAGGTCAGGCCGTCCTCGTGTTTCGCCTTCCTGCATACAACAGATGAGGTGACATTAGGTTAGTTCACAAATTCTGGTTTGAAAATGTTTTGTATAATGAGTGAAAACTTATATCTAATCAAAGGATACACAGAGATTTGCTGCTACAATGAGTGAGTGAGCTAGTGAGTTTGGTGTAATGCCGCTTTAAACCTCAACGCAACAATGAAAATGACAATATCAGTAAGGAATGTTACTTCTGCAAGAATGCAAGATTTGGGTATTTATGCTGTCAGTAATGTATGTGGCCGTAGGCTGATTATTTCGATATTAGCATTGCCAAATAATGTTCTTTTCCACTAGATTGTATGTGTTTCTCAAGTGAGTGAGTTGAGTTTGATAGCACTTTGAACAGAGTTTCAATTTAGCAGGCGTGTCAGGAGGAAGACCTTTAGTAATACAGGTAGATGTCACCACTCTGAAACCCAAAGTATATCTACACTGAGGCCGGCTGCAGCAGAGAGAGAACTCACAGTCGCCGGATGATGTCCTCCTTGGATGTCCTCTCCTTCTTCAGCATGTCCAGCTGGGTCTGGGTCTCCAGCTCCCGGTTCAGACGATTCATCTCCGAGCTGCACGGAGAAACAAACATCGCGGGTTAGTGACGACGAGCAACAACAGACGATTCATCTCCGAGCTGCACGGAGAAACAAACATCATGGGTTAGTGACGACGAGCAACAACAGACGATTCATCTCCGAGCTGCACGGAGATACAAACATCACGGGTTAGTGACGACGAGCAACAACAGACAATTCATCTCTGAGCTGCACGGAGATACAAACATCACGGGTTAGTGACGACGAGCAACAACAGACTATTCATCTCCGAGCTGCAGGGAGATACAAACATCACGGGTTAGTGACGACGAGCAACAACAGACGATTCATCTCCGAGCTGCACGGAGATACAAACATCACGGGTTAGTGACGACGAGCAACAACAGATGATTCATCTCTGAGCTGCACGGAGATACAAACATCACGGGTTAGTGACGACGAGCAACAACAGACGATTCATCTCTGAGCTGCACGGAGATACAAACATCACGGGTTAGTGACGACGAGCAACAACAGACGATTCATCTCCGAGCTGCACGGAGATACAAACATCACGGGTTAGTGACGACGAGCAACAACAGACGATTCATCTCCGAGTTGCAGGGAGATACAAACATCACGGGTTAGTGACGACGAGCAACAACAGACGATTCATCTCTGAGCTGCACGGAGATACAAACATCACAGGTTATTGACGACGAGCAACAACAGACAATTCATCTCCGAGCTGCACGGAGATACAAACATCACAGGTTATTGACGACGAGCAACAACAGACGATTCATCTCTGAGCTGCACGGAGATACAAACATCACGGGTTAGTGACGACGAGCAACAACAGACGATTCATCTCCAAGCTGCAGGGAGATACAAACATCACGGGTTAGTGACGACGAGCAACAACAGACGATTCATCTCTGAGCTGCACGGAGATACAAACATCACAGGTTATTGACGACGAGCAACAACAGACGATTCATCTCCGAGCTGCAGGGAGATACAAACATCACGGGTTAGTGACGACGAGCAACAACAGACAATTCATCTCTGAGCTGCACGGAGATACAAACATCACGGGTTAGTGACGACGAGCAACAACAGACAATTCATCTCCGAGCTGCATGGAGACACAAACATCATGGGTTAGTGACGACGAGCAACAACAGACGATTCATCTCTGAGCTGCACGCAGACACAAACATCATGGGTTAGTGACGACGAGCAACAACAGACGATTCATCTCTGAGCTGCACGGAGATACAAACATCACAGGTTAGTGACGACGAGCAACAACAGACGATTCATCTCCGAGCTGCACGGAGATACAAACATCATGGGTTAGTGACGACGAGCAACAACAGACAATTCATCTCTGAGCTGCATGCCCGATACAAACATCACAGGTAAGTGACGACGAGCAACAACAGACTATTCATCTCTGAGCTCCCAGAAACGAACATCATGGGTTGGTGATTACGAAAATCAAACATCACAGGCTAGCATTCACTTGCAATGCAAACGGTCTTACTTTCAACTATCAACAAATATGGCTTTATGTCGAAGGGCAACAAACATCATGGCTTAGTGTTAACTAGCAACAAATGTTACGGCTTGGCGGGGAGTAGCAAGAAACTTTAAGTATAAAATAACATCTAGTATACAACCAGAACAAGGAGACACAAAACTCAGGAAAGTTTACAGAGAACACAGATGGCCTTCTTTAGAACTGCCAACAGTTTCCAATGTAGCAGACAAACATCTATTTAATGAAAGTACTCAGACAGTTAGATTTGGCTTAAATTTGATACATGTGAACACAGATAATGAGAACCTACTTCAAATCACTGAGAGTTGTGTCCAGCTGTCGTCTGTCCTTGTCAAGGAGAGTTATCTCCCTCTTCAGATCTTCCAGGTTGACTGTCCCCTCTGTGCTGCTCAGGTCTAGCTCCTACAAACAGGTCAGACTCGGGACTGAGTGAGTCAACCAACACAGGTCAGCTAGATACTGGACTGGGTGAGTCAACCAACACAGGTCAGCTAGATACTGGACTGGGTGAGTCAACCAACACAGGTCAGCTAGATACTGGACTGAGTGTGTCAACCAACACAGGTCAGCTAGATACTGGACTGAGTGTGTCAACCAACACAAGTCAGCTAGATACTGGACTGAGAGTGTCAACCAACACAGGTCAGCTAGATACTGGACTGAGTGTGTCAACCAACACAGGTCAGCTAGATACTGGACTGAGTGTGTCAACCAACACACATCAGCTAGATACTGGACTGAGTGTGTCAACCAACACAGGTCAGCTAGATACTGGACTGAGTGTGTCAACCAACACAGGTCAGCTAGATACTGGACTGAGTGTGTCAACCAACACAGGTCAGCTAGATACTGGACTGAGTGTGTCAACCAACACAAGTCAGCTAGATACTGGACTGAGTGTGTCAACCAACACAAGTCAGCTAGATACTGGACTGAGTGTGTCAACAAACACAGGTCAGCTAGATACTGGACTGAGTGAGTCAACCAACACAGGTCAGCTAGATACTGGACTGAGTGTGTCAACCAACACAAGTCAGCTAGATACTGGACTGAGTGAGTCAACCAACACGGGTCAGCTAGATACTGGACTGAGTGTGTCAACCAACACAGGTCAGCTAGATACTGGACTGAGTGTGTCAACCAACACGGGTCAGCTAGATACTGGACTGGGTGTGTCAACCAACACAGGTCAGCTAGATACTGGACTGGGTGTGTCAACCAACACAGGTCAGCAATATAATGGACTGAGTACAAAGTCATCCTTTTCAACTATAATCAGAGGAGGCTCTCAGAAAAACACAAAACAGCAGACTAACCTTCCTTTGGATAGACATCCATGTACAATACTGCTGGATTGACTAAAGTCAGAGAGTCAGACCATTAAACTACCCAAGGGAAATTAAGAAGGGCATTCACACACTGTACCCAATCTAATTTAATACCCGATCTAATTTAATACCAAAAGAGTGATTCTGTTCAATCCTAAGGACTCCTTTCCACAAGGGGATTTTAGTGATGAGGTGATCGTAACTCACATACTTAAACATAGGCTTATGATCACCTTAACACTAAGATCACTTTATGGCCTTAGCACTAAGATCGCTTTGTGGAACAGGGCTCAGGTGCCATGCTCAGTATACGGTTAGACATTATTCAGGTCTTGTAGAATGAGAAATTGTTTCTGTGTAACAAGGGTAATTGTAAATTGTTAGATTTGAGTACTGGTAAGCATACAAACTAATGGTATGTAATGTCTTCCATCAATTTGCAAGGACTGTTACTTGACCAAGCCTCGTCTCCCTTCAACGACCTACTTACTGCCCCCTTCAAGTCCCTGGTCAGCTGGTCAAGTCGCCCGGCCGAGGCCTCCATGTGGCTCAACTTCTGGTTAATCTGTCGGATCTCGTTTGAGTTCTTGGTCTAGAGAAGTACAACAACAAGAGAGGACATATCACACAGCTACACTGTTCTCTAGTTCCTCGGTCAAAATAAAATATATATACCTAATTTTATTGTAAAAATTCTTAATGGCTGACAATTTATGATTCTGCATTTCCATGAGATATTACATATGAATTCTTCAAATGTATAGTGTGTGATGTCTAGTATTTCCTGTGTGCATTCTGCCAATGTACCGTATGATTGTGAAAATTCATGTATCCATGTGTAACACTATATACCATATCTATCTAGGGCAGTTCATGTATGTGTAATGGCCATAAGAAACCCATAATGGGATTCACACCATGGACTGTATGAGCCAAGGTTGGTTTGACACCTTGTCGAAATGACCAAAGAGGTTAACCCTGTCTGGTGACAAGGTGAGGATGTCATCTGTTGGATGACTCCACGACCTGCTACAAAACGTTCTGGCCAAATTTACGCCGAGGTCTTTCTTGGGCAATGCATTCTGTCACAATATTTACCATGAGGTCTCATTGTCACAATATTTACCATGAGGTGTATCTCACAGTATTTACCATGAGGTGTCTCGGGACACAATATTTACCATGAGGTCTCTCCATCACAATATTTACCATGAGGTCTCTCTGTCACAATATTTACCATGAGGTCTCATTGTCACAATATTTACCATGAGGTCTCTCCATCACAATATTTACCATGAGGTCTCTCCATCACAATATTTACCATGAGGTCTCTCTGTCACAATATTTACCATGAGGTCTCTCTGTCACAATACTTACCATGAGGTCTCTCCATCACAATATTTACCATGAGGAGTCTTTGTCACAATATTTACCATGAGGTCTCCATCAGGTCTCTCTGTCACAGTATTTACCATGAGGTCTCTCCATCACAATATTTACCATGAGTACTCTCTGTCACAATATTTACCATGAGGTCTTTCTTGATGCGCTCACTCTGCTCCAGCTTGGTCTTGCTGTCCCGCAGGTCGTCCATCTTCTTTTGAATGGAGGCTTCCTTCTCCTCATATTGTGTCTGCAGGTACACACACATGCATCTACTCAATAACCACATTTCCTGGGACATGTCATTGCTTAGCTACTGTGATGCGACAGCGACATCCACACTGTTCTAAAACAGTCCAACACTTTCACAATTGAGTAAAAACTTGACGTTGCAAATGTAACTTTACAGCCTGATAGCCTATGGTCGATTATTGTCACTATGGGCTTATATTGACATCATGGTCTAATATTGGCACTATGGTCTAATATTGACGCTATGGTATAACATTGTCACTATGATCCAATATTGACACTATGGTCTAATATTGACGCTATGGTCTTATGTTGGCACTATTGTCTAATAGTATCACTAAAGTCTAATAGTGCCACTATGGTCTATGGTCTAATATTGTCACTATGGTCTAATATTGTCACTCTGGTCTTATGTTGGCACTCTGGTGTAATTTTGACACTATGGTATAGTATTATCACAATGGTCTAATATTGACACTATGGTCTAATAGTGTCACTATGGTCTAAAATTGACACCATGATCTAATATTGGGACTATGGTCCAATATTGATGCTATGGTATAATATTGTCACTATGGTCGTTTATTGTCACTATGGTCTAATATTGTCACTATGGTCTAATATTGTCACCATGGTCTAATATTGACACTATGGTCTAATATTGACACTATAGTCTAATATTGACGCTATGGTCTAATATTGACGCTATGGTCTTATGTTGGCACTATGGTCTAATATTGACGCTATGGTCTTATGTTGGCACTATGGTCTAATAGTGTCACTATGGTCTATTATTGTCACTATGGTCTAATATTGTCACTATGGTCTAATAGTGTCACTATGGTCTAATATTGATGCTATGGTCTTAGTTGGCACTATAGTCTAATAGTGTCACTATGGTCTATTATTGTCACTATGGTCTAATATTGTCACTATGGTCTAATAGTGTCACTATGGTCTAATGTTGGCAGTATGGTCTAATATTGTCACTATAGTCTAATATTGTCACTCTGGTCTTATGTTGGCACTATGGTCTAATAGTATCACCATAGTCTAATAGCGTCACTATGGTCTAATGTTGGCAGTATGGTCTAATATTGGTTCTCTGGTGTAATTTTGACACTCTGGTGTTATATTGGCACTCTGGTCTAATATTGACACTATTGTCTAATATTATCACAAGGGTCTAATGTTGACACTATGGTCTAATATTATCACAAGGGTCTAATATTGACACTATGGTCTAATATTATCACAAGGGTCTAATATTGACACTATGGTCTAATAGTGTCACTGGTCTAATATTGACACTATGGTCTAATATTATCACAAGGGTCTAATATTGACACTATGGTCTAATATTATCACAAGGGTCTAATATTGACACTATGGTCTAATAGTGTCACTCTGGTCTAATGTTGATTCTATGGTCCAATATTGGCACTCTGGTCTAATATTGGCACTCTGGTCTAATATTATCACTATGGTCAAATATTGACACTATGGATAATAATGGTCCCGAAAACTTCACTAGGTAAGATGTAACCCAATCAACCAAGTACCGTTACTGACCAACCAAGTCCTCTAGTAGCCTCTCATGACCAGGTAGATTGCTTGGGAATGATTCAAATCAGGAATTCCCCCAAACAAAAGAAATGTAATCATCACAAAAAGTCAAATTGCGGTACTACCATGATACATTCTGGTTTTTTCCTTGACACATGGACAAGACAAAGTTTCATTAATAATGCTCATGTGGGTTAATGACAACATGTCTATTGAGCGACATGCCCATGGCAATGGAGGACACCCACCTTCAACTTTTGAGTGTCGGCAACCATTCCCTCCAGTTTGCTTCTGACATTTTCAAAGAAGTATTTATATTTCTCATCCGAGATTTGCCCTCTCTCAAACCCTGTAAACATGAAAAACTAATTAAATCATTCACACTTATAAACCATTGTTGAACACTGGCAAATTATCATAAAACACGAAGATATTTAGTGTGAATAGCAATAGATTCTCAGATAATACATGTTGGAATATGTCTTCTTAGCAGAGAATTGGGATCGATGACATGCATCAACAAAGTCAGCGAGCCTGACCACCCGATCCCGTTAGTTGCCTCTGACGCCCAGCACCGTCGCCTTTTATGGCAAGCATGGGTTGCTGAAGACCTATTCTACCCGGGTCTTCATGGGCTAATACATTTGGGAAAGTGTGTACAATGCTGATGGGAGTATTTGTGCAGTGTGTTGGACTTTATCGAATAAACTTGTCCCAGCTGTGCAGTCTCACCTTCAAACTCGTACTGGGCAGCCAGGGTGCAGATCAGGCCATCCCGCTTCTCAACATTCTCTTTGTGAGTCTGACAAACAACATATTAAAATCAATTGACAATATCATGAGTGTCAAAGGACATGAGAAAATAAATATGTAATTCACAGTGGTCGGGAAGTGAGAGCAGGGATCACCTTGACCTTCTGACAGGACGATTACCTTGACCTGACAGGGAGATCACCTTGACCTTCTGAGAGGGAGCAGGGATCACCTTGACCTTCTGAGAGAGAGCAGGGATCACCTTGACCTTCTGACAGAGCAGGGATCAAAATCCTTGTAAGTATTTCAGTAATGACAGTATGTCAGCTTATTGTGGGTGGAAAAGCCCCTAGTGATGCAGGTCTTGGATATTACCACTTAAGTAAAATGGGCATGGTGCCTGACAAACCAAAAATCAAAATAAGGACAAATGTCATATGGACCGAAAATCTTAGACTACTGGACCACCTGTCTCTATATGGGATTACTTAGGGCCCCTCTAAAAACCCTACCTCACCTAACTGTCTCACCTGGCTTCCTCCCCACAAGACACTGTCTCACCTGGCTTCCTCCCCGCAAGACACTGACTCACCTGGCTTCCTCCCCGCAAAACACTGACTCACCTGGCTTCCTCCCCACAAGACACTGACTCACCTGGCTTCCTCCCCGCAATACACTGACTCACCTGGCTTCCTCCCCGCAAAACACTGACTCACCTGGCTTCCTCCCCACAAGACACTGACTCACCTGGCTTCCTCCCCGCAAAACACTGACTCACCTGGCTTCCTCCCCACAAGACACTGACTCACCTGGCTTCCTCCCCGCAATACACTGACTCACCTGGCTTCCTCCCCGCAACATACTGACTCACCTGGCTTCCTCCCCACAATACAGTCACTCACCTGGCTTCCTCCCCACAACACAGTCATTCACCTGGCTTTCTCCCCACAAGACACTGACTCACCTGGCTTTCTCCCTGCAATACACTGTCTCACCTGGCTTCCTCCCCAAAATACAGTCACTCACCTGGCTTCCTCCCCACAACACAGTCATTCACCTGGCTTTCTCCCCGCAATACACTGACTCACCTGGCTTCCTCCCTGCAATACACTGACTCACCTGGCTTTCTCCCTGCAAGACACTGACTCACCTGGCTTCCTCCCCACAATACACTCACTCACCTGGCTTCCTCCCCCACAAGACACTCACTCACCTTGCTTCCTCCCCGCAAGACACTGACTCACCTGGCTTCCTCCCCGCAATACACTGACTCACCTGGCTTCCTCCCCGCAATACACTGACTCACCTGGCTTCCTCCCCGCAATACACTGACTCACCTGGCTTCCTCCCCCACAAGACACTGACTCACCTGGCTTCCTCCCCGCAAGACACTGACTCACCTGGCTTCCTCCCCGCAATACACTGACCCACCTGGCTTCCTCCCCGCAATACACTGACTCACCTGGCTTCCTTCCCGCAATACACGCACTCACCTGGCTTCCTCCCCACAATACACTCACTCACCTGGCTTCCTCCCCGCAATACACGCACTCACCTGGCTTCCTCCCCGCAATACACGCACTCACCTGGCTTTCTCCCCGCAATACACTCACTCATCTGGCTTCCTTCCCGCAATACACTGACTCACCTGGCTTCCTCCCCGCAATACACGCACTCACCTGGCTTCCTCCCCGCAATACACGCACTCACCTGGCTTCCTCCCCGCAATACACGCACTCACCTGGCTTCCTCCCCGCAATACACTGACTCACCTGGCTTCCTCCCCGCAATACACGCACTCACCTGGCTTCCTCCCTGCAATACACGCACTCACCTGGCTTCCTCCCCGCAATACACGCACTCACCTGGCTTCCTCCCTGCAATACACTGACTCACCTGGCTTCCTCCCCGCAATACACGCACTCACCTGGCTTCCTCCCCGCAATACACGCACTCACCTGGCTTCCTCCCCGCAATACACTGACTCACCTGGCTTCCTCCCCGCAATACACGCACTCACCTGGCTTCCTCCCTGCAATACACGCACTCACCTGGCTTCCTCCCCGCAATACACTCACTCACCTGGCTTCCTCCCCGCAATACACGCACTCACCTGGCTTCCTCCCCGCAATACACGCACTCACCTGGCTTCCTTCCCGCAATACACTGACTCACCTGGCTTCCTCCCCGCAATACACGCACTCACCTGGCTTCCTCCCCGCAATACACGCACTCACCTGGCTTCCTCCCCGCAATACACGCACTCACCTGGCTTCCTTCCCGCAATACACTCACTCACCTGGCTTCCTCCCCCTCAAGACACTGACTCACCCGGCTTCCTCCTCGCAATACACTGACTCACCTGGGCCTCCTGCTGCAGCTTGCCCACCTCCAGCTGCAGCTGTGACTTCTCCCTGCCCAGCTTTTCCACCGATATTGACAGCTCCTCCTTCCGCCGCTCCATCTTCACCATCACAACGTACACCATTATACATATAAAGCATATGATTCTGTGGCATTTGATTGGGTAACCAAACATACACTCCATGTGTTAATGTTTCCATAAACCAAACATACACTTCATGTGTTAATGTTTCCATATACCAAACATACACTCCATGTGTTAATGTTTCCATAAACCAAATGTACACTTCATGTGTTAATGTTTCCATAAACCAAACTTACACTCCAAGTGTTAATGTTTCCATAAACCAAACGTACACTTCATGTGTTAATGTTTCCATCAACCAAACATACACTTCATGTGTTAATGTTTCCATCAACCAAACATACACTCCATGTGTTAATGTTTCCATCAACCAAACATACACTTCATGTGTTAATGTTTCCATAAACCAAACATACACTTCATGTGTTAATGTTTCCATCAACCAAACATACACTTCATGTGTTAATGTTTCCATCAACCAAACATACACTTCATGTGTTAATGTTTCCATCAACCAAACATACACTTCATGTGTTAATGTTTCCATCAACCAAACATACACTTCATGTGTTAATGTTTCCATAAACCAAACATACACTTCATGTGCTAATGTTTCCATCAACCAAACATACACTTCATGTGCTAATGTTTCCATCAACCAAACATACACTTCATGTGTTAATGTTTCCATAAACCAAACATACACTTCATGTGTTAATGTTTCCATAAACCAAACATACACTTCATGTGCTAATGTTTCCATAAACCAAACATACACTTCATGTGCTAATGTTTCCATAAACCAAACATACACTTCATGTGCTAATGTTTCCATAAACCAAACATACACTTCATGTGTTAATGTTTCCATAAACCAAACATACACTTCATGTGCTAATGTTTCCATAAACCAAACATACACTTCATGTGCTAATGTTTCCATAAACCAAACATACACTTCATGTGTTAATGTTTCCATAAACCAAATGTACACTTCATGTGTTAATGTTTCCATAAACCAAACGTACACTCCAAGTGTAAATGTTTCCAAAAACCAAACGTACACTTCATGTGTTAATGTTTCCATCAACCAAACATACACTTCATGTGTTAATGTTTCCATCAACCAAACATACACTCCATGTGTTAATGTTTCCATAAACCAAACATACACTTCATGTGTTAATGTTTCCATAAACCAAACATACACTTCATGTGTTAATGTTTCCATAAACCAAACATACACTTCATGTGTTAATGTTTCCATAAACCAAACATACACTTCATGTGTGAATGTTTTCATAAACCAAAATACAATTTAGCCTCCACTACTAATGGCCTAATGTTTCCTGATTGGCTGATAATAGAATGGGTGGGTTTTGTGAGCTGAACAATGTCGCTGATTTGGTATTGTTGTTTCTAGCTTATTGTGTGTTAATGCTTAAATAAGCAGTATGTGAAGTTATTTACTTATAAGAATTTACTTCAATCATTTTTCCATTTAGGGAGTTATAAACGTAAAAAACTGTGCACAGTTTATCGTAAATCCACATAGGAGATTTACACAGGAAGTACAAAGGTTTTGATGTTATAACTCCCTAAATACAAAAACATACTGAAGTCAATTCTTAAATGACCATGCCATGATTGTAGTATAAATAATCCTGGCATTTTATGAATGATAATTTCAATGGAAAGAATCTTCTTGTAAAAGTCTCTGAATTTTGTGAGTGAGTTGGGATTAACGCCACTTTTAACAGTAGTCTAGTCATATCATGGCATGTCAGATTAGTGGGAGGACAGCCTGAAGTGATACAAGCCTTAGATGGGTACCACTTTGGCAAAACCCACGAGCAAGTACATGATGCTGACAAACCTAGAAACATAATCAGGGTGAACCAGGATTCGAACCCACAATCATTGGTTTCTGGCGTCCCTAAGGGACACAACTCTGCACAGCTCTCCCACTTCAGAATAGATCTCCTATGGCAAGAATAGCAAAGATACTACTTAGGGAAGCTCTGATGAAGACTCAAGGGACAGACATGTGGAACAGACCATCCCTTCCAACGTGTCGTCCTCCTGTCCTCACCTGCTGCACGGTGTCCTTCCTCTCCTGAAGCTTGTCCTCAAAGTCCTCCAGGACCCCCTTCAGCTCCTCTGTGGACCCTGTGCCACACAACACACACTGTAGCCTGGCCCTAACCAGGGCCCACTTGCACAAAGCGATCTTAGCGCTAAGATGATCGTAACTCCCACACTTTAACATAGGCTTACATTAGTTGTAGTGCTAAGATCGCTTTGTGCAAGTGGGCCCAGGTGTGATAGGGGATCTTTTACAAATTTCAGTTGTCTGATTCACATATAGAGACAGATACTACTGACCCTAAAACTTATCTATTTAGCCAACACAGATACTACTTACCATGGAGACAGCTTATACAAACTAGTTATTAAACTAGTGTTCATTTTGTTGATACTACTTTCCCTGTAACTTATGTCCATTGTGTTGGGACAGATACTACTTTCCCTGTAACTCATGTCCATTGTGTTGAGACAGATACTACTTTCCCTGTAACTTATGTCCATTGTGTTGAAACAGATACTACTTTCCCTGTAACTTATGTCCATTGTGTAGAGACAGATACTACTTTCCATGTAACTTCCGTCCTTTGTGTTGAGACAGATACTACTTTCCCTGTAACTTATGTCCATTGTGTTGAGACAGATACTACTTTCCCTGTAACTTATGTCTACTGTGTTGAGACAGATACTACTTTCCCTGTAACTTATGTCCATTGTGTTGAGACAGATACTACTTTCCCTGTAACTTATGTCCATTGTGTTGAGACAGATACTACTTTCCCTGTAACTTATGTCTACTGTGTTGAGACAGATACTACTTTCCCTGTAACTTATGTCTACTGTGTTGGGACAGATACTACTTTCCCTGTAATTTATGTCTACTGTGTTGAGACAGATACTACTTTCCCTGTAACTTATGTCTACTGTGTTGAGACAGATACTACTTTCCCTGTAACTTATGTCCATTGTGTTGAGACAGTTACTACTTTCCCTGTAACTTATGTCTACTGTGTTGAGACAGATACTACTTTCCCTGTTATTTATGTCTACTGTGTTGAGGCAGATACCACTTTCCCTGTAACTTATGTCCATTGTGCTGAGACAGATACTACTTTCCCTGCAGCACACAACTCACACTGTAACTTTTACCAATTTCAGTTGTCTGATTCACACAGTGACAGATACCACTGACACTAAAACTTATTTAATTGGCCGATATAGATACCACATACCATTGAGACAGCTAATACAATCCTGTAACTCATGTTCATTGTGTTGAGATACTACATTCCCTGTAACTTATGAGTGAGTAAGTGAGTGAATTGGGTTTAATGCCGCTTTTAACAGTATTCCAGTTATATCACGGCGTGACAGCTTAACGTGGGAGGAAAGCCCGAAGTGTTGCAGGTCTCTGACGTTTACCACTTCGGTGAAACCCAAAAGCACTGGTATGGTGCTGACAAACCTAGAAATATAATCGGGATTTGAACCCACAATCATAGGTTTCTGGCATGACCAAGGGATGCAACTCTGCACAGTGAATCGCGGCGCCTTAGACAACTGGGCCACCCGTGCCCCCGTGTAACTTAAGTCCATTGTGCTGAGACAGATACTACTTTCCCTACAACTCACGTTCAATGTGACACTACAGATGATACTTATCACAAAACTAATGCTCAATGTGACATTACAGATACTACTTACCCCGAAACTCATGTCCAATCAGACACTACAGATACTACTTACCCTGAAACTCATGTCCAATCAGACACTACAGATACTACTTACCCTGAAACACATGTCCAATGTGACACTACAGATACTACTTACCCTGAAACACATGTCCAGTGTGACACTACAGATACTACTTACCCTGAAACACATGTCTAATGAGACACTACAGATACTACTTACCCTGAAACACATGTCTAATGTGACACTACAGATACTACTTACCCTGAAACACATGTCTAATGAGACACTACAGATACTACTTACCCTGAAACACATGTCTAATGTGACACTACAGATACTACTTACCCTGAAACACATGTCTAATGAGACACTACAGATACTACTTACCCTGAAACACATGTCCAATGTGACACTACAGATACTACTTACCCTGAAACTCATGTCTAATGTGACACTACAGATACTACTTACCCTGAAACACTAGGCTAATGAGACACTACAGATACTACTTACCCTGAAACACATGTCTAATGAGACACTACAGATACTACTTACCCTGAAACACATGTCCAATGTGACACTACAGACACTCCTTACACTGAAACACATGTCCAATGTGACACTACAGACACTACTTACCCTGAAACACATGTCCAATGTGACACTACAGATACTACTTACCCTGAAACACATGTTCAATGTTGTCCTGGAGTTCCTGAATGTTTTTCTCCAGTTGTCCCTTTTCACTCTCCAGTTTCTCTGCAACACATCACACTGAACATCAGATTCTGATAATACTTCATTAACATTAACTCAAGATTATTCCACTTGCTTATATCATTCGCAAATCTGAACATACCAATTTTAGTCTTCACTTTGTAGATCTCATTAGCATTCTGTTGTATTTGATCAAGACGCTCCTGAAATGAGAGAATAAATCTGAAAATGCATAAATTACATCTGATTGGAATCTTAAATTCACAACAGAAATTGTTTCCGGTTTCTGCTCATCTGGAAATGTTTGTAACCATGGTAACAGCCATCATCAATGTCTTGTCTGGCTCTGACAACATTTGGATGATGACTGACCTACAATTTTGACCTGGTTCAGGTCCAGCAATATCTGGGAAAGATCTTTACCCAAAACATATAAACTGATTTTCAATATGGAGCCAAGTTCTCAGCCAGTTCTGTTGATAAACAGATTAGGTTCCTTGATGAAATATTGTAGCTGTTATAAACAAAAATATCAATTACAAAACAAGAACAAGAACACAGCAATGTAACCATGGTAACCGAGCCACAAACAACATATACTACTCAAAAGACGTTAAACAACAAACAATTTTTTTTCATATGACTATAATTAATCTAACATGACTGGTGGGTATTGAAACACACAGCCTTACAGTTGTGGGATTTTTGTAACTTTTTTTTAGTAGTAAAAATGTTTCCATCATAAACTGGAATAGTGAGTGAGTGAGTGGCTTGTAAAGAATCAAGTCTTAAAAGAGTATAAAATTCCCCAAAATTTTAGGCAGACAAACCGGACTTGCAATTTTGCAAATGTACCAGACAAGATAAAATGTTGCCAGTCCAGACTTTTCCAGGCTAACAAATAAGTCAGAAACAAAAGAGTAAACATAAGAATAGTACTGTTGAATGTAAGTTCTCAGAAAAGAGCAATAAAACTGGGGGATTGTCAGCCTAGTAACTGTAACCCCTGACCATCGGGCATGCAACTTTTCAAAACTGACCGTCCGCCAGCAAATCAGGCTGTCTCGGACTGCTGGGCAGGTGTGTATTTTAAACACTGGTCTTGACCAGGCAACCAATGAGCAAAGAGCCACACCATCAGGGTGGTGACAGGCAATCAACAAGTCCCTCAGCCTGACCACTCCATCCAACTAAGTCACCTTAGGATGACCAGCAGTAGAGTGATGGGGACCCAAGTCCCAAAAGTTCAACACCCTGGAGCGTCCTTACAAGATGTGATGTGTACTGAACACTAGGCTGTACTGACCTCTATCGGGCCGAGTTGCACGGTTATCTTGGCCACTGACTCTTTGGATGCTGCCGCCTTGCCGTTGAGTTCCTCCAGGTCGGACTGCAGCTGCAACACATGGAAGGGCAGCTGTTTTCACCACAGCTGTAACACATGGGTGGAGGGTTTGGGCAAGGGTGGGGGCACCTGTTTTCACCACAGCTGTAACACATGGGAGGAGGGTTTAGGCGAGGGTGGGGGCAGCTGTTTTCACCTCAGCTGTAACACATGGGTGGAGGGTTTAGGCGAGGGTGGGGGCAGCTGTTTTCACCTCAGCTGTAACACATGGGTGGAGGGTTTGGGCAAGGGTGGGGGCACCTGTTTTCACCTCAGTTGTTATCACCATAGCTGTAACATATGGGAGGAGGGTTTGGGCGAGGGTGGGTGCAGTTGTTATCACCACAGCTGTAACACATGGGTGGAGAGGGGTTCTGTGAGGGTGGGTGCAGCTGTTTTCACCTCAGCTGTAACACATGGGTGGAGAGGGGTTGGGTGAGGGTTGGGGCACCTGTTTTCACCACAGCTGTAACACACGGGAGGAGGGGTTGGGCAAGGATGGGGGCAGCTGTTTTCCCTTGTGGCCATGGTTGGCCAAGAACTGCCCTAGGCTATTATTTCCATAGGGAAGAAGTAACCAGGGGTATGTTTCACCCTGGGGCATGTTACACCGGCCCCTCCCCCCACATCCCCTTGCCCTCCCCACTGTCCTACCTGAGCTGCCTTGTCCTTGTGATCCTTCAGGTACTTGAGGTCCTGCTTGTACAGCTTGATGCTACCGTCCTGTCAACACAGAGCAGGTGAATGAGTGAGTGGGAGAGTGATTGAGTGAGTGGGAGAGTGATTGAGTGAGTAGGAGAGTAAATGAGTGAGTGAGTAAGTGGGAGAGTGATTGAGTGAGTGGGAGAGTAAATGAGTGATTGAGTAAGTGGGAGAGTGATTGAGTGAGTGGGAGAGTGATTGAGTGAGTAGGAGAGTGAGTAAGTGAGTGGGAGAGTGAGTGAGTGAGTGGGAGAGTGAGTAAGTGAGTAGGAGAGTGAGTGAGTGAGTGGGAGAGTGAGTGAGTGAGTGAGAGTGAGTGAGTGAGTGAGTGGGAGAGTGAGAGTGGGAGAGTGAGTAAGTGAGTAGGAGAGTGAGTGAGTGAGAGGGAGAGTGAGTGAGTGAGAGGGAGAGTGAGTGAGAGTGAGTGAGTGAGTGAGTGAGTGGGAGAGTGAGTAAGTGAGTGGGAGAGTGAGTGAGTGAGTGGGGGAGTTATTGAATGAGTGAGTGGGAGAGTGAGTGAGTGAGAGGGAGAGTGAGTGAGTGGGTGGGAGAGTGAGTGAGTGAGTGGGGGAGTTATTGAATGAGTGAGTGGGAGAGTGAGTGAGTGAGAGGGAGAGTGAGTGAGTGAGTGGGAGAGTGAGTGAGTGAGTGGGGGAGTTATTGAATGAGTGAGTGGGAGAGTGAGTGAGTGAGAGGGAGAGTGAGTGAGTGGGTGGGAGAGTGATTGAGTGAGTGGGGGAGTTATTGAATGAGTGAGTGGGAGAGTGAGTGAGTGAGAGGGAGAGTGAGTGAGTGAGTGGGAGAGTGATTGAGTGAGTGGGGGAGTTATTGAATGAGTGAGTGGGAGAGTGAGTGAGTGAGAGGGAGAGTGAGTGAGTGAGTGGGAGAGTGAGTGAGTGGGAGAGTGAGAGGTTGGATGGGAGAGTGAGTGAGTGAGTGGGAGAGTGATTGAGTGAGTGGGAAAGTGATTGAGTGAGTGGGAGAGTGATTGAGTGAGTGGGAGAGTGAGTGAGTAAGTGGGAGAGTGATTGAGTGAGTGGGAGAGTGAGTGAGTGATTGGGAGAGTGAGTGAGTGAGTGGGAGACTGAGTGAGTGGGTGAGTGGGAGAGTGAGTGAGTGGGAGAGTGAGAGGTTGGATGGGAGAGTGAGTGAGTGAGTGGGAGAGTGATTGAGTGAGTGGGAAAGTGATTGAGTGAGTGGGAGAGTGAGTGAGTGATTGGGAGAGTGAGTGAGTGAGTAGGAGACTGAGTGAGTGGGAGAGTGAGTGAGTGGGAGAGTGATTGAGTGAGTGGGAAAGTGATTGAGTGAGTTGGAATGTGATTGAGTGAGTGGGAGAGTGAGTGAGTGAGTGGGAGAGTGATTAAGTGAGTGGAGAGTGATTGAGTGAGTGGGAATATGATTGAGTGAGTGGGAGAGTGATTGAGTGATTCTGCCCCGAAATCCAACAGGGAGACAAGCATGGGGTTCTGGGGTCAAGGAATACCATGTACAACTAACCTGTTCCTGTTTGAGTTTCCGAATAGTCTCGAGCACCTTGGTGTATCTGGTCGAGGCGAAGATGGCGTCAAACTTTTCCTTCAAGGCCTTACCCTCACACAGTGGCCTGGACAGAAGCAGACTCCATGACAACATTATCTACTGTATCTCTACTGCACGACAACATTCTTGTCATCTTCCCAAGTCCAATCAAATTTGCGTAACGAACGTGGCATCCGGTTTGTAAACAACATGGATTTCAACGAGCAGATTTCAACTGTAGGATTTGCAAAGCATGTGTACCGCCAACTGGGTCAACAGATATTTTGCAAATCATTTCATGATTTAATTGAGATGCTCAAATGATTCGATGCACTTCTTGAGGTAAAACCCGTTTTTATTTCAATATAGATCTTGATTATTGATGAGATCATCTTGACTTGGCGCCACAATTTTATTTGAAGCATATGCAAGTGATATGAGAGATGGAATCTGATTGGTCAATAGGAGGGACACAGAAGGGACATTACTCGTAATTGCCACTTTTGGTGCTACGATTGAGCCTGGAAATTCCAGCCTTGTTTCGGCAAGGGTGGAAGCTTGACTTTCATAATAAGTTAATGCCCTTACCTCAGGAAGATGCATTCTTGTCCACGTTGCAACTCTTAATTACTTAACAGTTCAGACAAGTCAAGTCAAGAAACATATTATTCATCTTTTGAGTTGTCTTGAGCAGTATTCACAGGGCAAAAGCACATACGGTGTAAAAATATTGACGTCCAGTTCAAATGACAGGATGCTAAATAATATCTGTTCAATGAAAATACCATCTTCTTTCATGACTGAAACAATCTCATTAAAATCAGATCTGAGTGTTCACTACATCTACACAAGGTCAGAGGACATAACATCAGAACGACCTTTCATCTGTCCAGAGCAGAGATTACGAGATATAGAACGTGAAAGTCTGAATGTGTTTTCTTATCATTCACCATCCAAAGGGTTAACATGGGGCATTCTGAACGACTGCTACAGGCTGTAAGACTGAATGCTGGACATCTCGCGCTTCAATGGGTTAAACAGTGTATTTGAAACGGGAGAGACCTATCATAGCCTGTGCAAGGCCGTAGTTAACTTTTTTTGACAGGGGGGGCAAATATTTGTAAAGTATCACTTGTCCCCAACTTGTATTTTCATGATTCAAATAAAACTGTTTTCTATAAAAATTCAGGGGGGGGGGGGCAACTCCCCCCCCCCTGCCCCCCCCCGGCTAACTACGTCACTGCTGTGGGAAGTACTGCCACACCATCTTGGCTACCTGTTAGCATGGTTTGACATACCAGATTTCAAATTTTGAATCAAGAATTTTGTGACAAGTCTGGAATGGAAGTCGTCGCCATTTGAAGCTAGTGCCGATAAATCTCGAGAAAGCTGCTTTCTGATTGGCCAATGTTGACTTCCTGTTGATTGGTTGGTCAAAGTTTGTGTAAGGTTGTTCTGACGTAACCTGTAATGCGAAGTCCTCAGATCTTTGGCGTAGCAGATAATTGAGGATGTCTGAATTAGGAAATGTTTCCAATTTTGGAATGTTTCCTGAAATTTGCTGCAGACCCAAGGCTGAAGCTGGTCATAATTGCAGTTGTCATGACTACCAGCGTACACAAACAAGCTTACCAGTTGGACTCCTCTTGGTGGCAGAAGATGACGTTGTCCAGCACGGCCTTGGACACACCCAGTGCTGTCACCATCTGCAGCAGTCACAGATGAATATATACAGCCATGTCCACCACCTTTCCATGGTGTGTTTTGTTTTACCTATAGGTGTATTGGACTCAACACCTCACCTTTTCACTTGCAAGTGTTGGTCTATCATACACCTAACACCTACATTTTTCTCATATCAAAGTTATTTCTACATTGCGTTCAAGATTATTGCACTTTGAGATACCATGCTGCAGTTTAACATGAATACCCCACTCAGACACAGTTTATGGTTCCGAGCCAACCAGTCCTTGTTTTAGCCCCTTAATGCCGAGTGCAATACAGGGTTACAACGAGTACCATCTTTTAACATCTTTTGGTATAAAGTGGCTGAGGATCGACTCCTGACCTTCCGCTCTCCGGGCGGACGCTCTACCACTAGACCTGGGCCCCGTTCCACAAAGCGATCGTAACTACAATCAATCTTAGAGACTTACGTCGATTCTAAAATTGTCTTAGCTAAAGTTTACAACCGTTCCACAAAGCGATCTTAGGGCGATTGTAACTTTACAAGTTCTTAAGTAGCTGATCTTAACAAAGATCGGAATCTTCAGCCATAAAGATACAAAATTTTCCCATTTTCCCTTGGGTCATGTTTAGCAGACGACGCATTTCCTTGCACGCCATAATAAAAGTCGCCATCTTTGTTGTTATGGTACAATATTTAAGATCGATTTTAGCAATCCTAAGTTGGTCCGGAGGAACTTAGCATTTTGATCTTAACTTACAACTCTCTAAGTTAAGATTGCTTTGTGGAACGGGCGGCTGATTGTAACAAAAATTTAAGATCTCATACTTAGTGAGTTACAATCAACTTACCCCTCAGATTGCTTTGTGGAACGGGGCCCAGGGAGCAGTCAGGAGGAGCAAAGTCAGACGTGATGCAGGTCTCACTTTAGCCTCTAAATGCCGAATGCCAGGCAGGATATCATCAAGTACCATCTTTTAATTTCACTTTGGTGTGACCCAGCCAGGGTTCGAACCTTTCACTCTCCGGGTGAACACTGTACCACTAGACCATGGAGGGGTGACATGATGGGGAACTGGGGACCTATTCTGCCCTGAAAGAATCAATTAGGCGTGACGTACCTCCTTGTCCAGTTCGGCACACCTGGAAGTGATACTCTTCTTCTGTCCATCAGGTCCCCATCTCGAGATCACTCCATCTAGTGTCCGCGTCTCAATCTTTTTCACCTGATACACACAAATAGAGGTGAGTTTAAGGAGTTTAACGTCGCGTCAAAGATTATTGCACTTATATAGCGACGTGCATGCACGTGTGTGTGTGTGTGTGTGTGTGTGTATGTGTGTGTGTGTGGCTGCTTGCACTAGTCCGGACTGATGCCGATTTATAGTGCTAGCTCACTGAGATACCATGCCGCAGTTTAACATGAATACCCCACTCAGACACAGTATACTGACTCCGAGCCGACCAGTCCTTGTTTTATCCCCTTAATGCTGAGTGCCAGACAGGGTAACAACAAGTACCATCTTTTAACGTCTTTTGGTATGACGCGGTCGGGGATCGAACCCCGGACCTTCTGCTCTCCGGGCGGACGCTCTACCACTAGACCACGGAGGCGGCCACACACAAATAGAAAGATAGGAGATATACCTACTGTGTTTAGAAGTATGAGGTAGTCTTACTGTCTATTAGATACCTCTTATCTAAATTTAGAACCGAGCAAAACAAAACGCGAACTCTTGGGTGTTGGCAAAAGTATTGAGTGAAGTGGCATATGCTGTGTCCAAAGTTTACAGTGGGTTTTTATATGAAATTAGGAAGCCATGATAACCTTTAAACAAATTATGGTGCAGTTTTCTCCCACATATGATGGGCATTGCAAGCCTGATGCACAGCTACTGAGGCCAACATGAAATGGGTACCCTTTAGAAAATGAAGCAAGCCTAGCAAAGTTTAGTTCATCTTCCCGAGGCAAGGGCATTAACTGATTATAAAAGTCCAGTTTCCACCCTTGCCAAACTCGGCTGGAATTGCTGGGCTCGATCGTAGCACCACCAGTGGCTATTACCAGTTATGTACCTTCTAAACCTCTCCTATTTACCAATCCCATTCCACCTCTCGTATCACATGCATTTGCTTAAAACAAAATGGCGGCTCCCAGTCAGGACTATCTGATCAATAATCAAGATCTCTATTGTGATCGGGTCTCACATCGTGAAACACATCAAATCACATGAGCACCTCAATTAAAAGCATGAAAAGATTTGGAAAATATCTGCTGTGGGTGCACATGCTTCGCAAATCCTGCAATCGACTGAAATCTGCATGACAGTTTACAAACCGGATTTCGATTTTGTTGCGCAATTTGGATTGGACTATGCATAGACTCGTTAGTCCAGCCAAACTGTAACTCCATAATACCAGCCTAGTTCAGCAAGGGTGGAAACTGGACTTTTATAGTCAGTTAACTCCCTTGCCTTGTGAAGATGAGTTTAGTTCTACACCACACATCTCTATCATGATGTTACTCTGCTCACTGTGATGCAAAAGACAGAAAGTCAGTCGGCTACAGAAAAATGCTCTCTGTTCAAACTGAAAATACACTATCTCAGGCTAAAAATAATAATAGTCTTGGTTCTCAGGCACTGTTCGCATCATCAGAAAGTCTGCTGCACATTTTGTTTTTATTTCCATTATAAAAGCAATAAAAAAAATCCTTATACTTAAAAACAATGCAATCCAAAATAGCATGCAGTTACTTCCCTTTACATGCGCACTGCTTTACTGTGTATCTCACATTATGGTCATGGTGGCAATAGGAGTTTGTATGCTTGTTTATGTAGGGAGGCCCTTTCCCAGGTTGATGGTACACAACTGTTTATTTGGTTACATACTAGATTGAACAAGCAAAAATAAACAAATGCCCTCACCATATTTTTGAAATTGAAATTGAGAAACAATTCTTTTTTTTTTGTAAGCCACAGCACACTTAGTCGATTTCTAGGGTGTTTACTGCCCCGAAACATTAGTCACACACACTTTGAATATTGTAACTGCAACTCTGCAGTTTGTAATCAATAACTGGACTCATTTTTTAAAAGTACCTACTGAAAATGATTGTCAGAGAAAGAAGTACTTTTCTAATAATAGTATTGAGTGAGTGAGTTTGATTTTACGCCGCTTTTAGCAATATTCCAACAATATCACAGTGGGGGACACCAGAAATGGGCTTCACACATTGTACCCATGTCGGGAATCGAACCCGGGTCTTCGGCGTGATGAGCGAACGCTTTAACCACTAGGCTACTCGACCACCCTCTAATAATAGTAGCTACCACAGTGATGTGGCTGTCAAATGTTTAATGCATGAAAGAAGAACTGAGATGTGTCTCCCTTGGGTTACCTTCTGTGTGGCTGTGATGGACCTCTGGACGCTACACTGCTGACCGGTCATGTCTCTCATTAAGAGGCGGATCTGACCCTTCACTTCCCGCTCGTGGGCAACCTGTTCCATGGGACCAACAGTCATCACATAAATAAGACATACTTCCAATTATTAACACAGGGCTTGATGTAAGGAACTTGGTATAATTGCACCAGGTGCTTGTTGACCTTAAAAGCTAGTTGCACCAGACATTTATAGTTGCACCCTGGTCCCAGTGTCAGCCTATTAATGATGTATTGCTGTAAAACGTTACAGGAACAGGTGTACATAATCTTAAAGTGTCTACAGTTTGATGACATCAAGCCCAACAAAACATGACAAATTACACATAACACAAGATAAGTGATATATTATTGTAAATAGTGCTTAGAGGTATTGTGTTCAATTTCAATGTCGTGAGAAGAATAAAGGATTAGTCACACATATATTTATATTTTGGTGCTTATAGACATAAATATTAGGTTTTCAATAATAGGTTGGACTGGTGCATGTTTTATATAGCTAAATCGAGCCCTGTTAACATGTTTTGGAGGCTTAACAAAGGTCATTGGAACTGAAAATGTTATTGACAAGCAAGGATGGGGCAAAAATCTGTCATCCTGTCCATTTCATGGATTTCATTTACTTGAACTATGCATCTGAAAACATATCTTGACATTGAAAGCGATTGTGTTATGTCAATGTTTGCAGTTAACATTTATTATTACCTAGACCATTTGTCCTTATGCAGAAAAACTGTGTAAAACATGGGTATTGGTAATGGCACCATTCCAAGTGAAATCATCTAGATTAACAAATTTTGGGATCAACGAGTCATGTTCTGACAATGAAGGTTTCACTGTTTACAAGTTCATAGTTGCCAATGATTCTGAATTAATTTTAACATGTAGAGAAGTATGTCCCGACCAAAGATAAATTTCAAGTAGATGGTGAAATATCTACGAAACCTAAGATTGCGATCTTACAAAAATTGACCCAGGAAGACAATCTCATTAAAATCAGACCGTAGTTCTCGCTACCGCTAAACAAAGATCTGAGGACATCCCATTATGGGTCACGTCAGACCGACCTTGTGCGAACTTTGACCGACCAATGGAATGACCAATCAGAAGGCAGCTTTCTCAGGCTTTTCGGCAATTATTTCAAATTGGCGACTACACTTCGAAACATATTTTGACAAATTCTCGATTACAAATTTGAAACCTGAACAAAAAAACAAAAACATTCTCGAATGGCTAATAGATGGTCTAGATTGTAAGGATTCAGTGGTTAAACCCGTAACTATCATTCGGAATACCCCATGTTAAAGTTTTCGAGCTTGCATGATTAGAAATCACATTCCGACTGTCACTTTCATAATCTGGTAAGCGACGTTCTGATTGGTCGGATGAGTGAGTGAGTGAGTATGGTTTTACGCCGCTTTTAGCAATATTCCAGCAATATCACGGCAGGGGACACCAGAAATGGGCTTCACACATTGTACCCATGTCGGGAATCGAACCCGGGTCTTCGGCGTGACGAGCGAACGCTTTAACCACTAGGCTACCCGACTGCCCCTTGGTCGGATGAAAGGTCATTCTGACGTGACCCCAAATGGGATGTCTTCAGATCTCTGTTTAGCGGTAGCGAGAACTAAGGTCTGATTTTAATGAGATTGCCCAGGAAGAAGGCAGCATGGGAATTCCCCCAACTTGCTTCAGGGTTTCTTGACATTTCATTTTGGTCATGTTGGTGGGCTTTGCCAATTTTGACTCTAAGCTACAGACAAGCTGTGTATTTGCGTAAAATACCCCCTAAAGTTATTCAAAACCCAATTACTTTCAATTAACTTGCATACAGAAACGCAGTCATTAAATGGAAAACTCATTTGTTTGAAAACAGCACGCGTAAATACCCAATGAAGCTTTTTCAGCATTTGTATAGCAGAGCTAATTTCCGAAACAATTACGAGCTAATTTACTTTCTGAGTCAAGCCTTTATTTAGAACCGTTACATACTTCTTAAACATTATTTCATTTTTTATCAAATCTCAAAATGCTTACTCATTTTGGGAAAAACCCAATAGAGTGATGAATAGATAAGTGAAAAAATTGGTTACCCAATGAAAAATGTAATAACCCAATTAAAATAGAAACCTTTGAGTAAAAACTCAATTGCTCAGAAAGTTATCTGGAGCTCTGCAGCATGACTGGTACTGAGTTACCTTGGGATCATGGATGAACGCTCCCCCCTTGCTGCCGGGGGGCATGTCACCTGTTGTCATGTACTTCAGACACTCGATCACAGTCTGAAACATACATCCTCGGAGTGTAGGTTGTAAGAAACCTGAGTGTTGCAGTGCAAGTCTGTGTGATCGGAATACTAGTAACTTGGAACCCTAGCCTTCAGAATTGTGTTACACCTTTGGATGTTGGTGATTATCACACCGCTTTGATCAATATTCTAGCTATAATAGAGCATGTCAGAATGATGTTGGAGGGAAGCCCGAAATAAGCAGGCCTTTGACGTGTACCACTTTGGCGAAACCCACTTACACAGGCATGACGTTCACAAACCCGGAGACATCAGAGTGACCAGGATTTGAACCCACGATCTGCTTTATTAGAGTGCAGTCAGCAATATTTGAGTTATATCATAGGTTCCTGATACACCTAAGGGACACAACTCTGAACAGCAAATTGCGGAGCCTTAGACCACAGACATTCTCCCAGACACAAGAGGTGAGGTGAAATTGGGTTTAACGTCGCGTCCAAGATTTTTGCATTTATATAGCGACGTGCATATACGTGTGTGTATGTGGCTGCTTGTACTAGTCCGGACTGATGCCGATTTATAGTGCTAGCGCACTGAGATACCATGCCGCAGTTTAACATGAATACCCGACAGTATACTGACTCCGAGCCGACCAGTCCTTGTTTTAGCCCCTTAATGTCGAGCGCCAGACAGGGTAACAACAAGTACCATCTTTTAACGTCTTTTTGGATGACGCGGCCGGGGATCGAACCCCGGACCTTCCGCTCTCCGGGCAGACGCTCTACCACTAGACCACGGAGGCGGCCCAGACACAAGAACTGTGCTCATTAATATAATGAACATGATGATGAACTCATTTTACATCAGATGCAATACATGTAACTTGTAATTTTGATTTGATAAAATTTATCGATGTATCGTGGAATAAAATTATCAGCAGTAGTCATGGGCACGTACAGTTTTCCCTGTACCATTAGGGCCAAGGATGAGAGTCAGGGGCTTGAAGAATGTGATGACCTGTTTGTTAGGATCATCTGGACCGAAGCTTCGCACCCCCTGAATGCTCATTTTCTCTATGGTTGACATTGTTGAAGGTTGGTTTCTTACTCTGAAAGAACCTGACAGTGAAGACAAAATTAATTTTTTTAAACATGTGATATGACAAATGAGTGGACCAAAACGAAAATTATGATACATTTATTATTGACTGTGTCTGTATATCCATTTTTTAATGAATATATTGGAACCAGTCATTTATTAATGGGATGGGAGTGTCCAGAAGGAATCAGTGGAAGAAATGTGAATAGGGAAGGGTCTTAAACATACACACAAATGGGGGAAGAGTGTCATGTTTAAAATGGAAAGTTCATAACATAAAGTGCTTTGGCATGTTGTCTTTTCAGGGAGTGTCATTAAAAAAATGTACAAGGACATGGTGAAAGCCATCCAAAAATATGACAAGCATTAGGTTAGGGTTATTATTTTCAGTACATTGGTGCATCAACTAAAAATATCCCCTCCCCCAAACTGGTCACTTACAATAAAATAATTATTATTTATAGTTAACCCTTTCATGTGGCATGAATATCGCATATATCCTAAAGACGACTGGGGCATACTCCGATCTGCTGGTCACAATGCTATTCATCTGCGTGAAACAAAGACTTCTCTGTAAATCACGTTTTCCGACAAGATATTCCACGCAACAAAACTGACTGTTATCTGGTTATCGTCTGGTATTTAGCAGGTTAGTTCGCATAGGTGTTTTTTCTAGTCTATGTCATCGAACATACCAAATTAGAGGTGACAACCACGCCAAATCCTTACTAAATTAACGAGGCACGGGTACACCATTTAACGAGCTACCATGTTGTTGAAAACAACTTATATCCCTGAAAAGAAAACACGCCAAAATCAACACAAACTCGCTGACTGTGACAGTTTCCCGCGAAGGGAGCACTGGGTTAAGTTATAACATGCAAGTCCTAAGTTGAATCAGCGATATATTTAGTTGAATCACAAAACCGTCATAAGGGTATAAGTATTAATTCATCTATAATTATTTTGCAAAATAACTCTAAAAGGGTCTCAAACGTTACAATTAGAAAAACATGTTAGCTGTACAATGATTTCTCCCCATGCGCTGCCTCAAAATAGGCTGTGTGAAGTCCAAAGTGTCATCCGTGTAAGGAGATTACAGTCACATGATTTCAAAATGGCGGCGCCCATGGGATTACGAGTTTTATTATTTGATGTTGCTGTTTTGTTGTGTTTCTCTGTAAATGGGAGTGCAGGCCCACTGCCTCTTGTAATCAATACATGGCCGTTCACGAACGCAACTTTGAAAGGTATATTCTTGATTTTGTTTCTAAGAATATGGATTCTGTTTTCTCGTTCTTTTGATATTATCATATGTTCAGGATATGACATACATTTGAAATTTGTGGTGTCCTAATCATAAAGATGAATAAACATGTTTGAATAGATTTGAATGAATTAGAGCACCGAGATCAGACAATGAGAATCTATTTAATAGAATCACTTAAAGAAACTATCACTTTTCAGGTTCAACGACAATATCATGTCGGACTTTCATTTTTGTGGAAGCCGCGGTGGCTGAGTGGGTGAGATCGCTGACACCGTGTGCTGGCGATTAGGCGCCTCACTCTGGCAGTGTGGGTTCGAATCCCGGACGGGACTCAACCCAAAAAAGTACGAGAATCTGTACTTTACTCAGAAAGTGTTATCCCAAATATAACATTTGTGACAATATCATGTTATAAGTATGAGAATATGTAAAAAAATAAGAAAACTAAGGCACTGTTACCTACTGTAACATCCAGCAGATTACAGTTCTGTGTCTGAGTTTGTGCCTGTTGTTCATTTAGCTTGGAGTGAGATTCAGACAGGGAGCTATCTGGATGCCCTGGTTGCGGGATGCAGTGAATGTGAGAGCCAGCAGTGTGATGGAACTGTGGGATATGGAGGCAGTCCAGATGAAATTGGGGAGACAACTCTCGATGCCATGATCATGGATGGGTATTTAGACAATATATGATCATATTTGTGTTCTCTATGAATAAAATAAAGATATATTTGTTGAACACTGTATCATTTGTATTTGGACTATCATATAGATTTTATAACATATTCACCGAGAATAACTGTCAAGGTTACTTATATATCTCTGTCTATAAGGCAATTTTTTTGTACCTAGAATGAGTAATTGCTTTTGGGGCGTGAGGCAATAGGCTATTCACTAACTTATCTATATGTACATTAATGTGTTATACATGCATGAGGATACTTTATTGATGGGAAAAATCTTTAGGAATGTCAGTCATGCTTAGTCTCAAGATGCACCTTGACTTATGGTATTCTGTTAATCATGTTAGTCAGAAGAGTGAAAATGCTTTTTTATTTGGTATAATGAAATAACTGTTTTGGTTGACAGAGAGACCCATGATGTTGGATCAGTTGGAGATCTGAGACGTGTGAAGAATGCAATAGGCGTCGCCAGAGCTGTAATGGACTACACTCAACAGACTCTTCTTGTGGGAGAATCAGGTAACCATGTGACTCCAGTGTACCAATTGACACGAGGGACAATGCGATTCTGTGGAAATTTTGAACTAGTATTATGAAGATCATTTTCTTTTCAACAGCATTGTGTATAATATCCCATTTTCAGATGTCAATCATATAGTTTAAAAAAAATCAAATATACACTGATATTGTCCATGATATTTGGACGGTTTTGTATTTGTAGAGCTTGTAACACTCCTTACTATTAATAAGGAGACTTTTTCGATTTTTGGTCCCTTAAGTATACCTCATCACTCAATTTGTTTAAGCCAAAGATTTTGCTGTTGAGATGGGATTCAAAGAAGAGAGTTTAACGACTAACAGGTCAGCAGAGATACACAGTTCTTGGCTCCAAAACAAGTGTCAGCCTAACTATAGACAGGTGAGTGTCTTATCTCCATCAATCCTTGAGGGAGAACCCGGCCTGGGTAACTTACAGTTACCCCATGCTTGATGTAATAGGTGTCTGAAAAGGGAAGTAATCTGCATTGTTCAAAATACATATTCGCTGCCGGGATCCCGTTTCTATTCCAGAATCACAACTGTATGGATTGATGCTCATGATGTCAATCACTTGATTGTCTGATCCAGACTCAATTATTTACAGACACCCATCATGTAGCTGGAATATTGCTGAGTGCAGTATTAAACAATAAACACACACACACATATACCAGAATCACTGTTAGACATGAGGAAATCTTCAATAAAATACAGCAGTGAAATGAATCAGGGTGTATATATGGGGGGCCATCTTTATGATATTCGAGCCATATCATGGAAGGGACACCAAGACACTATCCTGGAACTGTTCTGGGTGAACAATACCTTCCAAATGACGTGCTGGTTTTCTTGGGGAATTAGTCAGCAAAGAGCCAGAGTCACAGGAGACAAATCACAATTTTATTTACAAGAACAATTAACAATTTACAATATCTTAGAAAATAACTGAGGGTGCCACAGAGAGTCGGTACACACTCTGGGCTGTGGGAGAGAGGTCTGCTTGGTAAGAGAGTCAAACCCCTTCTCTCCTTCTCTCCTCTCAATCATTCTGGACCAAGGCTTATATAGCCAAGGTCACCTGACATTTAGTAAGTAATAAATATAAATGTAAACAGTAAATCATCAGTGACATACTTGCACATCCTGTTCAGGATGGCAGACGGTCGATGTACACAAAACTGGGGATTAACAATTAGGATTAGCATCTTATAAATAACAGCAATTAAATGTTTCAAGGCATATAGATGTCATGGCTCCAGGGTAATGAGCCTTTGCAATCAAATGTTCTTCAGACAATGGGTGTCGTAAATCAGTCACCATGACAACACTCTCCTAGTTTACACCCGTACAAAAGTTGAAAGTTTGGGTTGTTCTGACCTGTGTAATGTATATGTTATCACTAAACAGGTTAGTAGACTGTCCAGGGGGCAGGTGTGTAAGGTGCTGTGCAGAGTTACGTTCCTTAGACATGCCAGGAACCTATGATCATGGCTTCGTGTCCCATATTTGTGCTGACTATGTTTCTCTGTTTTTCAAAATGGTTAACCCCTTTGACCTGCATCACTTCTAACTTACCCCCAGATGAAGTTAGAATGACTTCATAAAGTTGAAATACTTGTCACATTGGCATTATACCAAACCAACCCTCTCACTAGTAGGCTTTCCGAATTCGTTTCTATGAGTGCACTCTAGGGCTGGGACGAGTCCAAATTTACTACCCGGGTATCCGACCCCCTATTACCCGACCCTACCTGGATACCCGCTGTAGGTCTCAAGAGTTGGGAACAAAATGTCTGATTGGGAATTGTTTTACCACAGCCCTGGCCAAAACTATTTAGATACATGTATCAAACAATCAGATCATGGTACACTGAAGTTTGACTGAAGTTTTATCTTTACTCAAACATATACAAGTCAAAAGGAATGTGTGTATCGTCAGAAAGAACATTAGCGACATATAGTGTAACCATTGAGCTTGGTGAGTTTTTGTCATTAAACAGTATATCATGTGACTAACCACGGGTCTGGGTAGTCCTGTGGGTACCCGGGTCCTACTCAGAACCCACCCGACCCGAGTACCCGAGTTACCTGTCCCAGCCCTAGTGCACTCTATGACGTTTATTTTACTGCTTGCTTACAGAATGTTTCCCCAGATCCAACAAAGAGCTGTGGCCCCTACAAGCCGAGCAGTAAGCTGTTCACACATCGAGATTTTGTTAAACCAATTCACAGATGGAACCATGATACTATTGGGATGGTGGTGGTTGATAAAGACGGGAAGATTGGATCTGGCACCTCCACCAATGGACTGTCACATAAAGTACCAGGGTAAGCTTGTATAGGTCATATGTTAATATCATTAATGTGGATAATTTTATCCCTAATGTGGATTCCGGGTAAGAATTGGTCCCCAGGTCCCTATGCTGGTTGTATCGTGAGATTTGGGGTTAGAATGTGTTCCAAGCTACCTATGCTGGTTGTCCCATGGAGATTCTGGGTTAGAATTGGTCCCCAGCTACCTATGCTGGTCGTCCCATGGAGATTCTGCGTTAGAATGTGTTCCAAGCTACCTATGCTGGTCGTCCCATGGAGATTCTGGGTTAGAATGTGTTCCAAGCTACCTATGCTGGTCGTCCCATGGAGATTCTGGGTTAGAATGTGTTCCAAGCTACCTATGCTGGTCGTCCCATGGAGATTCTGGGTTAGAATTTGTTCCAAGCAACCTATGCTGGTCGTCCCATGGAGATTCTGGGTTGGAATGTGTTCACAGCAACCTATGCTGGTCGTCCCATGGAGATTCTGGGTTAGAATGTGTTCCCAGCAACCTATGCTGGTCGTCCCATGGAGATTCTGGGTTAGGATTGGTCTCTGGCAACAGATGCTTGTCCTACGAGGCGACTTAATGGTCAGCCTCAGTGACTTAGCTGAGTGGATTGATGCTCACAATATCCATCACTAGATTGTCTGGTCTAGACTTGATTGCTTACATGCCAACATCATAAAGCTGGAATATTACTGAGTGGGGCGTAAAACAACAAACGCACACATACAGACAGATACAGATATTTTTATCAAATGACATATCCTTGCAGTTTCTTCTTCTAATTTTCTTGGGGTGGTCGGGTAGCCTAGTGGTTAAGGCGTTCGCTCGACCTGGGTTTGTACATGGGTACAATGTGTGAAGCCCATTTCTGGTGTACCCCGCCGTGATATTGCTGGAATATTGCTAAAAGCGGCGTAAAAACCATACTCACTCACTCACTCACTCTCATTTTCTTCTTGTTAATCTGTGTCCACACTGCCATCAAGTAGCCCTCGCATGAAGTGGAGATACAAGTTTTGTCAGCATCATTGTAGTGCCTTTAGTTTTAACACCATTTGATTTATTCAGTATCCCATTTATAAATACAGAGTTAGTTAATAATGGTGGCTTAATTTTTATTTGTTATGCTACCATATTTTTTTAATGTTTCCTATCCAGTTACCATAAAGTTTATTAGACATGTGTCATTGTGTTAGACATTTCTAATCTCACACCTGTTTGCAGGCGAGTGGGTGACTCTCCTATAGTTGGTGCAGGATCGTATGCCAGCGGCGGAGTAGGGGGCGCTGCAGCCACGGGGGACGGAGACATCATGATGCGCTTCCTACCCAGGTAAGTATTTCGGTTCGTGTCATTGCTTCACTAGAACTGTGGTGGCACATGATCCTGTGCACAGCGCACAGATCACAAATCAGGTGAAGTTAAGCAACGTTGGTCTCGGGGAGTAGATGGATGGTTGACTACGTTCAGCAGCTTGACTCCTGAGATTTTCTAGGGCTGCGGTCCTGCCCCACACTGAAGCACATGTACCACATGTGGTGTCTCCCTAGGCAAGTGACTTTGTTCGAAATGTGCCTCTGTTCACCCAGCAGTGAGTGGGTACCCGGTAGGACGAGATGGTAATGTGGCTGTTAACCTTCTAGTGCTTCACAGGCAGCTTGGGTAGTATACTCCCCAGGGAGCTGAGAATGAAAATCGAGTTCTCACTGATCCATTCTCTGGGATAATAATGTAAGTGCCATGAGCACACGAGCTGGTATGGAGTTTGGCGCCATACAAATGGACTCATTATTATTATTATTATTATTATTGAGAGCATGATACAATGATTGTTGCTGTATTTCAGTTTCAACGCTGTCATGATGATGGCTAATGGAGACACGCCCCAGAAGGCAGCTGAGAAAAGCATCATGCCAATCATCAAGGCCTACCCCAAGTTCGTGGGTGCTGTGATAGCGGCCAATACAAAGGGCACATATGGTGAGGAAAAGGGTTTACTGTGCAGATGTTTGAGAGCTGCAAGGTTGCATGAGAAATATGAGAAATATTGCTGTTTGTGAGATGTAATCTGAGTGCTCTTGGTTGCAGCATTCGCTGATTCCCTCTCACTGGAACCGGTTGGGTCTTGAATTGGTGGTTAAAAATAGCGGATATAACAAACCTATTTTTGGTCCCAACCATTTGCTGTATATATGCTTATAACGAACTACGGTTATAACGAACTAAAATTTGTGGTCCCTTTGAGTTTGTTATAACCATACATCACAAAGAGGTTCAAGTATTCATGGCAGATGCAGGACTGTTGTGTCTGCAAACTGATTGAGGATGCTGTTTGATTGACAGCTCTGATGTTATTGTTAAGACCCCATTTTCAAATTCTCCTCTTAAAGAAATGAACCATAGGTGATTGTGGCACTTAAAAAAAGTGATCACTTTGCTTACAGAATGTTAATCCAATTACCAATGCAGCCATTACAGCAGACATACAAAGTCTAATCGAGGTCAATGCACTCACAGATGCCTAGGATTTGTCTCTATCAAATGTCTTGAATGAGGCGCGTGCTTGTTCTTGAATCCTGGAACCAGTGTTAGAAGCAGGCAGAAAAGACAGCAATTTCCGACAAGTATCCTGTCCATACTAGCAGAGTAGAGAAGTCGCAAGTCAGATCATAGAAGGCCTTAAATCGCCTTCGTCTCACTCTTATACAGTGAATTTTGTTTATAACGAACACGGGGGCGGTCGGGTAGCCTAGTGGTTAAAGCGTTGGCTCGTCACGCCGAAGACCCGGGTTCGATTCCCGACATGGGTACAATGTGTGAAGCCCATTTCTGGTGTCCCCCGCCGTGATATTGCTGGAATATTGCTAAAAGCGGCGTAAAACCATACTCACTCACTCACTATAACGAACACGCTTAGAACAATCTGATGGATATAATGAACTGGTTTTAGTCCCGGCCATTTACTGTATGTATGTTGTACACATGCTTGTAATGAACTACGGTTATAACGAACTAAATTAGTGGTTCCTTTAAGTGTACTCATAGCCTATCCCAGTGTCAATGCAAGCTCCTCACAGCGATAGTACGTTCCCGGAGCTCTCTATACTATCGCTGCCACCAGTCAAAACTCCCCACTGTGAATAGGTGGCCACAACCATGCTTGGAGTTGAACTCGCAACCGAATGACCGTTATGTTTACAAACAAGTGACGACTGTTGTGACGCCGAATAAACTTATCGCTGCTAAATTACTTTCTTCGTTTGTCAATTTGAATTTCTGTTTCATTAAAACTATCATGTTATTGATATAGTAAGAATGTAAGGGAGAAGTTGGTTGATTTTCCGTTAGTCTGCAATCTCGAACCAATCTGATTATCAAAACAACAAAGTAAGTTCATCTGGAAAACATGGTTAGTCGTAAACCTTTTCAAATTGAAATATGATGGCATTCCCAAAGACAGAAACAAAAGTATAAACGTTACTACATATGGGGTTGGAGGGCAAATTTCAAGATTCTTGAAATGGCCGCGCCCACACTGGTGGCAGCGATGTTACCGAGAGTGTAACAAAGGTGTCACGCGCTGGGAAGGAGCTTGGTGTCAATGCACAAAAGGGGGATAACTCTCAAGATTTCTTGTTGTTGCATACCATCACTAAAAAAGATCTAGAAATAATGGGACTTGATATGTTGTGAATGTTTCAGTTAGCTGCCACTTTCTATCATCAGACATTATCTTACAATATATAATTCCACATTACATATTTGTTCTGTTTCAGGAGCTGCTTGCCATGGGTTAGGGTCCCCCTTCAAGTTCTCTGTGAGAAGTCCTGACACGCCCACTGTCACTGTTATAGAGCAGCCATGTATATAACTCGAGGTCATGTTGTTTATCTGTATGATTTGTGACATTGTTGATGGTTTGCACTTCAAATACGTGAAGCATATGTACACGCTGGTAATATAACCACACACCAAGCCCTACTCTTTTGGTTGGTTGGTTGGTTTGTTGTTTAACGCCGCACTCAGCAATATTCCAGCTATATGACGGCGGTCTGTAAATAATCAAGTCTGGATCAGACAATCCAGTGATTGACATCATGAGCTTCGATCCACGCAATTTAGATACGATGACATGCATCAACCAAGTCAGCGAGCCTAACCACTCGATCCTGTTAGCCGCCTGTTACGGCAAGCATGAGTTGCTGTATGGATTTGTGACATTGTAGGGAACATGTGATATATAGAATATTTTTGTTTGGTCTTAGTACAAGGAATGGGTCGATAACTGGATTGTCTGGTCCAGACTCGATTATTTACAGATCGCTGTGATATGGCTGGAATATTGCTACCAAGAAAGGGTCAATCACTGGATTGTCTGGTCCACACTTGATCTTTTACAGACCGTTGTCATACAGCTGGAATATTGCTGAGTGCAGCGTTAAACAACAAACAAACAAACAAACAAAACAAGGAATGGGGATAGTGCCTAATGTGTTTTGATTCACAAGGTGCCTTGAATTTATGATGTTACTTGTTAAAATGCAAACATAGATGTCTTTAATTTGATTATTAGAATGATATTCTGTATTTGAATATGAATATGAAATTATAGATATTTTTTTTGTAACAAGCAGTGGTTTGTTTGAATACATCTTTATTAACATACATTGACAGGGGCGGTCGGGTAGCTTAGTGGTTAAAGCGTTCACTCGTCAGGCCGTAGACCCGGGTTCGATTCCCGACATGGGTACAATGTGTGAAGCCCATTTCTAGTGTCCCCTGCCGTGATATAGCTGGAATATTGCTAAAAGCGGCATAAAACCTCATCACTCACTCACTCACTGGCAATTTACACCGACAAGGACTGATAATATTGTCCTTAAATTTGAATATGCACATTTTCCTGTGTTTCATGCCTTCAAGTATCTACACCCACTTCGTCCAGAATCAGCAGCGTGTCTTTCAAGGAGTAACTGATTTTTGTTACTTGATTTCATTTGACCATATGAATAATCAAACCTTTCACTCCACCCTGATGTAAATATGCTTATCCATCAGTTTTGTATGAAAAGAAACAGTAGTCACATTATCAACCACACCAAAACAAATTTATATTTTTTATTACGTTTCTGGGCAATTCAAACATGTGGTACCGTATTCGACGTAATAAGCGCCCCGCTCTAATAAGCGCCCACGGCGATATTTGCTAATATATTGGCTAGTGAACAATCCCAATTAGCACCCCTTCCGATTGATCAATGTAAACAACACCTATTTATTTGTGTATAATACGCACTCGTGTGTAATATGCACCCTCATTCATGGGCAATTAAATTCTGGAAATATATATCTGTCGTATATAAACATTTCTGGCTGTCAGCATAAACCACGAAATATATCTTTTAACTCTGTTTTTTTTCACCAAAATAATATTCTAATAAGAGCCCCCTATTTCTAATTTTGAGAGCACCCTGGGCGCTTATTACGTCGAATACAGTATTTGTTTTCTAAGATAATATTGATAGAAATCCTATGTTAGGGTCATCATCTCTTCTTATACATATCCAAATTTTAAGTATTCATTTTATGCATCTGTCATAGATTAAGACCCCACCCCCAAAGCATGATGTTTCAGGCCCTGTCTGTATTATTTTCAACTTCTGTCCGTGTAGTCCTGTAGGCACCCGGGTCCTACTCAGGACCCACCTGACCCGAGTACCCGAGTTACCCGTCCCAGCCCTACCAGAAACATTATACTTTAGGGTGGGCTGTGAGTGAAACATTACATTTCAAAACCACAAGGCTGACCAACATTACCTTACCTGATGAATGAGTGAGTGTGTTTAGCATGTTTAAGGACCCGTGTGTCACAGTGTGTCAGCAAGTAGGGGAAGAGAGCTTCAGTTAAGTGATACAAGTAGTCCATGTTTACCAATCAAATGAAATCCATAAATATATGTTTGATGCTTGACAAGCCAAGGTTCATATTCGGGGCAAATCTTGGATTTGAACCAGGACCAGAGATTCCTGGCAGCCATGATGACTGTGTGGCACCTTATACCACCGGGCCACCATGGCCAATGATTATGTGGATAGTTTTATCAGGGTATGAAACTCCCAAAAATTTCTTCCAGACCACAGGACTGGCTAGCTGAAATACTTGCCAGCCCTGACCAAAACCTGCCTGCCCACTATAATCATATGTTTCTATGGATAAGCTAACGGGATTTCTTTTTGGTTACATTTTATCATTCATCTTTACATGTAAATTAATGATTATCATCGGGAAATATTTAGAATATTGTCACATATGAAATATAACCCGACCGTCGGGCAGGGGGATTTGAAAATCTGGCAGCCCGAGTTGAAATCAACCCATCTCGGACGGTCGGGCAGGCAGGTATTTCGAACACTGGTTTTATGTGATAATTATATTGTACATCTTACCGAGGCAAGGGTGTTATCTGTCAATAAAAGTCCACTTTCCTCCCTTGCCAAACTAGGCTGGAATTTCCAGGCTCAATTGTAGTGCCACCAGTGGCTATTATGAGTTATGTCCCTTCAATGTCCCTCCTCTTGACCAATCAGATTCCACCTCTCATATCACTTGCTTCAAACAAAGTGGTGGTGCCCAGTCAAGATGATCTGATCGATAATCAAGATCTATATTGTAATAAAACGGGTCTAACCCTACGAAGTGCATCAAATCACTTGAGCAGGTTGATGATAAACATGAAACAATTTGCCAAATATCTGTCAACGCCCTGTTGACAGTACACATGCTCTGCAAATCCTGCAGTCAACCGAAATATGCACGCTGAAATCCACGTTACAAACCGGATGTCTTGTTCGTCACACGATTTTGATTGGACGATGCATAGACTGGTTAACCCCGCTAAAATATAACTCCAGAATTCCAGCCTTATGCAGCAAGGGTGAAAACTGGACTTTTAGTTAACACCCTTGCCTGGGGAAGATGAGGACTGTATGTAGTGACTGTTTGTGTTGGCCTAGATGCAGAACATCATGCTAGGTCTGCTGAGTTAGCCTGGCCTATAAACTGGAATCTTGTTGAAATGTCAGTGCATGGATTGTACCATATACAGATGTTAAAGTTAGCAAAATGTCAAACATGATCTTGCACTGAATACATATATTGATTTTGCAAAATGAAATTGGTTATTTTTTAACTATTTTATGAGATTATTTTGAAATTGTGAAAAGATGTGTCATTTAAGTTTTCAGTATGATTGACATGCTCTCATTTCTTTTTATTGATTTAACTGTTGTCTTACTGGATAGGGGGCGGTCGGGTAGCCTAGTGGTTAAAAGCGTTCGCTCGTCATGCCGAGTCCCCTGGTTCGATTCCGACATGGGTACAATATGTGAAGCCTATTTCTGGTGTCCCCCGCCGTGATATTGCTGGAATATCGCTAAAAGCGGGGTAAAACCATACTCATTCACTCTTTCTGGATACGTCTTACAAACGGGCATTGATACATTCCGTAAGCTGTTATTCGGCTTGTCCCGGAATAACATGAGTTGTAGTCTGTCTTACAAACCCTGAAACAAATATATCAACTACAGCCCATGCAAGTCTATAATGTTTGGTAAGTCTAGATTACTGCAGTATCAGGAAGAGAATCACTGGGCTCCCTTTTTATTATATTTTTATTAAGATAACTGAGCAACTGTTTTTTCTGTACGATATGTTCATTTCAGAGACTATATGTTAGTCTACATGAGTTGGTCACGAAGGACATTTCACTGTCACAAACCAATAGAAACGTTCATAAAAGAATCATGCCTGTGACGTCAGTTCCCAGGCTGTTCAACATCTTCTGCATCTCATAGCAGCATCTGTGCGGTTTGCTGGTCCTGTACCTGGGTGTCACACCAAAATACTTTTTGAGATGGTACTTGTTGTTACCCTGCCTAGCGCTCGTCATGAAGGGAATGTGACAAGGACTGGTTGGCTCGGAGTCAGTATACTGTGTCTGAGTGGGGTACACATGTCAAACTGCAGCATGGTATCTCAGTGGACTAGCACTATGAAACCGGCATTACTCCAGGCTTGTGCGAGCAGCCACATCCTCGCAAGCACGCACGCACGTCGCTTTTTGTACGGGAAGTAATCTTGAATGTCAAACCCCAATTGTACTCACCTCATTTTTTCTGAACCTGAATCAAGTTCCGAATAAAATGCCAATTTCTGCCAGTTTGTTTTAGATAAAAACATACATTTATCATAAATGTCGTGTAATAAGTAGTTCGGCCCCGTTCCACAAAACGATCTTAGCGTTAGGATGATCGTAACGCCCATACATTAACCCTTACTTACAATAGACGTAGCGCTAAGATCTCTTTGTGGAACGGGGTCCAGGGCCCACTTGCACAAAGCGATCTTAGCGCTAAGATGATCTTAACTCCCATACTTTAACATAGGCTTACAATAGTCGTAGCGCTCAGATCGTTTTGTGCAAGTGGGCCCTGATCATCCTTTTCACTGGAGATATACGCTAGAATCTGATAATGTTGGTTGGTTGGTTGGTTTGTTGTTTTACGCCGCACTCAGCAATATTCCAGCTATATGACGGCGTCTGTAAATAATCGAGTCTGGACCAGACAATCCAGTGATTAATATCATGAGAATCGATCCACGCAATTGGGATCGATGACATGCATCAACCAAGTCAGCGAGCCTGACCACCCAATCCCGTTATTCGCCTTTTACGACAAACATGGGTTTTATATGAGACACATAAGAGAAAGGTACAGTTTGATTTAAAAGAAGGGAGAGAGAGGGAGGAAAACATCCATTGGCTGAAAACACTGGTAAGGATTCACGCTGTCGGAGTAAAATGACACACCATCAGCTAAGTCACCCAACATGACCAACCAATCCCCATTCTCTTCGACTGCGACATAGGGTACTGGTGACTTACCAGCATGGAATGTCACGATGTCTGGAACTTGTTAGACTTCGACGGAGCAAATTCTATTGCAGAAGAGGTGAGGTGAAAGTGGTTTAACGTTGAAGATCATGTCACTTACAGAACGACGTGCATGCACGTGTGTATGAGGCTGCTTGTACTACTCCTATCTAATGCCGGTTTTATAGTGCATGCTAGCATACTGAGATACCATGCCGCAGTTGTCACATTTAACGCTGAGACACAGTATAGTAAGTCCGAGCCGACCAGTCCTCGTTATATCCCTTAATGCCGAGCGCCAGGCAGGGAAACAATAAGTACCATTTGATTTTTAGTTTGTTGTTTAACGCCGTACTCGGCAATATTCCAGCTATGTGACGGCGGTCTGTAAATAATCGAGTCTGGTCCAGACAATCCATGATTGAAGTTATGAGCATCGATACGCGCAATTGGGATACGATGACATGCATCAATCAAGTCAGCGAGCCTGAACACCCGATCCCGTTAGAAGCCTTTTAAGACAAGCATAGTCGCATTTTAAGGCAAGCATGGGTGAAGTACATTTGGACGCGGCCGAGATCGAACCACCGACTTCCGCACTAAGGGCAGACGCTCTACCCACTAGACCACGACGCGGTTAGAAGACGACAACATCGGGTTATTTACATGTCGATCGGTTTGGATCATACATTCACTGCATGGACGCGTGACCTACGTGGTAGTCCATTTTGTCTTATCGAACATTCGTTCGTCTTCTCCAAGCTTGATTCTTCACCGGTCACTGTATTTTTGCTCATTATTGGGTAGCCAAGTGGTTAAAGCGTTCGCTCGTCACGCCGAAGTCCCGGGTTCGATTCCCCGTATGGGTACAATTGGTAATGTTCCCCGTCGTCACGCCGAAGTCCCGGGTTTGATTCCCCGTATGGGTACAATGTGTAATGTTCCCAGTCGTCAAAGTGTTAAAAGCGGCGTAAAACAATACTCGCACACTCCTTATGGCTTGAGAAATGGGGGTGGTCGGGTAGCCAAGTGGTTAAAGCGTTCGCTCGTCACGCCGAAGACCCGGGTTCGATTCCCGACATGGGTACAATGTGTGAAGCCCATATCTGGTGTCCCCCGCCGTGATTTTGCTGGAATATTGCTAAAAGCGGCGTAAAACCATACTCACTCACTCACTTGAGAAATGGAAACTCGGTTACTCGTTCAGATTCCATACAATTGGCTAATGTATATAATCAGCGAGGCCGAATAGCACCCCATGCTAACTATTGAATTGCGTGATGAAAATCAAATATATTCCAGATATGATATTTGAATAATATTTAAAACAAACAGGGCTGTCATTGAAATAGGCGGTTGAAACAAGCTAAGCATGTTCACAAACCTTTGGGCAAATCTGAAGTGGATGCCTAAATAATTAAATCTCCTACTTCTTGTCAAATCTGTAATAATGACTGCTCCCTCTGGACTTTGCCTTGCATTAAATCACGGCAACCTGAAAGCTGTTTCCCAAGCTGGATTAAAAACGGTTGATTTGACAGTTACAAATTTCTTTAAGATACTTTAGCATCTTAATCTGACAATGAAACTGTCAAAATGGTGTTGAGAGATGGCAGTTCTCAGAACCGGTTAACAGAAAGGTTCGTTTCTGCTGCACCAAGACGAGATAATATTGATGCGTCTTTTCAGCATATAAAGATATATTCCATTTGTTCTCATACCACCTGGAACAAATGGATACACAGATCACATGGTACCTGACACCCCGCTTAGTTACATATTCCGGTCTGTCTTTTCAGCATGTACGTCCGAGTCAACCTGGCCGGATAAGTGAGTGAGTTTTGTTTGACGCCGATTTAAACAGTATTTCAGTAATATCACGGCATGTCAGATTCTTGTCCTCAGACATTTACCACTTTGGGGAAACCCATGAGCACGAGTATGGTGCTGACACACCCAGAACAATAAAAAATGGCGAAACGGGATTCGAAACTACGCCTAAATGGACGAAACTCATTCGTCACCACTCGCCTCTTTCCGTAACATGCAAGAAGACTCGTCCCCCTATCGATGAATGTAATGTGCGAAAATGCGACAAATCAATCAGAATGCGCGTATGACTTTGGTCAAAGAATCCCTCAGGAATAATTTATGATTGTGTATATGTCTTGCATCTAAAATTATATCACAAATACATATATGTTCAATCATACTGTATAAATACCGTAAGCCCCGATGTGTTTAAATTGCATCTGGAAAACTTATGATATATGGGGGAAAAAAACCGCGAATCAAAACGCAACGAGTTGACAATTCTTTTAGCTATGCCCGTTTGCGCTGAGAGAGAGAGAGAGAGACATATTTCGTAAGACGATCGTTATGATGCTAAGATTACATGTATGCACTTTGATTGTATCTGGTACTGTGATTCTGGAGAGTGAATGGTTTTACGCCGCTTTTAGCAATATTCCAGCAATATCACGGCGGGGGACACCAGAAATGGGCTTCACAAATTGTACCCATGTCGGGTATAGAACCCGGGTCTTCGGTGTGACGAGCGAACGCTTTAACTACTAGGCTACCCGACCGCTCCTCCGTTTGCGTTTACGACGAAACCCAGGCGCAAAAATGGCCACGAGTGGGGCACGAGTCACTATTCGGCTTGTCCCGGAATAACACGAGTTGGTGACAAATGGGACGAAACTCACGTTACGCAAAGGGGCGAGTGGCGACGAATGAGTGAATTGCGTAGCCTCGTTTTTAAAGCGTTCGTCGCCACGTCGAAAGCTCGGGTTCGATTCCCCACTTTAGTGCAATATGTGACGCCCATTTATGGTGTCCCAAGCCGTGATATTGCTGGATTATTGTCAAAAGCAACGTAAAACCATACTCGCTCACTTTATTTTATTGTCAAGAGAAGTAGGATGTGAAGAGCACTGACGAGGAGCACTGCCAGCTTCGTCACCACTCGCGCCTTTCCGTAACCAATACACCGAGTCGGTCTTCCTCGGTATGGAGTTACCCTTTGAAGATCCGGGTAGAATTCATCTTCAGCCACCCGATCCAGGAAATATTACCTACTACTAGCACAGAGTTGTTAGCAACTATGACCTGCTACTAGTAGGTACAAAGACGGTCTCTACGTCTCTGGAGACTAACATTTACTGCTACTACTAGCTAACGGCAAAGGAGCATGTCTAAAATGATTTTCATTGGTCAACGAGTCTACGTCGACAGTATGCAAGCCAGGCTCTGTCTCAACAGAAAAATAAATAGATTACCGCAGAGCAACTTCAGCCTGTAACCAGCTAGCTTTCTAGATGTAGAAGTAGCTTCGTAATGGTGAAATGCGCCATGCAAACCTTTCAACCACCATTCCAGTATGTTCCCAGTCACCTGGAATTACAAATAGAATCTACATTATCATGAAGAAAATTATACGGTAACCATTGATAATTACATCACCAGCTGGTCACATGACCTCGTCATGCATCATCATCCGCCGCCATTTTGTGTAAGGTCACGTCATTTGTTCCACTCAACCTAGGCCAAGTTTAGGCTAGTTAATTGTGTCTTTTCTCTAAATAGAGCACAACAAACGTGGGTGTTTTCATAACAATAAATACTCTTCAATATTCCTACCATTGCCACAAATGGGAACGTAATGTCGTGCGTGTTTTCTACAGGTAGCCTTCTTTGCGTCCCTAGAAACAACGTCGACGTGCACAAGCAGGGTCACGCATCATAAATGCCGTTTATTCTAAAAGAAAGAGTGCTTTACCGAAACAGTATGTCCTACAGTACTACCTATCGTACATTGTATTGGAGTTGTTGCCTGGTATAAAGCGCCCATGTTTTGACGCGAATCACTTGCATCCAAAGACGATTGGGTCACGTTCCTTTTCAGAATCGCTCGTTTCTTTTAGTCCAACTGGTATAGTAATTACTAGTAATTAGTACTTACATATATATACTATTATATGTCGTATTCTGTTTACATTTCAGCAGTATGCATCGGAGGCAGAAAATTTATTCAAGCTCTGAAGTCCCAAACAACTGAAAATGCTCCAAAACACCATCACGTGACCCTGGTATTCTCAAAGGGCTGGTGAAAGTGTTTGTTTTGTAGGCCTAAATGTTTGTTGATAGTAGAGAGGCTGATTGATAGACTTTATAACAAGTCATGATCAACATTCCCCAACTGTTAGTTAATTACACTGGTCAGTCTACATCTGTATTGTTTCTTTGCAACCTCTGTCAACAAACTCAAATTTATCCATTTAAATACCTGAATAATTGTGTTGTCATATTTTAAGATTATGACTAGGCCTACAGCATCTAACTAACTGTAATCCTCTGATAACTAAATGTCTGAAGGCAAAATACCATTTTATTGATGAATTTAACTCATACAATTTAGTGTAGGGTGTAATGTTGGAATGTTTTTGTTGACAGTAGCAGACACTACATCTGCCTATGAGCAATGGACAGAACTGAGAATACCATATCATGAACCGTAGTGAACATTGCTGGCAACATCCTGTTTTAGTAAGTATAATTGAATCCCCAATTATAATGTCCTTGTACACACAAAAAATGACATGTGTTGTTTTTAAATAGTGATCTGTTTGGCAGTGTTTTATATATTGTATATTTTTCTTTTCACTTTGTCTACTGGCCTGCATTTGTCCTTGTCTTTTTCTTGTTATTTCTGATACATTCCAAAATAAGATTTGTCTATACAGTACCAGCACACTTTAATAAGGACTAAGAGCAAATGTGCCTATTTCTCAGTGTTTTAGACAATTTGTGTTGTACCCAAATAGAGGGAATATTGTTACTGTAGTTCTTGTCATTGTCTTGGTGGCAAGTGCCACATGATCATGGGCACTACTTCAGCATGTTTAGTTATACACATTTACCAGTGAAGATCAGGGTCAGAAAAGGTCTTCAGCAAACCATGCTTGCTTTAAGAGGCGACTATCCTTGTCATAAGAGGCGACTAACGTGATTGAGGGGTCAGGCTCAGAGACCATGTTGATGCATGTCATCGTATCCCATTTGCATGGATTGATGCTCACGATGTCAATTACTGGATTGTCAGGTCCAGATTTGATTATTTACAGGCAGCTGTCAAGCACGAATATTGCTTAGTACAGCATTAAACAACAAACAAACAAAGTTATACAGTTCAATTTTTTAAATAATCTTATACTCTAGTATTATAATGTGCTATTTTTATTGATTATTATGAATACAGACTGTTTGTATCAGTTTGTAAGAGACACAAACCAAGGTTCCCTCAACTATCTGCACATGCTTTGTCGTAACACAATTAATATGGTATCTTCAGGTTATGTATGTATGTAAAATGTGCTAGAAAGTGTCCACTTTAGTTGTAAAATCAGTATCTTCCTCACAACAGAGCTAATGTGCACTACCTTGTTGTGGTATTTTTTGTTGAACTCGTCTCTGTCTTTCTCAAGTTATGTTTGTGCAAGGTGCCTACCTGGTGTATTGATAATATTACCTGACAAGAGTCAAGTTTGCTCATCATATTCTGAAATAAGTGTCTCCAATCTAATAGAAATGGGAAAAGTAATACAAGCGAGTCACCATCATTTTAACCGGTGCTAGGGATGTCAGCATAAAGTATATGGTTTTTTATTAATATTATAAATATTAAAACTCTTTGCACCTGGATTGGAAGAATTGAACATTATAAGAAAACTGCTATGTTCCTTTTCAGCTGACAGGCTGTTTGTGGAAGATGTAAGGTCAAGTGCTAGGGCCCCCTGTTTAGTTTAGACCTACATTGTGAATGTTGTGCACTGGACCATGGAGCCTGGTCACTACAGGGTTTACCCAAGCCTCTTAAAACTGGGGACAAATTCAATTTCTAATCTTAAAAATATCATCTTGATTCTCTAATCATACTGTTAAAATTATGTTTTACGTACTTATCTAATCTCTGTGGAATTCCTAATCCAATTAAATAGTAATGTCCAATATTTTTTAATATATTTGCAGATAACAAATTGCTTTAGACTAATAAGGCAACTGCTATATTATATTCTGACTCTTTACTGGACTCACCAGACTCTGCACTGTATACTACTGAACACAATGAAGGATCAACGTCTTTTCATTTCGGAATTCAAGTAGCAAGCGGTAGCCTGTTGTCTGGTACTTTAAAGTATACTATAATGCATGTACTAATTCTTTATACTGTAAACACATAACATGTTTTGCTTGAGCAATCCTTCCTGAAAAGCCCCCAATTTTGAAACGCAAGTCTAGTAACATTGTGCTCGATGTAGTAAGTCAAATTAATAATAGTCAATTTGTCAACACTAAAATCCTGTTTGGACTAGTTGACCCATCATTTTGGGGCACAGACTGCTCATGTAATTCAATATATGGTGACAATGTTGCACGGGGTTCTGTTGTGTGTATTTCAATAATTTGCACATTTATGAACTTTAACCTTAATGTAATCCTTGAATCCAGTGATGCTTTATTTTTACATTTCTTTAATAACCTACAATTGTTATGAAGCTGTCATTTTTTGTGTGGTTCCAGGAATAAAGTCACCAGAAATGTATTAAAAATTTTTATCTGAGTTTGAGCATGACCAACATGGTACATATGTTTAAAATGTTGTTTTCTTCCCCTTCTCAGACATGTAAGTTATTGTACAGTAAGTCATCTATAGTGTAAAAACATGTTGATTCTTTTGTTTGCATATTTAGCTATTCCAGAACTGTTAGATGATATTAAATTGCTGTAGAAGGTATTTATTTCCATCTATAATGTCATTATGGTATACCAGTGTGTATGACAATTGAAATTATTGAAATTCATCAATATCTTCAAATATGATCTATTGTATCCAGTGAATGACATGTAAGAAAGAAGGAAGTTAGGCAGCACCCAATCAGAGAGCGTACCATTAGACACATGTGATCAAAGGGGTTCCAATTCAACACATTGCCCTTACGTATGATGGTCACTGTCAAACGTTTTTCATGGATCTCTGCGTTGAAAACCAACTCATCCTGATAATAGGTTTCTGATTATATTGCCTATTCACTTACACAAGATACACAATTTTGAGTAATAAACAGTTGAATGTAGAAATCCGTTAATGTTGACAGGAAGAGAACAATCATTACCTTAGGGTTATGTTAAATATCATTAACATGATTAAGGCTTTAATGACTTATTGATAAATAAGAAATATACGCAGCAAATTCTGTCATTGTCATTGTAGTATTTGTCTATACTATTACTTAAACACTACATTAATAGCCATAATCACATTCAATTACAGGGATCGATTTCTCTACATACAAGCCCCACCAGTGCAGGTAAAAACATTGCTGGGTCCACTTGCACAGAACAATCTTAGCACTTCAATTATTGTAAATCCTTAAGATCACGATCTTAGGCTTCGGCTAAAAAGTTGTCTGCAAGCGATTAGTAACGTCCGTGACCTTTTCGATAACTCAAGGGCAGCTAATCATAGTTTATACTCTAGATGAGAGTGGTTTCCCTTTGTGTAAGCATGTAGCGTAGAATCTACCTTGCCCAGTGTATTAATGTTGTAGAATCGCTGAGCTCCCCCTGTTATTCTTTTCGGTCCCATTCGTGTCAGTTATTTTGTCTTTAGTTCATCATTAAATTAATCTACAAATAAATATTAGATGAAGTCAAACATGTTTAAATCTAAAATCAAGTTGGCAGGGGACGAGGGATTTTAAAATCTGAATTAGAAAGAAATGAAAAGTATTTATTAAACAAGCAAATACACATGATGAGACATTTGAAATTTGTGTAAAATATCCTATAAATAGCAAAAGTAAAATTTACACCTTTTAAAAATAATTATCAATATAATTAATACCAAGTGAATATATATTAAACAACTGCTTTCTCGAAACATTATTCATTATTATTATTTCCCATGCATTCTTGAAATCCTGCATCTTTCTGTGTTTTGAAAAGGTACACATAACATCCTTTGTCACAGCAACGAAATGAAAGCATGAAGGATATATTTAGGATTTTACGAAAAGCTCCCCCGTGTTATGTTATTAGAAAATATTTTTAGTATTATTTATTTTAATTTTCATAATGATTGTGTCACTAAATAATATATTTATTCGTATTTCAATACTTTTGATAAAAAAACATGAGTAGGTATTTCTCAAGTTGCAACAGATAACAATTCCTAAATCATGACACTATTAATGCCGACAAAAATATATGCCATCATTCTAGTAATCGTTTCCTTCAAATAATTGGCACCTTTCTTGAAACTGTGCAAGGTGCGATGGAGGGAGGTACATGTTGTGTGTCGTGAACAGTTCCACTTATTGTATACGCAGCAAGCTATGCGCGTTTGCAGACAACTGTAGACAGGAGTCGAGTTTAAGATATTCGTACCTCCACCGTTGAAGATTTCAATCTTAGATGAGCCGTCTTACAATCACACTAAGATGGGTTTGTGAAAGTGGCATAGGACAATTGTATGGTGATTGTAAAATTGATTGTAGCCGCCTAAGATCGATGTAACTGAGATTGTTCTGTGCAACTAGGCCCAGGTGTCGGTAACTTTTAGGTGAGGTTAGGTTGCACCCAGTGCAGGTAACATTTCCAGCCATAAGTGGAAAACTGAATTCTTTAGAACTGGCTGCAAGTCTTTTCGAATCCAGGAAACAAAAGTTCATGAAAATAGTGAAATACACAGGTGGTCTGAATACATTGAACTTGCAGGACTCATTCTTCACATTTACCACTAGAACAGTCACTCATGAGGTTACAATCACAACAGACACTTTGAGACTTCTGTTTAAGGTTGTTTACTCGATATCATGATATGAAAAGGCATGTACAGATTCACCTCAAAATAAATTCTGGAGCACATTCTCAAGGGTTTTTTTTCTTTGAATTTATTTAAAATTCAAAATAACAGAAAATTTTGGTGGTGCAACCTGCTTAGTTCACTTTGTTGCACCTGGTGCAGGTGGTAAGACAGAATGAAATCGTACCCTGAATTATAGACCAAGGCTCCGATGACTGTATGACTATGGAGTAGCATTGATTATCATCGTCATATTTTTTATTTCAGTTGGCACACAACAGCATCCCTCCTGATCAAGTGAAAAGGAATCCTATGACACCGCTTGATCTTTGTCTGACATGGAAATTTGCAAATCAAATAAGGTGGAAGAATAACATCTGGTTAAAAAATTTATGTGGAAAAGTAAGTTTTTCAACATTTTGGGTAAGATTAAACTTCCAAATTTCATCAGGGGTTTGAAAATTAAAGGATGATAAATTCCTCATGGCTTGTTATGTGTTATTTATCCACTGTTTCCTTTGTTTGGACTTTTATTTTTATAAAATATACATTAAATGTAAAACTAGGCAAAAAGTCACTAAAATCAGTCAAAATCAAGAAGGTCCGAAATCGCAAACATAACTGCATTGAGGTGGGTGTCTGAGTTGAAGCAAATATTGATCTGAACAATAATCTGTCAGCAGGTCAGAAATCACCCACATAACTGCTGTTATCTGAACACAGTTCAGGTTTGAGATTCACCATGAACTTTTCAGGTATTGAGGGGCTGTGGGGTCCAAAAGTCATCTGAAAATGATTGAACACATGAATAATGGACATGAAATTTAAATTACAACATAAAATAGAATGGTCATGTGTGTAAAGACATGTTATGTTCAATAGTCACTTTCAAATTTATCTTCCTTTAGGGTGGTCGAAAATAACATGGCTGCGGATATAACGACACAAAACATAGACCAATGTTGATATATTTTAACCAAATTCAGTCTGTAGATGTGTTATGTGTTCAGGTACCAAGCGTTGAAATCAGCTAATGTTAGCTTGCATCAACCTTCAGTTGTTTAAAACTTTTACTTTAATGACAATCCCAGAAATCCCAGAATCACAAAAATCAGTCCATCGTGGTGATTCTGTGTTAGAATAGGTCCACTGCAACCTATCCTTGTTATAAGGGATGAGTTAAGTAATTGGGTGGTCAGGTTCAGTGACTTGGTTAGTTGCTTGTTATTGTAACAAGATGACAGTGATAATATCTAGATTCTAAATATGGCCACCATGTCAACCATATTGAATTTGTCGTCAATGCTAAATTATATTACATTGTACTTTGGGGCATAGTATTATTTTTTTAACTGCTGTTACTTTAACTGCACATATTTCACATGTGCCCCCTTATCTACATTTACTGCATTTTTGTTTAGTCCTTTTGGTTTTATGCATATACCGGTAAATTGGAGTGATGAATGGAAAATATCAACACTGTAAATGGTGACACAGGAGTGTATTAAATGTTATGAATTGATCTAAGTGTTAAAATGAAAATGATATTGAGAAAACAGCCACATAATAAAATATATAAGTACCCTTTATCAGAGCGGCAAATCAGTTCTAGAAATGTGAATTTTATTGGGATTCCAAACTGTATATTTGTTCAAGATAAGTATTTGAAATATCTGATGTTGGTTCTTTTTGTAATGTTGCAACATAAACATAAATACAGTCATCCCTTGCTAAAACACCCTTCATGAAATACCACAGATTGGGTTAAACTTCAGGTAAAATACATGGGTCCCATACATTTAAATACTTCCCCCACAAACGCATATTTAGGTCATCGGAAATAGCATATCAACAAATCTGCTCTGAAATTATGCAAGTTAGTCCTGTTGTAAGGATGCACAGATGTTCTTGAGAAGTGTCCATTGTATCATCTAGACTTAGGACATATGTTTGCAATCTATTTGATTAAGTTTAGTCATATTTTTTATTTGAAATACTATGTGCTTCTTAAAACACTTGCCTTCAACTCTTTGTTCTTATGTTTTTGATCATGCAACTTTCTATGTACTTAGTGGGTTGGAATTATCAAAAGGGTAGCAGTTTTGGGGCACCATTGCTGAGAAATATGCCAGAAAATAAATCTTGAAAGTGTGCTTTCACTAATTGTTGTTAATAAAGTGTATAAATGGGCTGAGAAATGTGTGAATTTGAAATATTTGAAATATTTTATTTGAGGTTTGAGATAAAATGCAAATTTTACAGTATTTTAACAGAGCTCCAGATAAGATATTTGATTCATTTTTTTGTGGTTTCAGATATCTGCTTTAAAGTGATGTCATGAACTGGATGCTGCACTCTTGATTCCAACACTAATATTGTCATGACCAAATGTTAAAGTTCATATTCAGCAAGTTGAAGATAACTGACACCATCTTAAAGTATAAGTTTCACAAATATGGTATTCAGAAGTTTTTTGTTTTCACTACTGATGTATATATAGTATAAAAAAATTGATTTCTGTAATAGAATAAAGTATTGGAATACATGTGATACTAGTTGTGTTTCCGTCACCACAATCTCATTAAAATCAGACCTTAGTTCTCGCTACCACTAAACAAAGACCTGAAGACATCCCATTAGGAGTCACGTCAGAACGACCTTTCATTCGACCAATCAGAGCGTTGCTTACCAGATCATGAAAGTGACAGTCAGAATGTGATTTCTAATCATACAACCTCGAAAACTTTTAACACGGGGTATTCCAAAAGATAGTTACAGGTTTAACGACTGAATCCATACAATCTAGACCATCTATTAGCCACTCCAGAATGTTCTTTTGTTTATTTTTCAAATTTGTAATCGAGAATTTGTCCAAATATGTTTAGAAGCGTAGTCGCCAATTTGAAATTAGTGCCGTAAAGCACGAGAAAGCTGCCTTCTGATTGGTCATTCTATTGGTCGGTCAAAGTTTGCACAAGGTCGGTCTGACGTGACCCGTACTGGGATGTCCTCAGATCTTTGTTTAGCAGTAGCAAGAACTTAGGTCTGATTTTAATGAGATTGTCGTCACCATAGTGTGGATGTTTTATGCTGTTTGAGAGAAAAGTTGGCCTAATGGTCTAAAATGCTTCAACACTGCAGAGTTGTGTCGATTGGTCATGTGAGGATCCATTCTGATCACTGGTTTGGAGAATAGTGACCTTAAGCTGAACAGATGGACATGTGGCAGTGTGATTTGAAAGTGAGACACAAATTTATGCAACCACATGAGGTATTGTGGTGCTGAAACGAAGGATCATATTCTGGATTTGAACCCATGACCAGTACATCAAGTTCCATCAACCATGACAATTGGGACACCTGTACACCCAAGTTTCTCTCACTCTACTCCAGCAAAATTGCAGTACCATAAAGGCAGAAATTAATACGTAGGGTCTGTGTGACTAATAAAGCAGTTTCTTGTCACTTTTCGGCCCAGTTTTATATCACAATTAGACATATATTGGGTAGGAACACTACCCCTAGAACCTTACGATTCTTTGTCTTTTGAGATTCCGTAACAGCTGCGTCTGATTCAAGAATAGCCCAGTTTTACATCACTGTCGGACATACGTTGGGAAGAAGCCCAAACCCAAGCACCTCACGATTCATGTTTCTGTTGAGATACGATAACATCAGCGTCTGTATCAAGAATAACCCAGTTTTACATCATTGTCGGACATATATTGGGTAGAAACCCTAACCCTAGCACCTAATCATTCATGTTTCTGTAGAGATACGATAACATCAGCGTCTGTATCAGAAATAACCCAGTTTTACATCACAATTAGACATATATTAGGTAGAAACCCTAACCCTAACACCTTATCATTCATGTTTCTGTTGAGATTTCGTGACATCTGCGTCTGATTCAAGAATAACGCAGTTTTACATCACTGTCGGACATATATTGAGTAGAAACCTTAACCCTAGCACCTTATCATTCATGTTTCTGTTGAAATTTTGTGACATCTGCGTCTGATTCAAGGATAACGCAGTTTTACATCACTGTCGGACATATATTGAGTAGAAACCCTAACCCTAGCACCTCATGATTCATGTTTCTGTAGAGATACGAGAACATCAGCGTCTGTATCAGGAATAATCCAGTTTTACATCACTGTCGGACATATATTGAGTAGAAACCTTAACCCTAGCACCTAATCATTCATGTTTCTGTTGAAATTTTGTGACATCTGCGTCTGATTCAAGAATAGCCCAGTTTTACACCACTTTCGGACATGTATTGAGAAGAAACCCTAACCCTAGCACCTCATGATTCATGTTTCTGTTGAGATACGAGAACATCAGCGTCTGTATCAGGAATAATCCAGTTTTACATCATTGTCGGACATATATTGGGTAGAAACCCTAACCCTAGCACCTCATGATTCATGTTTCTGTTAAGTTACGAGAACATCAGCGTCTGTATCAGGAATAATCCAGTTTTACATCACTGTCGGACATATATTGAGTGGAAACCCTAACCCTAGCACCTTATCATTCATGTTTCTGTAGAGATACGATAACATCAGCGTCTGTATCAGAAATAACCCAGTTTTACATCACAATTAGACATATATTGGGTAGAAACCCTAACCCTAGCACCTTATCATTCATGTTTCTGTTGAAATTTCGTGACATCTGCGTCTGATTCAAGAATAACGCAGTTTTACATCACTGTCGGACATATATTGAGTAGAAACCTTAACCCTAGCACCTTATCATTCATGTTTCTGTTGAAATTTTGTGACATCTGCGTCTGATTCAAGAATAGCCCAGTTTTACATCACTGTCGGACATATATTGGGTAGAAACCCTAACCCTAGCACCTTATGATTCATGTTTCTGTTGAGATACGATAACATCAGCGTCTGTATCAGGAATAATCCAGTTTTACATCACAATTAGACATATATTAGGTAGAAACCCTAACCCTAGCACCTTATCATTCATGTTTCTGTTGAAATTTCGTGACATCTGCGTCTGATTCAAGAATAACCCAGTTTTACATCACTGTCGGACATATATTGAGTAGAAACCTTAACCCTAGCACCTTATCATTCATGTTTCTGTTGAAATTTTGTGACATCTGCGTCTGATTCAAGAATAACGAATTTCTACATCACTGTCGGACATATATTGAGTAGAAACCCTAACCCTAGCACCTCATCATTCATGTTTCTGTTGAGATACGAGAACATCAGCGTCTGTATCAGGAATAATACATTTTACATCACTGTCGGACATATATTGGGTAGAAACCCTAACCCTAGCACCTCATGATTCATGTTTATGTTGAGATTTCATAACATCAGCGTCTGTATCAAGAATAACCCAGTTTTACATCACTGTCGGGCATATATTGAGTAGAAACCCTAACCCTAGCACCTCATGATTCATGTTTCTGTAGAGATACGATAACATCAGCGTCTGTATCAGGAATAATCCAGTTTTACATCACTGTCGGACATATATTGGGTAGAAACCCTAACCCTAGCACCTTATCATTCATGTTTCTGTTGAGATACGAGAACATCAGCGTCTGTATCAGGAATAATCCAGTTTTACATCACTGTCGGACATATATTGGGTAGAAACCCTAACCCTAGAACCTCATGATTCATGTTTCTGTTGAGATTTCGTGACATCTGCATCTGATTCAAGAATAATCCAGTTTTACATGCCTGTCGGACATGTATTGAGTAGAAACCCTAACCCTAGCACCTCATGATTCGTGTTTCTGTTGAGATTTCGTGACATCTGCGTCTGATTCAAGAATAATCCAGTTTTACATCACTGTTGGACACATATTGGGTGGAAACTCTAACCCTAGAACCTCATGATTCATGTTTCTGTTGATATTTAGCGACATTAGCATCTGATTCAAGAATAACGCAGCTTTATGTCACTGTCGGACCTATATTGGGTAGTAACCATTACCAAAGCACCTCGCGATTCATGTTTCTGTTGAGATAATATGGTGACATCATTATTTTGGTACTGTCTAACTTACCATCTGTTTGGATGTAAAATCATAATCTGTAGCATGGATTGCCAGGGTTGCAATTTAAGCTATATCATGGTGGCAGGTAAATGTCTTGTGGACAAGGCAAATCAGTGGCTGACAAGATCAGCAAAACCCATGACATTGGGCACATTAACACAATCAGCCATTTGACATTATGTCGTTCGGTGATGAATACATGAACACATTCATGCGTACATAATACTGTTTATCCTTGTCATAATCAATCAACTACAAACAAAATTCATCATTTTGCTAGTTCTTTATTGTTGAGGAAACAATAAACATAAATGTAACACATGAAAAGAGTTTTGCCTCAAAATGCTGAAAACAGTGTAAGTGAAGAAATTCCATGCACAGTATATTTGTAAGATGCTAAATTCACCGTATATGATAATTGATATTATGAATGAAAAAAACCCACCTCACATAATGAAACAATTTATAATATGAATCATATGTTTAGATGTACAGTACTGTCCATGAGTATAGGGAGAAACACTGTCCCTCCACACAGTAGTGAACTGATGCTACTCCCTGCTGATCTTTTCACTACTCAGGATGTCAATGCTGACTTCAACACAGAACTCTTCTTCTCAACACTTCTTCTTTCCAGAAACGTACAGGGCATAGTTGCTCTCCCTTCTCAAAGCACACTGTATTGGGAGCTGTATATGTAGTTTAGCGTAGGTGTAAACTGATACCATCAAGTTTCATTACAGCATGGTAGTTGCCCTGAAAAGGTTGAAAATATTCACATAAGTGATGTCATCACCATTGATTGAACATTTTTCATGGAAAAATAACTTATGATTTAACTTCAATATAAATAAATCCATGTAGTACACCTTATTTTTACATTTATACCCACATTAATTTAAAAGTATATTGGAGTCAATTCTTTTAAATAAATATGTCAATATCAACAACTTCATAGACTCCTTCTTTAATTACTTACATAAAAAAACAGGAAGACAACAATAGAAAATCAGTGACATTGTTAAACCCAATATAATGAAAAACAAGCCCCTCCCATTCTATTATCAGCCAATCAGGAAACAGTTGATCGTTTGTGGGTATAGCATACATTTATTTTAGGTTCATGGCAACATCAAGTTATGTTCCATTAAAAATGCCTGTAAAGATATTATAGTTTAATATCATGTTGTCTCACTTAAATTCAAAACTTAATGGGAAGTTATAATTTGCAGTTATCTCAACTGGCAAGGAATTTTTCTCAAGCCAGTTAAATGTGTCCAGGATACAAAATTAAGATGGTGTTATTACCACAAATATTTTCTTGAACAAAAATGAAAATATCTGATGATAATTTGTGTACTTTTTGTAATTCACATCCAGAAACTGATATGCATTTATTTTTTGGTAAAAGATTTCTGGCTTCTGGACACAGACTCATAATTTGTATCTGGATATTCGTGTGAAGGAAAATGTGATAACAGATGATAATTTGATCTGATTTTGTTATTTTCAAAGTATGTAAGTGTAAGGTTCTTAAAATACAACCAAATTTCTAACATTTTGTGAGGGAGACTGATACAGTTAGACATGAATTTCGAAAAAATATATACTTCAACAAAAACATGCATACAAATTTTATACACAGTATACTGACTCCGAGTGGACCATTCCTTCTTTTAGCCCTTACTACCGAGAGCAAGACAGGGTAACAAGAAGTACCATCTTTTAACGTCTTTTGGAATGATGCTTCAAGGGATCGAATTTCTGACCTTCCGCTCTCTGAGCAGACACTCTACCAGTACACCATAGAGGCAGTCAATCAGACTTGGAATTTGATGAATTTCAAAGAGTTAAAGTAACTAAGTTGACAATCCATCAGTTTATTGTTATTTTCTGAGAACTAACAATCAACAGTACTTTTCTTATGTTCACCATTTTGTTACTTTTGTTCATTAGTGTAGAAAATTCTGGATGGGAAGCATTTTATCTGGACAGGAATATTTGCAAAGTTGCCCTTCCGGGAATTTTATACGCTGCTGTTACATAGCGACACGCTTAACATCAAATCACAATTCTGACATCATTGTTTGGATGATTCATGCCAAGTTTCAGCTTCATAGGCTTTGTAGCTCCAGAGGAGATGTTGAAAGTTTAATCGTTAACGACATACATACTAGCAGAAAAAGGTAACTTTTCTTAATAAAAAGTCCAACAAAACTCAATCTCATTAAAATCAGATCTTAGTTCTTGCTACCGCTAAAAAATGATCTGAGGACACGTCAGCATGACCTTTCATCCAACCAATCAGAGCATCACTTACCAGATCCTGAAAGTGACAGTCAAAATGTGTTTTCTAATCATGCATCCTCGAAATATTTAACAGAGGGTATTCCGAACGACAGTTACGGGTTTTATGATTATATCCATACAAGTTAGGCCATCTATAAGTCATTCCAGAATGTTGTTTTGGTCAGTTATAAATTTATTTAATTGAGAATACGTCAAAATATGTTTCGAGGCGTAGTCACCAGTTTGAAACTAGTGCAGTAAAGCTCGAGATAGCTACCTTCTGATTGGCAAATGTCAATTTCAGTCATTTCATTGGTCGGTCAATGATCGCGAAAGGTCGTTCCGACATGACCCGTAATGGGATGTCCTCAGATCTTTGGTTAGCGGTAGCATATTGATGAAGACATCTCCTCAGTTTTAAGGTCGTGATTCACAATTTACATGCAAATGTTTATGGACTGCGCATAATTTGTGTGTTTGCATGTTTGTTGGGAGCAAGGTATTTACACACGTTTTCATAATGTAAACAGCACACAATGATTGTTTAGCTCTCTGGGTCTAATAAAATCTTTTTTCTTTTTGTTCAACTGTAATTAATAATGCTGTCACGGCTTGATGACATGTTGCAAACACGAAATGCGCAAAACGAAGTTGCCAAACATTTTTAATGTTCATCGAATCACAAATATCATCTGCCACATTAATAATCGGACAATTCTTGGGTTAAGACGAATTAGTGGCAGAACTGTACATTACCGGTTGAGAGAGCACAACATCCGGTCCCAACATTCAGCAATATGCCTAATTTTGCTTACACAGGACTATCAGTCACACTTGGTGTAGACAGCATCTGAGGTTCAGAAGAAAAACAGGGACAGTACACTGTTCACAAATGAGTGAGGGTTTCATCTGAACAGCTCTGATGGTCGTGCAAAGGTCTACATGCATACTGGAGAATGTTTTAGCAACTCTTGCATTACTTATCATCATCAGTTTTGGGGTGGAAGTGTAATGGTATGGGGTGGCATCACAACTCATGGGAAAACACAACTCATCACTGTTATGAGGACATCGTTTGTGATCATGTTCTTGCCTTTGTGCACATGCAGGGACGTAACGTCATGTTGCAGCAGGATAGTGCCCGCCTACAAGTTGCACCCCTCTTTGGGGGCGTGTCTCTCCGTCTCCAATTACCTGGAATGGATTTTGTCAATGAATTTGTTATGATAAAACACTGATGAGACAAAAGACCAAATATTATGTTGTAATTTACAATAACATAACATTTACACTACTTAATACACAGCAGTTACTTTTTTCCATTAGTATAGATGAACACAGCCATGACATAAGCTTATTTGAACCTTCGCTTTGTGTAAGCTACAAGTGATCATCATCATTTCTACAAAGTTAAGTTTCAGCTTCCTGGAGAGTGTAGTTTCTCTTTTTTTATTTTCATTCTTAATTGTTTTTCAAGAAGCAATTTCAGCCCCTCCATTTCTCCAATTTGAATCCCCACCATTGGAGAATTGATTCCAACCAAATATGGTTGATATCTATCTCTTAGTTCCAGAGAGGAAGTCGTTTAAAGCAATATAGCCAAATTACTCCTATTTGGCCCTGACCCTTGGGGGGTCAGCCCTCTCCATTTGTACAATTTTTAAACCCCAGCATTGGAGAATGCTTCCAACCAAATATGGTTGATATCTATCTCTCAGTTCCAATAAAGAAGTGGTTTAAAGCAATATAGCCAAATTACCCCCATTTGGCCCCGTCACCCAGCCCTTTGGGGGGTCAGCCCCACCATTTGTACAATTTTGAATCCTCACCACCTAGGGATGCTTCCAGTCAAATTTCGTTAATTGTCAATTTGTGGTCAAAAGAAGATGTTTTTTGAAAAAATCGTTGACATACGGACGACGGACCCCACGGTATGGCATAAGCTCACCTTGGTGAGCTAATAGTTGTGTCAGGAAGACAAACACCAGACAAGCAGGCCATGTTGTTTGTATTCAAAAAGTATTTTGTTTTATTTTGTATATTTGTCTTATCTGGAAAAATAGTCTATGCTATATTACAACCAGTTTGTTTAACGACATGCAGACATGAATCCTACGTTTCGAGGCGATCAATGTTACCTTTGTTGGGTGCAACTGGACCAAACAAGTTATTTGCACCAGGCTTCTTGTAACTGGACAGTGAAACCTGTGAACATGGTATACAAAGAATAAAAATCTTCGTAAGAATAAACACAACACATGACACCACAGAACTGAATGAACAAATTGTAAAATAAAACACTGGGACAACCACATAACCTAATCCGAGTCCCATTGTGGTCCTACACATGCCAGGTGTCATTAAGTTTTAGTTTCCTTGGTTTCTGAGAAGAAAGTTCTTAAAGTTGAACAAATCAGAATTGGAAGCTACAAAAATACCTTTGCAAATGAAGGTTAAAAAAGTGTAATAAACATCCATCAACCTCTTCATGACAACATTGCTAAGGTTATCTAGGATAAACAAAAAAATGCCTCACTACGAACCGTTTGAATGGGCCTGAAACTGATCAGAATTTATTTTTAGGGAATTAAATACTGGTAAAGGTCATCATAAATAGATTAACAAGATTATGCAGAAATAAGTAACAAATGTTCAGATACACCAAATGATATGAATATTTAATAATGATTGACAAATGAGGAAAAACGAGTGAATTGTTTATGACCACTTAAAATAATGGTGCTTGGTCCAGGCAGGCAAGAGGTTGATAGCACTAACAACTATCCATGTAATTGGGGTGTAATGTCACCAAATCAGCCACGTCACACAAAACTGACATTCCATATAGTTGCCCTTTGGGAATGTTAAGAATCAAATTCTGTGACTACGTTTTTGAGACTGAATTACTTGGATCATGTCCGTAACAATCCAAACAGTGTAAGTATACCTGTAATCTAGATACAAGGGTGCATGCAAAGGGTATGACCATGGCATGATAATCTGAATCTGAAATCTGAAAAGAACAGTAGATCTATTTTATACCATTGTTGGAGTGCATGATAACACACATATATAACCAATCATAGCTTCACTTCCAAAAAGATTCATAGGAAATATTGCAGGTACAAGGTTATTACACTTACTGGTACATTCCATTATTAGGACACAAAAAGGTGAAAGATGATGGCATGACCAAATGGAACATATGATCACTGAAACATAGCACATTGGAGATTGAAATATAGTATCAGAGCCTGTTAAATGAATAACACCATGATACATGAGTACCTGGTCAAAATAACATTCAATATGGCTGCAATGTCGTCACCCCAAAAAATCACAGACACAGTTTACCAGATTCAACCTAATGGAGGCCAGATGTGCCCATTGTATTGGTGCCATTAAACTGACTCATGTAACAGAGCTCCAGATAACTTTTTGAGCAATTCAGTTTTTACTTTAGGGTTTCTATTTTAATTGGGTTATTACATTTTTCATTGGGTAACCAATATTTTTTCACTCATCGTTTCATCACTCTCTTGGGTCTTTCCCAAAATTAGTGAACATTTTAAGATTTCAAAAAAATGAAATAATGTTCTAAATACATAGGTTTGACTGAGAAAGTAAATAAGCTTGTAATTGTGTTTCAGAAATTAGCTCCTTTGTATGCATGCTGAAAAAGCTTCATTGGGCATTTACACGAGCTGTTTTAATAATTTGAGTTTTTCATTTAATGCATGCGTTTCTGTACACAAGTTAATGGAAAGTAATTGGGTTTTAAATAATTTTGGGGGGTATTTTACACAAATACGCTGCTTATCTGTAGCTCTGATATAATAATTTTTCCCTTCATTACCTTTTGGCTGTCCCCTCACATGACTGACAGAAATACTGTTCGAACAAACTTCCCTGGGTATAGGTGTTAAAATGGCTCTGTAGCTTCCCTGTACTTTTTCATGGAATATATTATTACAACAAAAAGGCAATACAAAGGTATAATAAATAAGCAAAAGAAACAAAACTATTTATCTACAGAACAGACTTTCTCACAGCATCTTGACCAATTAAAAGGATGACAGTATATGCAAGAAGACAAATTCACCATTATCCCCTAAATATTAAATACTTGCTATGGAAACTAAATATCCCAAATTATCAAAAGGCACCAGTTCAACACTAGACCTATCTATGTGCCATGCTTGTTAAGGAAATATTGTAAAAAAAAATTAATCTGCATAGAAAGGAGCACTACCCTCATTTTCAGTATGAGTCAAAGTTGTGGCATCTCAAAATATTAATTTAAAAAAAATCCTAAACTATTAAAAGGCACCAGTTCACCACTAGACCGATCTGTGTGTCAAGTTTGGTGAAGAAATATTGTAGATTTTTAAGGTATGTTCCAAGAACGATCACTACCCTCCTATTTCAGTCAAAGTTGTTGCCATGGAAACTAAAAAGATACATTTTACAAAAATCCAAAACTATCAACAGGCACCAGGTCACCACTAGGCCTATCCATGTACCATGATTGGTGAAGAAAATAGTAAACGTTTTTTCAAAATCTTACACAGAAGTATGAATGCAAGGACTGACCATGTCCATTTTAATACCCCCGCAAAACATGTTGTGGGGGATAATAATTGGTAATGAAACGAGTCAAAAGAACACATTCATCATGACTGCTGCAGCAGCACATGAAGACAAAATGTTGCAGTTCCAAATATAAGAAAAACTTGCAAAATATGACACTGTGTTTGGGTTTACCAAATAATTACTGTATATCAAATTTCATAATGTAAATGCAGAAGTGGCTTTCTAAAGGGTGAAAAGTATATGTTCAATATGGTTGCCATGTCTTGACAGCTTGAAGTTGTATTGGCATCATGTTAGTGGGATCAAATACACAAAATCTCAGCTTATTGAAAATATGATTTTCAGAGAAGATATTGAAAACACAAACAAACTTCATAAGGTATGTGAAAGTTTAAGGCCATAGAAGGCACAGGTAATACAGTCATCCAAGAAGCCACCTCAATTTGCTGGGCAGAGTTGCATCCCTGTCTGTCTCACAGTCCTTGAACCATATTATTTTCCCTTCCGCCCAGCCCATCTCACTGGGTCTACTTTTAAACTAAAATGAATACAAAATGTTTCTATCAATATTTTACATTTTCAGAGACTAAGCTGCATCCCTTTCATATGCCAGAAATCTATGACAATGGGTTCAAATCCCATAATTACCATGATTATTTTCCTTGGTTTGTCAGCACCATTTCCACGCTGGTGGGTCTCATCAAGTGGTAAATATCTAAGATGTTCCTCCCAGATCAAGCAAAAAATACACCAATGTAAACCCCATAACACATATCAAGTTTCATAATGCCACATCTGAAATGGCTGTGTAATATGCAAAAGTGATATTTTGTAAATGGCCTCATGTTTTAGAATATCATTGCTGAGATTTCAGTTTCATAGGCCTTGTAGATTCAGAGGAGGTTTTGAAAGTGTACAAGTTAGTTATGGACAGATGACAGATAATGCACCATGACATAAGCTCATTTGACTTCAAATTGGATATTCCTGTATTCATGATAGCCTGTAGTTTGATTACAGTATACCAACTCACACCTCATAACTTAATAAATGGCCTAAGGTCTGAGGGAAAGTAATACTTTCACAATATAATCAGGTCAGCGAGTTTGCATAGTGAATGGTTAAGTTGGCTTAATGCAACTGAGAACAGTGTTTCAGTAATATCACAGTGTGTCAGCTGATGATCCAGTGAGGAAAGACTGATATAATGAGGTACCGATAATACTACAAATGTGGTATTTCATATCATGACATCCATGATTTAATTTGATGTATGATGATTCCTCTATTGTTATCCCTGACTTTATCATGGTGGCACTGCATACAGATAAATGTTCACAGCACCTGTGCTTAGCTTGTGCTAAATCTATACAACAGTAAATTAGCCTTAGTATTACAATATAAATTAATGTAATTCCCAACATGTATAGGGGTAGAATACAACATACCTGATTTCCTACAAGGGTTGCACCTCAAATTTCCTGAATGTGGCAGGACACAGCCCACTTGGATACCCTGGGAATAAAAAAAATGTGTAAATTGGTACTGATATCTTGACATATTGGTTGCAAAGGGAGGTAATCAATGATACATGTATAGTTTACTATAAATTTGCCCAATGCACAATTATCTTTATGATCCTTTATTAATCTCATATGTCTACATATTCCCTCAGTGTTCATCATAACAACAACAACAACAAACAAAAAAGAGGGCATGTAGACTAGTGAATTAGAGCGTGGGGCTTATCTCACAATGGAGCGAACGCCAGAAATGGACCTCACTTTGAACCCAGAACACAGACTTTTCAGCAAAACAAGTTAATTAACACTAATAATCTTGATGAGATTTGATGCTTCCCCGATGATATATCTATGTTAGTCCTACACTCATTCTGGGCCTACAGACATAGAATACAAACATGCGTCATGTGCAGGGTCAGCAGGCACGTTGACGTTCTCCATCTCAGTATCTGAAAATAAAAAGTACCATAGTGAATGGTTGTAGACTGTAAATTATGTTTGCACAAAGACTAGATAACATTATGACCAACGAACAAGTAAGAACAGATAAACAAAAAGCAAGATCTAACCGATAAATGTTTGATCGAAAACCGATCGCTATGCCGGCCAAGGGGGATAACTCTTTCTGACCACGTCGGGACGATTTTTCCAAAGACAAATTTTAACCTTGTTTGCCAATACATTTTGTAACGATCAGTTCTTATAAATATGTGTAGTTCTATCAAACAAATACACATACAATGGCATGTATGAATGAAAACCGTAACGATCTTCTATTAAGACCGGATTACTATATATATATATCTATAGATCTATCTATTGGTTGTTAAAATTGTAATTAGGTGATGTATAAAATACATATACCGTATGAAGATACTAAATCTAAGTCTAGCCTGTCTAGACCGGAGATAAAAAACAACAACAAAATGATGACAGACATCCTACCATCTGCTGAATGCTGGGTTGGACACTGCATATTCCAATATGGCGTGAAATGCGCCCCTGTGAACATACATCCTAATATGGTTATGCTATTTAATTGTTACTGTTAGCTAGTAGTAGCAGTAAATGTTAGTCTCCAGAGACGTAGAGACCGTCTTTGTACCTACTAGTAGCAGGTCATAGTTGCTAACAACTCTGTGCTAGTAGTAGGTAATATTTCCTGGATCGGGTGCTTCAGCAACCTACGCCCTTGTCGTAAGAGGCGACTAACGGGTTCGCGTGGTCAGACTCACTGACTTGGTTGGTGCATGTCATTGTAGCACAATTGCGTAGATCGATGAACAGGTTAATCACTGGATTGTCTGATCCAGACTCGATTATTATACAGACCACTGTCATGCAACTAGCTGAGCGGCGTTAAACGACAGAAAAACACAAAAATCGGTTAGGAGTTGCATGAATGACACGAGGTGTTGCTCTGAGGGGTTTAACACTGAAGGTGACATGGGAGCTAACTGGGTGCTGTCTCACCATATAGTATACAGTGGCGTCAGAGAGTTAATGGTGTGTTGATCATCCTATAAATGTTCCTCTTTATCCGCAACATGAGACCTTGTTGCAGGTGGATGTCATTGTGCGAGATTGCAACGCTTCAGGGGCCCGCCATTTAACTGTCAAGGGGCCATGGGATAGGATATTTTTTCGGTCACTTCTTCCAAAGTGGGGGTTGTCAAAATACGATACAGTCCTAAGACTAACAGCCCCGTGAAGATCTGGGGTAGAATAGGTCCTCAGCAGCCCATGCTTGCCGTAAGAGGCGACTAACGGGATCGGGTGGTCAGACTCCCTGACCGGGTTAGAATTCATCTTCGGCAACCTATGCCTTGTCGGAAGAGGCGACTAATGGGTTCGCGTGGTCGGGCTCACTGACTTGGTTGATGCATGTCATCGTATCGCAATTGCGTGGATCGATGCTCATGATGTCAATCACTGGATTGCCTGGTCCAGACTCGATTATTTACAGACCGCCGTCACATAGCTGGAATATTGCGACGTTAAACAACAAACAAACAAACGGAAACACAACAGCTACATGTATTGCTACAACACACAACGACGAGAGGTTAACCAGTGTTTCAAGGCTGACAAGCTCTCATTCTACCATTTCTATTTATTGCATGTAATAAGATATGAATGTTCAAAATAGCCCGAAGTACATCAAACCGAGATGCACAATCATCATTAAAGTTACATTATTGATTTTAAAGTATATATATCAACAATCGAAAGTTTAATTTTCCTTGCACATATCAGAATACGTATGTATGGGAATATATACGTATATATGTGTGTCTATATAGTAGGTATGGTCAATTTAGGTCAACCGTATGACGTAATCAGTTAACATATGCTAACACTGGTCAGCCGTGGTTAACTTTGGTTATGTCTTTGTCAACACGGGATCACCTGGATCGTCCAGGTTTCGAACGCAAGCAGTGACATGTTCAGTGGTTGGGTTACACACAAGGGAGGCAACTCTGTTCTTAACTCCATCCAGCGGCCATCATTACCAGGGTAACTAGAAACCCTTCACGAACGATGATATTCATTTGACACAGATCAGCTTTCTGTCTTGATAAAGTAATGCGTGTCAAGAGCCAAGAAAAAAAAACAACTTAAATTTTGTCTTCGAGTTTTGCGTTATGTCAGAGACCATATCGGTGTATGTACTCTGGTTATGTCTCAGTGTCCGGACCGCCTCCTTGGTCTAGTGGTAGAGCGTCCGGCCGGAGAGCGGAAGGTCCGGGGTTCGATCCCCGGCCGCGTCATACCAAAAGACGTTAAAAGATGGTACTTGTTGTTACCCTGTCTGGCGCTCGGCATTGAGGGGCTAAAACAAGGACTGGTCGGCTCGGAGTCAGTATACTGTGTCTGAGTGGGGTATTCATGTTAAACTGCGGCATGGTATCTCAGTGAGCTAGAACTATAAATCGGCATCAGTCCGGACTAGCACACGCAGCCACACAAACACACACACGTACATGCACGTCGCTATATAAGTGCAATAATCTTGGACGCGACGTTAAACCCAATTTCACCTCACCTCTCAGTGCCCCGAGAACTAAAGATAATCTAGATCGACCATCTGGTTCCCATAACGATGTTGGTCTAGACGTAATTAGTGCCTTCAATGAAATCAAGACATTGTCTCTGTCTAATAAGGGTAATCATAGATGTTGCTGTTATTATTGTTAGCTTGATCCAGATAATAAAACGCGAGGTAGCAGACGAGTACACTGTAGTTTCAATGGCTTTATAATCTTGGGGTAATTCACCGCATTTCATGACACAATGATGGCTTTCCGAAAGACGATATACAACATCATTTCAGAAGTGCCATCCGAACAGATTTTATAGACGTGTTTGGCAAATGTATATTGCAGAATGATGGGCGATACTTTAAACTCACATACCGTACTGTCGTGAGCAGGTCGACCCATTAATCCATACAGCCTGATCGACCGGATTAACGAGGGTCAACGTTGAAGATTACAGGATAATAAATCTTGAAACATGTAATAAACGCAAGATATGAGATTGTAAACTGCTTCAGTGAAGCCTAAAAAACGATACCACGCGTTCAGACGACTTCGGCTGGTCCACAAGCCGCTTACAACAGAAGTCGCCCACGATCACACTTGAAGAAAGAAGCAGTTGGGTTTTCTAGTGGTTGAAGAGTTAGCTTGAGTGAGCTGGGAGAATACCCCACACGGGGGCAGTGTGTAAACGGCCATTTCTGATGGTTTCCCTCCGTGGTTATATGGATTGACTATTGCTAATCGTGGCGTAAAACCCAACTCACTCACCCACTCAACTGACCCATGAAGACCCGGGGTAGAATAAGTCTTCAGCAACCCATTCTTGCCGAAAAAGGTATATGCTTGTCGTAAGAGGCGACTAACGGGATCGGGTGGTCAGGCTCGCTGACTTGGTGGATGCATGTCATCGTATTCCAATTGCGTGGATCGATGCTCATGATATCAATCACTGGATTATCTGGTCCAGACTCGATTATTAACAGATCGCCGGGTTAAAGTCACGTTCAAGATATTGCACTTCTATAGAGACTGGCAAGCTCGCGCGCGCGCGCGTGCGAGTGAGTGTTTGTGTTTTATAGTCTCAGACCACCGAGATGCCATGCCGCAGTTTAACATGGATACACCGCATAGTATAGTGACTTTGAGCTGACCAGTCCTTGTTTTGTCTCCTTAATGCCGAGCAGGAGGCAGAGTAACAACAAGTACAATCTTTTTAAGTCTTGGTATGACGCGGCACGGGAATCGAACTACCGACATTCGCTCTCTGGGCAGACGCTCTATCTACCACGGATGGAGTCCGACTCTGAGAAACCTATCACGGCTTTTGGTATGTTGAAAATGGGATTTGTTATCTGATTGTGACGGTGGAAGAGTCGAAACATTCCGATCGAGTTGAACGATAATGCAATCCGGATATCTGTTATCACGGCGTGAAGTGTTCATGATAACCTTTCAACCCCACAGCTCATTCTCGAACTCACCCTCTATCTACACACGTGTATTGACACAGTGGCTAAACATCGCGATAGTATAGTGAGTGAGTATATTTAACCCCCTTTTTAGCAATATTCCAGAAATATCACAGCGGGGAACATCAAAAATTGGATTCACAAATTGAGTGAGTGAGTATGGTTTTACGCAGCTTTTAGCAATATTTCAGCAATATCACGGCGGGGGACACCAGAAATGGGCTTCACACACTGTACCCATGTCGGGAATCGAACCCGGGTCTTCGGCGTGATGAGCGAACGCTTTTACCACTAGGCGTCCCCCGCCCCCGCGATATTGTGAGATGAATGTTGTACAAAGTTGTCCGCAAATGGCACCGAGACAGCCTACTTAGTGCAATAATGTTTGGTAGACAAACCAGTTTAAGAATCGACCCACGTTGATATACAATGTCTCATATAATGACACATCCGTGATATGACTGGAATACTGTTAAAAGCGGCGTTAAACCCAACTCACTCACTCACTCACTCACTCACTCACTCATATAATGAACCCGACTGGTGGTCCTGTAGCCAACTATCGTCACATTCCTTAAATATCCGCACCGGTTACATAAAGATACGATGACAATGGGACTATGCTATATATAAACCTTCATTTTAATTGTATAGAACGCGAAACGTTTTGCATCGCAATCTTTAACACGTCTCATGTGGGAATTGAACCTTACCCACAGAGCGACGAGCGAACACGCTATCCATGCTACCCAAGAGTCTAATACACAGCAACATGTTAATTCCCAAGACGAACGCCCGCTGACAGTGTCTCCGGTCTGCTGGTGCCACAAGGAAATCGAAGCCATGTCTTCCCGCCATGTTGACAGGCTAAGAAAGATGGCCATCCACCCAAAGATGAGATTCAATCGATTGCAAGTACAAGCAGCACGACAGAAACGGATGAACTTTCGTTCTAAGAACTACAATACGTTCGCATTCACTTACAGTCGATTCGTAATCCCCTTTGTTACAAACTATCTCTGCATCTCTGCTGATATGTAATTGTATATTGATTACTAAGTTAACAAGGCAATGTTGTGTCTCTCGTGTAATACACGCAATCGATTTTCGCCGCCGCAGATGCAACCATTAAACATTGAAAACCCACTCTCCACGCAACAGTGTTCAAATACGTACTAACTTATAAAGTTCGAGCCGATTATCGCACCCGGCTTCCCGAACGTGTCCCCCATGAGCCGCCGATTGGTTCAGTAATGTCAGATCATCCTCGAC